CTCTAAGAAACCTCCAAGAAACTATTAATTCTCCTCTAACGTTTCTAAAAACTTAAAATCTATAACTCATTTTCAAAATTTGTTTTTTTAAGAACTTTATGGAACAATTATGGAACATCTACTTCTCAGCCCCACTAACACTTGTATTATTGACAAACAAGTTTGAAACCAAATTTCATAAACAAGCAATTTATTTGAACATTCATAACTACACAAATTGAGTTTGATCAGCATTGTTGGAGACTTGCCCGAGTGTATAAGTAGTTGTGATTTTGATTGACAAGTTACTCGTACATGTGAGCGCAATCGAATGTGACTTGGGTCTTTGAACCATGTGAGATTGCGATGCGGGAGTGAATTAAACCTGTTGCATTAAAGTCAGTGACTTGTGACCTTGCTGAGGAAACTAAACCATTATTGCTACTGGAGGCATTCCTGACAGCATTCAAAGGGGAGTTATTTCATTGGAATAAGTCAGAATATGTAACGTTATTCCTCAAGCCCGAATGGGCTCCGAGTCAATAGCCCATGAGGCCAAAAGCCGAATCGGCTATTGACTCAGAGGCCATGTGGGCGAGAGGAATAAAAGTTTTATTAAAATCCAACTAGTTGGTAAAAAATATCGAGACAAAACAACTTTAGCTAGCTAAACGTGATGCAGCTGCCATTGTTTTGGTTTTCAAAGCTAGCACTTTTTGCTACTAGTGGGCTATAAAATATAGCCTACTAGTAGCTCAACCAATCAGAATGCAGCATTGATAATAGACCACTAGTTGGATTTTACTAAAAATAATACATGTACCTAAAACTTCCCAAATTGAAAATGGTCACTTTGGTCTTTGACGTTTGTTTGCAAGCTTCCTTGTCTATCACAATGACTGAAAGGGTTCTAGGAGAAGCTGTTCTGCAAGGCTGCAAGTTGCCGTCACTCACCACCTGGCAGTACTCGAGAGGGTGAATGAGCCATTTCCCTGACTTGTCACAAGCATGCCTTTACAAGTGATTACTAGCAGACCACTGATTGGCCAAAACTTCCCTGACCCCAACCAGATTTCTTACATAAATAGCTTAAGCCACAATTACACCAAAATATTGAAAAAAAGTAGAACATATTTTATAATTACTACAATATTAAATAGACCAATGGCTGCTAACTTTATTCTATAACTGCTACAATTAATAGACCAATGGCTACTACCTTTACATGCTAAATCAAAGACACGTGAGCACATACTCTCACTTACAATGTAATATCAATAACTACATAAGGAAAAACCAATTCAATTTAGGCATCATCTAGCCTGTCAGCAGAGGTTTCTTCCTTGCATGGGTTAAAGTGTTTACAAAGTCGTTCATGTCACTTGTCAGTCACGTCGTTGGTTTGCTAAAAAAGAAACCAACTACACGAATGAAAGCAATGCAAACTTCTTCGTAAACGCTAAAAACCATTCAAAAGAGAAACCTCTGCTCGCAGGGTAGGCAACATCAGGGCTGTCATTAATAGCCTGCAGCTGGCTTTTTAGCTGGCCGTAAAATCAAGTGGCCTCTTTAAATTTGAAAATAAGTCTAACATAACAAAACAATATAAGAGGATTTGAGACATAAATGACCGGCTACTTTCCCTAAGAGAAAGGCCAACTTAAAACCTTAATGACTACTGTCCTGAACACTGGAAATTTTTCAAAATAGTTTTGAATGACTCAAGTTCAAAAGAAACATATCTACAATGTATCTTAGCAATGTGAATTCATCTTGAACCAATTTACTTAAACATATGTACATGCGCAAATCAACATAGGTGACAAAAAAGATTTCCAAATTTGTTTTGGTGTACACCTAAAGTACTACCCTTAATATAATTTCCTAAAACCTGCCTGATATTCCTCCATTAGCACTGTTAAACTAGGAGCTCCTTAAATGAGAAGAAGCTGTCTGATTTTCTAAGTTATAAGTATTAAACAGTGCTACAAATCCTTGCAAACATTAAGTGTAAAATACAGCTACATATCATTTTAATTTTATGAAACAAATGAAACATGATTAATATTCTTTGGAAGCATGGACCTCAAGGAAGCAATTTCTCTCATCATCTCATTCACCTGAAGCTTCAATGACCAATTTTCCTTCTCCAACTTAGTTGCCTTAGCAAACAAAGTTTTGTGTCTTTCCTTCCTTGCACGGCGAAACTTCCTGGAAGCCTTATTGTTTCTGATCCTCTTTTCAGAGGCTTCATCACTGCAAGAGCTTCCTACAGAGGAAGGTGAATCTTGTGATTGATCAAACAGCATTGACTCATTGTTTGGCAAACTTGCTGGTGAGTGCTCAAGGGCTTGTTGTTCTGGAGGAGGATTCTCTTCTGAGCTTTGTACAAAAGATATTCCAGGACCAGGACAACTAAGTCCACCGGCATTTAAATTTTCTTCACTATCTGACAATTCTACAGAGCCATCAACATCCTCCTTATTTTGAGCAATACCAAGAGACAACGCTCCATTAACAGGCCAAGACTTCTGAAAAACAATTTCCCTGCAATTCTCCCCAGACATCAACTGCTCGAGTTCAGCCACTTGGTCAAAGAACAGCTCTCTATGGTCGCTTTGACCCCAAGCAGAATCTATTGACCAAAAGCTGGATGATTGGTCCTCCAGCGGGCTCTCGACAAGATGCTCCTGGCCTTTTGGGGAGGCAAGGTGGAAGACCCCTGTAGGACATCAAAATATCAGCAATTATCACCAGCTGATCAAATTCCCTGTACTTGTACACAACACATTTTAACAATACCAACCCAAAAACATACATCATTGGTCAAAATAGGTAATCTGTTTTTTTGGTTATGGTAGTGTACGATAATGAAAGACAAAATTTGACCTCAACATAAGATTGAAAGATACATTGTATAACATGTACTAAACATAAGTAGGGCATAGAACAAAATTTCAATTGTGTCAGTCCAGAAAATATCCATACCCCTCCCACAGATGGTCTTTCAGACTAGCCCTGCCATTCCAGGGTTTTCAATAAGATTTTAAGAGGGTGGTAGAAGCTTTGGAGTTGGTGGAGAAGGAAAAAAAAGGTGGCAAAAGCGCTTCTTGAGGGTGCGAGTTTCTGGAAAAATTTTGAAATCTGGACCTCTTAGAATGCATTCCAGTCTTCAAGGGTGATTGCAATTTAATAATTAAATCTTTAGAGGTAAAAAGACAATATAAGTCCTCAACCGGTGGGGGGAGGGGGAGGGGTTATGGTAATAGGGGAAAAATTTTGTCAAATGGAAAGGGACATTTCGGTCGGAACCACCGAAAAGACCGGACCGGTCTTCAAAGGTGTTCCCAAATATTCCGGTCGGACCGAAACGAAACGGTCCGTTCCTTCTGATTCCTAACCGAACTTTCCGGAATTTGGGGCTGAATGGAAATCGCCCTTCTTTCTACACGTTTTTCATTATAAGATGGCACTCAAAATAACTACTCAAACACGAAAAAAATCTTACCATTGTCAAAGACGAGGCTTGGATTCGTAAAGAGGCGACACACTGAAAGTGTAGCCGTTTTCAGTGGTACTTTCCACGTGGCCGTTAAAGGCGGTTTGAGCCGCCATATTGCCACTCTCCCTTACCAAGTCAGCGCTTGAAAGCGGTAAAACAGCAGTCTTACACGTCCCTTTTGGACGACCAGCAGAACTCTTCAGGTGCATTTCTCGATCAGAAGATGGCATAAACTAACAAAATGAATTTCACTTTAAAAATACGGCAACAATTTGTTTGGCAACCCCGAACAATCGAAAATGGTGCAATACCAGAAACGAAGACACGCAAGTGACAAGAGGCCGAGAAGGACTGGAATGAGATTTTTTTTCGTCCTCGTTTCCAGGTTTTTTCCTCTTTCCGCGCGCCACGGCCACGTACAATGGAATCTTGATTGACATAATTTTGAAAAAATCAAAATAAAAACGAGTTTAAAGTTTCCGAAATGTGCATCGTAATTTTGGGAAGCTAAATTACGTAATTAGATTAGGCAGTTTCTCTTTTCTGAAGCTAGGGGTAGTGAGCGCCCCCACTTTATGGCTTGCCCATCACAACCCACACCCTTTAAAAACTTTAATTATTCCTCTTGAATTCCAGTCTTTAGAATTCCGGGGTGTGGATATCGAGTTCGATATCAAAATGCCATCAACTACAATAAGCTGTATGCCGGTAGGTGCAGGTTTTTGGGGCGTGACTTGAACCCTCACCCGCAAATCAAAGCCAGCACCAGCATGCTGGCGAAACCTTTCATGAAACCTTTTCCTTTTATAGGGGATCTACTGCGAAAAATTTAAGGACTGAGTCAAATTGTCATCAGCTCAGTACAGTGAAACTTTGATATATAACAAAGTCCTTGATTGTCTTTACCCCAGAAATAGTAAGATACATGAAAAAGGACCTCGATAGAACAAAACGTCATTATAGCAAAAATGTTTCGCCAGTCCCTTGGGTCTGTGTTATATCGAGGTTCCACTGTAAAAAGCTTGAAGTAAAGTTCTTTTATACATTTGAGAGTGTTTTATACCCAAAGGAAATCTTAAAAACAAAATAATGGGGTGTGAGGCTACTGGATAGCAACCTAGAAGTAACCTGAGTAGCAGAAGCATAAAAAAAATATAGGGAGTGAGTGCCAGTAACAGTCTCAATAATGTAACATTATTCCTTTCAATGACCAACAATCTTTATTCGCTACTGTTGTCGTTGTTTTTTTTTTTATTAAAAATATACACTTATATTTGTTTACTCCAGCCCTCTTCTTTACTCCAATGTCTCTCTTCTTACTGCCTCACTCCAGCAGACAGAGAGAAGATAGAATAAAAACCAAATTGCTGGTTTCTGTGTCAATCTTCGGTGTCTGCTGTAAGCACCTCAACACCTGTATCTGTTATTAGCAGTGTGTGTTCAAACTGTGCTGTCCTAAAGAAGAAAGATAAAAAAATGACAGCTTTAATCTCAAAACAGTTGAACCTCTACTAACAATTAATTATTGTAAAAACAAAATTTGTTATTACATAGCTTAAGGTGCAGACCGGCCATGACCTTCAGCTCCACGCTCTTGACCTCTGTTCAATTTACATCATATGATTACATCAAACCAAATTTGGAGGAGAAACATGTACAGGTGATACCTTTTGCCATCTTCAGTGATAACAGTCCAGCCATCTTCAAGAATTTTTATTGTGGGTGATCCTTCACAAAGAACAGGCTCTGAAATATTAAAAATAAATATGGCAAAAATGCCATATTTTGACTACGCATTTCAAGATTTGTATTGAACTCAACTTGCAGTCTTCACTTGTTTGTTACCATGGTCTTAGTCAGGGGCGTAGGTAGGGGGTGGTCCTGGGGTGCCCGCAACCCCCCCCTCCCCTTTGTGAGATAATAATATTGTTTTAGGTCCCGATAATTCAGATGGCCAAAACGCATGAATCTGAAGAATCAACATGCAATAAATCTTTTCCAGTGCAAGACAGTTACTTACTCCACTTGCAGGACCTAACAGCTGCAGTGGACCATGTTCTTGTTCGTAACTAAAATAGAGTAATTTATGCTATGTGAAACTCATAAGGGGTTGAACAACCCCTTATGAGTTTCTGGTAATTAAGTTCCACATAGCGTAAATTATTAATCTTGTAGGCTTGTCCCTCCCCCCACACTCACTGCTCATCCGAAAGAAGAATGTCACTTTTAGTAAAACATGGTCTGGATGTTGACATGCCAATCAAGTAAATACTCTGGGTGTGACACAGTGTGACCCCCACCTTTGAAGAATCCTAGGTCAGCCCCTGTTGGTGATAAATTTCAGTGGAAGATCCAGGGGAGGGTTCTGGGGGCCCAGGCCCCCCTTATTTTGTAAACCAAACTGAGGCCTGAAGGGTGAAAAAATTTTTTGGGAGATGACCCCCCCCCCCCCTCCCACTTATCTCAAGGTCTGGATCTGGCATTGAATTTCCTGCCAAGCATGCAGAGTACCATGGGACTAAACAACACATTTGTTTCAAAACACCCACCTATAGTAAATGTCATTCCTGCTTCCATTTTTCCAGGATTGAAATTAACTACAAAGTAAAGGAAAAAAAATCATAAATCCTCTGTTGAGTCCCCTTATTTATTTCAAGCACATTTGGGGGGAGGGGGAGGGGGGTTAATAGAGAGGGAGGTTTATTTACGTTAGCAAAAATGATGGTATCAGTTCTCCATAAAAACTAGTTCACAAAGTGGAAAAGCTCAGTCACATGAGGCTGGAGGTCATACAAAAGAAAGATCAAGAACAAATCAGAACTTCCAGCACATGAAATGTGGCTAAATGTAATTTAGACAAAGTTAAATTGCAAGCCAATGCGGTCAGCGGTCTCCTCCTCAAGCATACGTGATCTGAGGGGTGTCCGCAGGGGCCTCTTGCTTATCTTGTGACTTACGTTGCATCTCATGCTGGCATTTTTGAGCTGATCTTTGCGGATCTGTTGCTTAGGGAATCGTTGCGGATATGCTCAGCCAACCCCAATACCGATTCCTCCCCAGCTCCTGTCGGAATTGACCAGTTTTCTCTAGAACAGCAGTGTCACACCTTCCTTATGCACGGCCTAGCCCCATCCACTCGCAAGACTTATGCAACCGCTCAAAGGAAGTTCTTCAACTTTTGTCTCCTACCAGTTATACATAAGGACACCGGCCGAGGCCCTGGCATCCCTTTCTCAGAAACTGACATAATTGGTTCATCGCCCTCTCCACATGAAGAAAGCCAGTGGTGGATCCTTGGTACCAGTGAGGTATGTCTTACCCTGGGGTTGGGCTCACCCTTAAGATTCCGCGGTGCTTGGGGTTGTTGGGGAAGTTCGGAGGTCCCCTGGCCCCCTCCTGTTCGCGGGTTCCTCCTCTCTCCAAGCACCTTGGAGAGCTGCGTATTTTGGGTGGTTCCCGCTCGCAGGGTTGCCATGCATACCTCCTTACTATGCCTGAGGTGTTCAGGCTCTCGTCCAACCTTTAAGGCACCAGTTCCCGAGCTCATCTATTGGCGATGAGTTTAAATGTGGCTAAGTGTAATTTAGGGAAAGTTAAATTGCAAGCCAATGCGGTCAGCGGTCTCCTCCTCAAGCGTACGTGATCTGAGGGGTGTCCGCAGGGGCCTTTTGCTTATCTTGTGACTTACGTTGCATCTCATGCTGGCATTTTTGAGCTGATCTTTGCGGATCTGTTGCTTAGCGAATCGTTGCAGATTCTGGCTCCCTGCCCGTCCCTCCCCTTCTCTCCCCTCCACTGAATTCTTTCAGTGTGATGGTGTCAGTTGGCGGCTGCATGCAGGGGTGGTTCCCGCTCGCAGGGTTGCCTCCTTGCTATGCCTGAGGCGTTCAGGCTCCCGTCCAACCTTTAAGGCACCAGTTCCCAAGCTCATCTATTGGCAATGAGTTTAATGAACCATTACCAAATCAGTCCACATGAAGTGTTACAGTTGTGATTAATTCATACAGTTTGTCATTTGAAAATAAAGAGAGAGGGGAGGGGGGACTACATAACATTCTTGGGGAGATTGTTAGAGAGGGGGGCTTAATGGAGGATTTACGGTACTAAAGTATAACCATTATTTATAACCATTTCGTTTTATAACAGCTTACATGCACACCTGTGTGCAAGATTTCAGGTGGTCCATGAAACACTGATCCTACACCATGACCTGCCAGATAAGGGCAAACTCTAAATCCATCTTTCTTAGCCATGAAGCTGCAAAATTGGGAACCTTCTGTTAGCTTTGTCATCATCACATTGGTGGACTGAGTCAGCATGCAAAGAAAGTGGTGTCCGACAGCCCGGGGCTAGTGGATTTTGCTATTAGGCTAGTGAATTCTGTTTTCAACTTGCCCGATGGGCAAGTGATCTTTTTTGGGGAATTCGAAAAACAGAAGAACTGTGAGATCAATTCTGCTCTTCAAAAAGCTTTTGGGCCAGTTGAAATGACGTCTGGGCTAGTAAATGTTAGCTTCAGCTTGCCCGAATGGCAAGCTGTTAAAATGATTTTCTTTGTGACCTGTGAGTAGTCCTTGTCATGAACTTTGGGGGACAACAGCACCACCCCTGAGAGTATTAATACCATCACAGACTTTTTACTGGGACCAGTTAGCGAATAACCAAAAAAATGTGGAAAGGTCTACAATTTATACAAGTGTTTTGTTCCTTTACTTTAAATGACTATTAAAAAGCAATAAGCAGCACATAAAGCTTGTACCTTATTGTATTACCAATCCAAGAAAACCTTGTACCAGGGCTGCAGATGTTGACAGCAGCATCTAAACACATTCGACAGCTTTCTAACAATTTTTGTGCTTGTGGGTCCACAGAGCCTACTGCATAAGTCTCGCACAGATCACCATGTACACCTCCTATATAGACCTAAAATTGGCAACAGTTAATGTTAGAACTAAATATGCCAGGAAGAACAGCCTTTGTGAAGTCCCGTCCTATGCCCCTTCAAGAGAAGACATTCATTCCCTCCCATTTCTTTTCCCAGCACTACATCTAGGCTTACAGTAGTAAGTTCTGGTTGATTGCATCTCTAAGTTTGGTTAAATGGTGTGAACTAATCAGTGATTACACTTACTGAAACATCCACACTGACAATGTCACCATTCTGAAGGGGCCGACTGTAAAAAGAAAGTGGAAAGAACTAAATTATTAATAATTTCATATGTTATTTCTGAACATATTGCAACCAAATACAATTTCAGTATTGTCGTTAACTCCACAGTTAGCAACATTGTCAAAAGACTATGAGAAAGATTTATATTTAAGACCAAATCAACAAAAAAGTGTTTTGTCAGGACTAAAACCTGTGTGGAGAGGGGGGGCTTCGTACTGCATTAATTATTTGTGAACAAAGGGGTCGGATTCACAAAGCCATCTTACACCAAAATGTATCTCAAGTACTGTCTCAAAGTAATAGGTGATAGTGAAGAAACAATACTTAATCCTTTAATAATGCTCCTAATTGTAGCAAGTAGACGAAATAAAATAAATCAACATAAATAGAACTTTTTTTGGTTTTGTGTGTGTGTGTGCGTGTATTTCAAAGACATTAAGATTTGAAGGAGTAGTTGATTTAGATGTTATTCTGCCATTTATATATTAATGAGAGCCACATTACCTATCGGGCACGCCATGGACAGCGACACTGTTAACGGATGTACAAACAGACTTGGGAAATCCCTTGTAGTTCAGCGGAGAGGGATAAGCACCAAATGAGATTGCTGCCTGGTGTACAACTTTGTCAATATCTTCTGTTGTGACACCTACCTTAAAAGAAAGCACAGAAGGCTTACTAAGTTGATATAGCGGAGAAGACCACACCCAAAACCACAAAACTACTACTCCATGTACAAAACGCACTAGAAACCAAAAAACTGGCCACTCCGATGACCAAAAAGTGCACAATTATATAAAGGTACACTTTTTATTCATTTAAGTCTCTTTATAAATGACAACTAAATGCACATTTCTTAACAGTTTTTCCTAAAATGGACTGAAAATGTACCAAAAAAATGGTAACCTCAAAACTTTTTCTTTGATAAAGACCAAACACAAAACATCCACAAATCCATACATCCCCCTTTCACTAGGTATTACATGGGTTTCCCCAGGATCTCACCAAACAATTAGCAAAAAGATTGCACAAGTCTTTATTAACAAAAAGTGGACAAAGTCACCAGCTTTTCATCCAAGGCTGACCAAAGATTCTGATCCAAGTTTTGTACAAAATCTATGATCCAAACTTTGAGAAATGCAGGGTCCAGAATCAGTGGGCTAAATTCAAAGCTGATTTGTAATCCTCCAAATCATAACTATAACAAAATTCTCAAATCTGATTGGCTATCAACTGTCCTGATTTCAGCACCAATAGGACAGAGTAACTGGACATTATTCGCCATCATACATGCACACTTGAATGGGTTTTTACTTTCACTTCTAGCAAAAAAACTGTCAAAATATCATGTGTTTTAGTTTTAAGAAAGCATAAGATATCACAAATTTTGTTATAGTTATGACTAATTGGTAATATAACAGAACTTCTTGATGTCCAGTTCGGATTGTAATCATACTCGTGATTGAACAAATCAAATGATCGCATACCAGGAGTCACGCATATGATTACAGACCAAATTGGACTTCACTCAGTCCAATTACCATTATATACACTTGTATTTTAGGAATACACGTTTGATTACAGACCAAATTGGACTTCACTCAGTCCAATTACCATTATATACACTTGAATTTTAGGAACACACTCATGCACTCATTCATAATTAACCTGAGATCAGGCTCAATATTCATTTCACTTTGTAAATAACATTCCAGCGGCCAAGGCAAAACAAAAAGAAAAAACGAAAATTTTAGCAGTAGCCATTAGAGAGAATGTGTGAGAACCACTAAAATATTGGACCTGATCTCACGTTATTCATAATTTATTGCACAAGTCCTCAATCCAAACATATTTTAAGGCAAAATGTATCTATCCATTAACTTATTCAACCCCTTCATAACTTATCCCCTCAAAAGCTTAAGAATGGCTTGTCAAAACAACACACACTTTTTCTTCTCTCACCTTGATATTGTCTCTTGCAATATTCAGGACTTTCCGTGCTGTCCTACATGCAGTCCTCATAGCAGCAATTTGCTCATCTGTTTTGATTTCAGTAGCTTCAGGGGGTTCTGGTACTATGCCTGTATCAGCATAGGGAGGGCGTGTGATATGTGGAGGTACATAACCAGGTGGAGAAACTCTGTGCTTAAGTTCTGTGATCACTTCATATGAATTGCTTGTTGAAGAATTTCTACCATAAAAGAATGTCACAGCAATTATTATAACACCACGAAAAACCCTCTTTTTTAAAGACAGGGCCCGGTTCCTCAAAAGATGGTTAAGTTTAACCCAAGATTAAGCCAAATTTTAAGCAAGGTTTTTTTGTCAAAGAACATGCAACTCGAGCAAGTTGCAAAATACTGTTCAGCCTTAACTTCGAGATATATTAATGATAACACAAAATGTTACTCCAAGCAATGCATAGAAAGGTAAAATACAAAAACGGAACACAATTTTAACCATGGATTAGCGCTAATCGGCCTTTCAGGAACTGGTTCCAGGTCTTTAAATTGTCCAGTGTGCCTAAGACAGCAAACTAAATAAAGTCTCTTTCTGCATTACTAGTCCAGATACCTGTACAATATGACACTTGGGACTAAACTATCCAGGGGCAAGCTCACATGACCATCAATAGGTTTCCTTCTAGAATGAGTAGTTTTTGCACACAAAAAGGAACTAATGATTCAGGTTACAGACATAAGGACAGAAACAACTTCAAACCTGCATAAGCAATGAACTATCCTTTTCAATAGCTGTATTTGCCGATGGTCTACAATTTAAGAATAATGTACTCCAGTTAAACTCAATTTTACTTTATCTGTAGCTTAAATAAGTAAATTGGAGGAACATTTAGAGGAAAGTAACAACAAAGGTCACAAAACAAGACTGAGATTAACATATCCAAAAAAATGTCATTTTCAGGCAATAGAAATTCTCAATCAGTGTTTAACAGTTTCACTGAAATTTTTTTCCTTATATATTACTTGCAATCTGTTTGTAGTCAGTTGAATGGGTATAAAAAATGGTCAGACTTGGCAAGACTAGTAGTTAGGACACAGTGCGAGCCAGTGAGCCATATGCAAAAGAAAAATTGAAAAAAATTGAAAAAGTAGTAATATGACAAAAAATAACCGAAAGCGAACCATTGTAAATAAGTGTTTAATGCCACAAAGCACTTAACCCTAGTCCGTAAAAAAAGGTTTTAACCCTAAACAGCGCTTAACCCTAATCCATAAAGTGAGTGCTTAGCCCTGGTCAATAAATAATCAGTGAAAGTCAATCAATACTGTGTAATTCTGCAAATATTCCATCAGCAAAACCTCAGAACCAAGCAGAAAACATTTTTCATGCATTTACAATTTCATAAAACTCTATTTTTTCCCATCGCTCGCATAGCTTGCTGGCTCGCAGATTGTCCGGACCCCAAGACTAGTAGTGAGAGTGAACAAGAGAGAAAGAGGCACTGGGGGCAATGGGAGGAAAAGAGGCCGTTTGTTCCTCTATAACCAATGTGTTTAAATCCCTGCAGCATCAGTTGTGAGCATGAGAAAACTGGATTGGCTCATGAACTATAAAACACCATGAAACCTTTATCAACTCTTCTTATCTCCCCCACCTAGTTTCCCCTTAGGCCATACCCTTTTTTTTTTCGTTTACCATCGAATGCCTTTCCTGACATTGGGTCGGTCGGTTGGATTGAAAAAAAAAACGTAAAAAAAAAAATCACCAGAAGTCTCAGAAGAGGAGGCCCTGGTACCCCAGGATGACGTCAAAAGTTAACATTCACATATTTGGATGAAAAAAATGCCCAACATACTGTAAAAAATGTTCCTGTTTTTGTTCCTGTTTTTCTCTATGCTGTTACTATGCTCATTTTTCAGATTAAAAGGATTATTTCAAGCGAAAAACGGTTGAACTACGTCGCTACTTTTTTTTTCTTTTGAAAATGCCAAAAATTTGGGTCAGTCGGACGACAGTAAACGGAGAAAAAAAAGGGGATGGTCTTATAAGCTTGCAGTATTTTGGCCTGTTTGAGCACTTGATATACTCACCCAAGACCTTGAAAGACTGTTGACAGTCTGTTGATTTTTAGAAACCATCTTGATGCCTAAAAATTTTTTAAGATTCAATACTGACCAGCTTCCTCTGTTTGGGGGTGGAGTGAGGGCTAGTGGGGTTGGAGGGGGAAGAGAGGTGAAGGGGGAGGGGGGGATTTCCATTAAGCGGCCAGTGATCAAGTTTCAAAATAATGGTGTAAAAGAACTGTAAATGAAACTTCCATCAAGCTGCCAACTCCATCAAAGTGGGCTTCATGGAGGTTCCAGTGCATTTGCACGTGAATATTGTACCAACATAGACACTTTTTACGACTGTTTTTGTTTACGCGCAAAATCTGAAGCACTGACAAGCAATATTACAAAATGGATTAACTAATACACTCACACTTAAGCTCCAGAAGCCGTTTCGTCCACATCACGTTCATTTACGCTTATCAGAACGCTGCAAAATCAAAAAAATTAGTGACAAAACTCAAGCTCTGCGGAGCCGGCTAAGAACAAATATGGCGCCCAGGGCTTCTCAGATCCAGGCCCCAAGCAAAAGAGAGCAACCGGAAGCAATAGAGACTGTCTATTTTTGATCACAGTTGAGTCAACTGTCAATATTGCGACAACTAGACTATAGTCCTGAGCAATTTTTAGTTTGTAACGGCAACAAAAGTTCAATTCTTCAATTTATTGAACTGTGTGGATTTGGAGTTTTTTTGAAGAAATAGATAAGGTTATTGAGCAACTTCGTCCCCAGGGTTGGGGACGAGGTTGGGTTATTGAGGACAACTCGTCGTGACAGAAAATGTCACGCAGATAACCTTGATGGCTGATGACTTTTCCTAATTCCTGTATGGTATAAAGTAGTTTAACTTAGCTTGACTTAATTAAAAGATGTCTTTAAATTTTCAGGAGTTTCCTATTTTATCAAAATATGTTAAAGTATCAAGGTAATGAAATATTGCCTCACAAAAATTTGCCTTCAATGTTGACCGCCCACAATTTGTACGTGATCAGACGCAAATATCAAAGTCTGAATTCCCAAAACACATCTGTTTCAGTGCTTTAAAGCAACCCTCACTTACTGTTCGACAAGGTAAAATATCACTAATTTAATGATTTCTTTTTTTCTCCTTAATAGACGTAAAGAATATAAAGAATAATAACAAAAAAGTGTTTGTATCTTTATTTTGTTTGAAATGACATTTACGTATATCACCCGGCTTTGAGAAAAAAAATGTGACTTTTCTAGGAATTTGTCCCTTGCTATATTTAAACAGGGTCGAAAATGACTCAGCAAATTGTCTAAATTATTCAAAGCATCCCAAGAAGGAAGTGAACGAAAATGTGTGACGTCATGAGTCTGCTGCAATGACAATTATAAATTGCGTTAGCCTCCCATTTTAAATATACCCCAGACAGCGCGCGTAGCAGTACTCCAAGCGTTGCAAACTCAAAAGTTTCAAATTGACTTGTCCAAATGGCTACAGCCGCATTTCACAGACTTGGTTTGTTAGTAAGAGGAACCGCAGGACTCTCTTTGACAAAGCATCTTGATGTCGTCTTTGCAGAAAGCTCTTCCTTACATTTGATCAAAAGAGGAATTCTTCCTTCTCGACAGGCAGGGGTAGGTAAAACTGTGAACGGCCGCACGTTTATCGAACACAAATTGTATTACATATGCGGGAAATCATATAAAGTATTTTCAAGTAATTTTAATTCTCGTCGTTTCAGAATTTGGCTTCATATAAATATTGTTGTTTCATTCAACTCTACAAACTTCCTAGAGTTATAGATTTTGGAAATCCCAGCCCCAGCAAGACGTTTTGGTAATTTTGGTTATATACTGACTTAAACACATTGTAATTCATTTTTGATGCGAAAATGTGGCGATGAAACTAATTTCTACTATTATTTCTTATTATTGCTTTTAATCCCGAGCTCTTAATATTTCCGTGTTTTAAATGTTAATTTATGCCGTATTAACCTTCTAAAAGTCGCACTTTACAGGTCGAAACGTGGTTTTAATCGTTAGTTTTAACTGTAAATAAAACCTGATAAAGAAAAATTATTTCACCCTCTGAATGTAAGCAATTTTATCACTTAAAAATACAGTTTCCACGAAAACTCTTTCTGGATCAGAATCGTGTTTCAGTCGGCTTTAATTGTTTCGTCGTCGTTATTTGAAATCTCCTCCACTTGAAAGTGAAATAATGGAAATGAAATGAAAAATGTGCAATGCCCGTTTCGACGCTTTAGGTCATCTTCCTTGATGCGTGGAAATCAATGCGGAAGAGAAAGAAAAGAAGCGAGGCGTATTTTACACTCAAGAGCAAAGTTTTTTTGAAATATTTCAAAATATCGGTGTATGTTTTATAAAGTATTAAATTATCAACTTTCTGTTACTGCAGGTAGTTCGTTCGTACAAAGAACTCAAATTCTAAGTACTTTTTTCCGGGGTTTCTTTCTATTTATTTTGTCTTTTATTTTTGTCTTCACCGCGGCTTTCTTGAATTAATTTTACGGAAACATTCGTTTTTATGTTTTCTTTGCCAGAAGTGCTTATTCTGGGAAAGGAAGTGCTTGTTGTTGACTCAACTGGAAAAAAGGTCTTTCTTTCAATAACACACTTTTTGATCGATTGAAAAGAATGCTACTGAGATTACTGAGTCATTAATGAATTTTGCAGGAAAAAAAAATGAAAAAAATACACAAAACTATGATCATTTCAGGAAAATTCCGGCCGGTTCCGTGTTTAGAATTGGAAATTAAGCTATGTTTTCTTTTATCTAATTGATGATGCTTGATGTTGATGACGATGACGACGATCATGATAGTAATTATCGAAGGAAACTAAGAATGAAATAAACAAGCATTTCACAACCGGAGTGTTGATAAATTACAAAAATAACCTTCTTTTCGTTTCATTCAGACACACAAATTACTTAATGCAAAAGAAAAGCAAGCGAAATTGTTCTTTTTTCGTTTCTCGCTTCGAATAAGCAATCAGTTCCGCAATGATCACGTTTTCCGGGAAAAACCGGACTAAATCAGTTTTTCCTCATCAATATCAGCAAGGACTTTGGCTTCAAAAAGGACTTCTAAGTGTATTATTTATGGGTCGGATGAGAATTTGAAAGCAAAGAGATTTGAGCTATCTTTTCCCCTTAAGAAACAGCGATACAGTGTTTAGCGAACAAAAGTTTAAAATACATTAATTAGAAGATTTATTATTGACAGTGGTAGTTTACACCTTGCAACAGGAACATTTTTCTCTGGCCAGCAAGGATCTTTTTCTGAGAAACTGAAGCGTCATAGTTTAAGGACATCCGTAATGTTGCTGTTTGTTTTAGTCAGCTAACATGAAACCAGTCTCTATTTTCCTTTCACTTGGTAAACAAATTTCCTGAGTGCAAGGCGACACAAACAGCGTCCTCGGCGGCACTTTTCGTAACCACCTAAGAAAGTACAGGGACTGTACTGTCGCAATTCGTAATAATCATCGCACTTTGTAATACCTGTCGCAATTTGTAATAAATCCATCGCACTTTGTAATACCTGTCGCAATTTGTAGTAAACCGTGTCGCACTTTGTAATAAAAAAGCTGTCGCAATTTGTAATAACAGTCCATCGCACTTTGTAATAAACTAAGCTGTCGCAATTTGTAATAATTCCATCGCACTTTGTAATAATTTTTTGAGAGTGATTCAACTTACTTCGTCAACATTAATATAATGCCAAAATATGCATGGTACTTCATAAACAAAGATGATGACGTCTGCTAGCACGTAACATCTTCGTAACCTTTTCTTTGGTCAAACATGCATGTCTTCGGCTATAACTTTTTCTGCCTTGATTAATAACGTGACCAACTAGAAACGCTTTATGAAAGACATGAAACTTCCAGTGACGTATCATCAAAAAGATATGAATCATGTTTAAATTTAAAAATATTTAAATAACAAAAGCAACATTTAAAAACAGAAAATTCATGAATAACCTGGCATTCGTCGTCCAAATCCATGTTTGCTGGCCACGTGACACGTGAAGTCTTCAGCGGGGGGGATAATCCCTATATATGGATGAGCTAGATAGGTAAGTACCGCCTGATAGGGTATGGTTTTTGAGGATCTCGAGCCTTTAATAGGGTATCATTTTTTACGTTGTTGGCTTTGTGTCTTTGGTTTGATCCTTAGATAGGGTAACTCAAGTAGTAATGGATGGTTTATTCCATCCTTTCCATTTTGTGGAAAAACAGTAATCCAGAACACGCTCGGAAGAATTGCAAGGTCTTACGAGTTGTATATACGCAGGGAAGGATAATCTTCTACTATCCCCATGGTATTTGCTTTAGAGGACTCCTTATAGAAAAACAATTGTTTTAAGATGGAATGAGTACTCCTTTTGTTCCTATACGGGACCAAATCAAGTGAGAATAATGGACCAAATGCCCAGCCGGCTCTGTGTAAGACCCCAAGTGAGTGTTATAAAACAGGTATATACGAAGGTATTGGCCAGCGACTAATTGGATTTTGTGTTTAGGTTTCTGTTGTGGTTCGACGGTTTGCCACTGGTGACATTTTTTTTTATTTGTAGTAGACATTTTGAATCTTTCCAGGCCTCGCTTGATTAAGTTGGCCAAAATATTGAAGCCACTATTACTTCTTTAAGATTGCGCGTTAGACAAGGACGGTGCACCACGTGTTGTGTAGACCTGTTATAAGATCTTAAAGGAAAGCTTGAACTCCCCTGGTGTCGTTATTCGAATGATGTAGGATGGATGTTACGATTTGCGGAAATTAAATGCTTTTTGATAGTGGCTCGTTTGTGTCTAGTGTGTCTAGCTCTGTCTAGATCCTGTACTCTGGCAATGCTCTATCCAGAGGCACATCCCCGTATTGGCCATATAAGGAAGTACACCCGCCGGGTAACCATTGACTGCAAGCCACCTAGTACAATAGCGAGGTTTAACCCATTCGCCCCTGAACCGCCTGTAACCGCCCGTGTGGATCCGCGTCCTTTCTACCCTTTATGACGTCATCAGTTTTTAACGGTCAAGGACAACTTTGTCTGCTAACTTGTGCAGAGGGAAGAGATCTTTCAAACCATACCAGAATGAGCACAATTCAGTCAAGGACACCGGAGAAAGAAGCGAAAAACCATGTGACATTAACCTGAAAATCTCCATGAAAATCTTCTTCCATTGCTCACACACCTTTCCTTTCACCTAATCCTAAGATCCTAAAAGCTTTCCTAAAAACTCTTCCCACCAAAACGAAGCCTACAAAATGCCCAGCAAGAGAAAAAAAAATGAGGCAAGAAAAGCGAAAAAAGAGGGGAGGAGAGAAAGCAAAAAGTAAAAGTCCAGACTGCTGTGTCACTTTTAAACTCAAAAACTCGAAATCTCGAAATTTTGTTTTCTGCGCATGCCCGAACTTTGCAAGCTGATATTTTGCATCTGGATCAGAAGGCCGCGAAGTGTACGACCTGTAAACCGGTTTGTGGTAAGTTTTAGCTCTTTATAGCACGACAGTGACAAGAAAACCACTCGACTAGCTTCAAAACGCGTTTTTTTGGCAAAATCCCCAGGAGCGAATGGATTAAGAATACAGCATTTCGTAAATCAGATAACTAATCAACATTAATCTAAAACAATGTTTAGGACTGTGAATAAAGTTAAATGTTTGAATGAGCGGAGTTGCTACGTGCTAGCAGACGTCATCATCTTTGTTTATGAAGTACCATGCATATTTTGGCGTTATATTAATGTTGACGAAGTAAGTATAATTACTCTCAAAAAGTTATTACAAAGTGCGATGGAATTATTACAAATTGCGACAGCTTAGTTTATTACAAAGTGCGATGGACAGTTATTACAAATTGCGACAGCTTTTTTATTACAAAGTGCGACACGGTTTATTACAAATTGCGACAGGTATTACAAAGTACGATGGATTTATTACAAATTGCGACAGGTATTACAAAGTGCGATGATTATTACAAATTGCGACAGTACAGGGACCTTACGAAATTACGACGGCGATGGCAACGGCCGGAACGTCAAAAAAGCAATAGGTTTACTGAGCATCACGCTTTTTTGTACATTTCTTTGCCGTCCCTGGATAACTGGGACGTGAATTGACCAAATTATGAGTTAACTTGGGAACGGAAACGGAAAGGTGATAAATTCTACCATGTCTGTCACAAACCCGGGAGCGGTCTCTTCTCTTCAGCTCCAACTCAATTTCCCTTCTTTTAAGTAACTGGGACCCTTGGATTAATCGCGAAAAAAAGTGAAAGGATGCGAAGTCTATTTTTCAGCGACGTTTTCATGGACTTCGCCGTTGTCGGATCATAAGGTCCCTAATGTATGCGGGGCTGCGACCTCGATCGCTGAATCAGAATCAAGGAAAGTCTTTTAATTTTTAAAAATTTCGTTTACATGATATGCATATCAACCGTCAAAGGTGAAATGAGTGAAAATGTACACTCAAGTTGGAAACTTGTTAGAGCCTCGTATGTGATGTATTTACCACTACTGAAATTAGAATCAATTTCCCCTTTTTCTAGGTTGCTCTTATGTCGACAAGTGTCACTCACAAACAGCAAGTTGAACCGCACTTCAAGGATGTTCCAATCAATCATTTTGGTAAAGATGGAAACACTTTAGGAGATGAAGAGTACAGGATGCCACACCCAGTCTGGTAATGAAACAAACATTCATGCTTACAAAAGTGCAGCCTTCGGAATAAAAGACGTTTTAGTTGCAAATCATGTAAAAATCAACTGTGTTTATCTGAATGGAGTCAGAACCACCTTATACAGCGTACTTTGCGGCACCACGGGAAAGTACTGCTCAGTAGCTTTCATTTAATAATCACACTTAAAGATTTCATTCACAGACTCAAAAGTGAGAACCTCCTTGTACAGCGTACTTTACGGTACCACTGGAAAGTACTGCTCAGTAGTAAGCTTTCCTTGATAGCCACACTTAAAGATTTCATCCACAGACACAAATGTTATAACCACCTTGTATAGCATAATAAACAGTACCGCAGGAAAGTACTGTTCAGTAGGTTTCATTTGAATGGTCACACTTAAAGATTTTATCCAAAGACTCAAAAGTTAGACCAATCTTGTAGGGTGTAATGTACACCACTACAGGAAAAAGAACTACTCGGTGGTTTTCATTAGAAAATGTTCGAACATATTTTGTCAAGATTTAACAGTGAAAATAGCCTTGTACACGGTAACAAAGAGAAACAAAAGTATCACCCGTATCTCGATCCTCCGTAACCAATGTAGCCTCCCACGCAGACGTTTTTAGGGGTTCGTCACGCGTTCGTGGGGCAGGAACGCGTGACGAACCCCTAAGAATGTTTGCGTGGAAGGCTATAGCCAATGGGTCTTATATCAGCATTTGATTTCAGGTCGCAAGAAGATGTAGTAAACGTTCAGATAACCCACGAAAAACCTGAAAAGTTTGTAGACAAGGTATCTTTGCGTAGTCATTGAATTTTATATTTTTTTTCCTCAGTTAACCTCAAAATGTCTTTTGTGAACTGGCATCCTGCCGTTTAGGTTCCCCTCATCTTTGCTCTTTTCCTTCTGAATTCTATAATAAAGAATTAATTTTTCTAACAAACGTACTGTTTCTTACATTTGCGTCTCCTTTTTTCCCTTTCGATTACAGCTCGCATACAGGAGTGTCCAGGCTTTAAGAGGCGTCTTTGACACATTGTCATTGTACCACTTTGTAGAGTTGGACGAAAATCGCTGGCTAAAGTAAGTTTCAAGCAATTTAAAATCTCTTACCATCGTTCCCCGGTTCTCTCGCTAACAACGACATAAACGAGGCTTTGGGAACGAAGCTTTGAACTCTACCCCGAGCCGAACACCCTACCTTCGGGACCAGCTTTGGCTGAACAATCCCGCGAGCCCACCTTTGGCGGCATGGTCGAACCCTCGGGACAACTTTTGTCTGTATGGTGTAACCTTCAGGACCACTTTTGGCTGTATGTTCTTACCCTCGGGACCACCTTTGGTTGTATGTTTTTATCTTCAGGACCACCTTTAGCTGCTTGGTCTAGCCCTTGGGACTAGCTTGGCCGCATGGTCTGTAAAGTAAAGTAAAACTTAGACAATGAACAACAGGGGCCCGAGGATGGACCCCTGCGGCACTCCAGAAGTTATAGCAAGCTCTTCAGATGACTGAACTGTATCCCTCATACTATAACTGTATCTGTCTTACAGAGATATTTGTTTTGAACACTTGTTAAAATTTTTAAACTGGCCACGAAAGGACAGAGAGATATAATCAGTTTATATTTGCTCTACCCTTAGTCGCATCATTATGCTGGAAACAATAGCTGGAGTTCCTGGTATGATCGGTGCTATGTCAAGACACTTTCACTCATTAAGAAAGCTTACAAGAGACAACGGATGGATACATACCTTATTAGGTGAGTCACTTTAGATAAATCAAACCGTAACAATACTGAAGATGACTGTAGCATCTGACCTATTTCAGTCGACTACACGCAAAAACACAGCACAGATAACGGTAACGTAATATAGCATATCGTAACGTAACATCGCATACCATAATGCAACAGCCTGCCATGGCGTAGCGTAAGGCAATGTAATGAAGGTAACCAAAAGTAACATAACATAGCAAACGTAATGTTACTAACGTAACAAAACATGGATAACGTAACGTAGAATAGCATAGCTTAACAAACGTACCGTAATGTAGCAAAGCGTAACGTAACACCAGAACAAAGCATAGCTGGCGCAACATAGCAGAACATAGCATAGCGTTGTGTAAAGCTGCAATACATACGTTACGCAACATAACGTAGCATAACAGATCGTAACATAACACAACAGCTAACGTAACTTAGCATAGTGTAGCGTAACGCAATGTGACTTGAAGGCACAAAAAGCACGACTAAGCAAATAACTAGCATTCAATATCTAACGTGGCAAAGAACAGCATATCGCAACATCAGAACAAAGTGTAGCTAGTGTAGTGTAACAAAACATAACCGGCGTAGCGCAACATACAGCTGCCAAAGCAGACGAAACGTTAGATAACGTAACATAACTTAGCATATCATAGCAACACAAATGTAAAGTTAAAGTTCCTTCGCATAAATCGCCATAGCTATGTAGGTGAGGTGACTTTCAAGGAGCATGTTTTGCCTGGAAGTAAAATATCTCATTTGTTTATAGAGGAAGCTGAAAACGAAAGGATGCACTTGATGACAGCTCTGGAAATGAAGAAACCTGGAATAATTTTCCGTGGAGCAATTTTGTTAGCTCAAGGTAATTTCATTTTCTGAGAAAACTATTATTGCTTTGACGAGTCCGTCAGCCATCGTGACTATAACAAATTCTTCAATCTGATTGGCTGTCGGCAGTTCTGATTTCAACATTAATAGGCCAGTTGCTCTTGAATAAATTCTATTATTCCTTACGTCTAGAGAAAAAAATCTCGAGAAACATTGTGTTTTCAAGTTGAAATTATCACAATTGACAAAAATTTTGCAGGTAACAGAACTTCGTGTTGTCCAATTCTGTCTTTAAAACTGATCAAACTTGTGGTTAAACAAATCTGACTCCAGCTCGAGGTCATCCTATTTTGGTAAAACGCTGGTACGATGACAGGCCGAATTGGACACCACTCTCTAATATTACTATTACTTACAAACCTGTATTTCTTGTTTTGCATTTTGTCAGGCATTTTTGTGAACTTGTTTTTCCTGGCTTACGTCATGAGTCCCAGGTTCTGCCACAGATTTGTTGGATATTTGGAGGAAGAAGCAGTCAAAACTTACACTCACTGTCTTGAGGTATATATAGCTGCTTTCTTAACTGCCTTCAGTTTAGTTCCTTTAGGTTACTTCGTCCGTAATCGGATGTATCCTCCTGCCAGCGCAGACTGTCTCCTGCATCTTTTTGCAAGCCTTGGCCAAGTCGAACTGCCGACTGCCTCAAACATGTCTTCGCACCCTACCATGTAGCACTGATCTCAATACTCTTTCAACACTTCTCTTTTCCTCCCAAGACTGCCATACAATACATCTCGGCGGCTTACCATTTACAAAACGTTTCCAGAAAGTTTCGGTTGGAAAGTAGAACACAACTTTTCGGGTCGTTCCATGCAGTGGAAAAGTCCCGAAAGTTATGCAAAGTCTGAAAAGATGGTCCTGTTTTACCAGTTGAAATGTTCCAAACGGAAACTAACTAGGATTCGTGCTTCACTTCATCAAAGCTATTTTTAATCCCAGTTTCAGGCTTTCGCGAACGTTTTTCGGTAAGTGAAACTGATTTGTGCAAATGGTAAATGCGCAGATTCGGGTACCGAATTTACCAGCCCTAAATTTTCTTTATCATTAGCCCAAACCGTGAACCGACCGGTTTAACACATGTAAATGGTAAACAAACTTTACCATGGAGACATGCCCAGCCCGTTTCCACTTTCATGGAAGCAATGTTGCTGATAATGTCCTTCACTGTTTACTGAGTGCATTCGGATTATTAGATGAATAATCTCTGAGCTGATTTTTTGATAAGACACACGGAGAATCTTGTCAAATCTTGTTCTGTTTTAGGACTCCTTGGTTCAGCATGTTCCATTAATTCCTTTGTTTTGTTATTTCTTTTACATTTAGTGTATTGACAGCGGCAAGTTGCCTTTGTGGGAAAATCTACTGGCCCCTAAGATTGCTGTCAACTACTGGAAATTGCCGGTATGAGTCGCTGAGTTCGTCGCAATCATTTTAATTCAGTATTTCCTCGTCTTACGCAATAAAATCGTTTTGTCACATGACATCGCGCTGCCGCCCGGCCAACATTTCTGACAGTAGGGAGCTTAAGCAACAAGGACGGCGACGGCTACGAAAACGTCACTTAAAAAATGAATTCGCACTGCCTTAAACTTTATCGCGCTTATTCCATCTCGTTCTCATCTCATTCATCAAACGTCGGCAAACTTTTTTGAGTTGAACTCTAAAGGACTGTATCAAAGTTCAAGAAAAGAAAAAAAAGTTGTTGTCTTGTGTTCCCGTCCACGACAAAACGTAAAATTAGGCACTTTCACGTTGTATTCGTGCAACGACGGCAAAGAAATGTACAAAAATGCGTGATGCACGTGCAAATTTTCTATTTTGCTAATATGGTCCTATTGCTTTTTTCCCGCTCTCGTTGCCGTCGCCGTCGTCGTTGCTTAAAGGTGATGTTACACGAAACGATTCGCAACGACGATTTTTAGCGCAACACAGCGTTGCAACATTGTTGCGACATTGTGTCGAATGGTTACAACATTGTTCCATGAACATTGCAACGCTGTGTTGTGCCAAAAATCGTCGTTGCGAATCGTCCCGTGTAACATCACCTTTTGTTACACGGGACGATTCGCAACGACGATTTTACCACAATACAGCGTCGCAACATAGTTGCGACATTGTCTCAAATGGTTGCAACACTGTTCCATCATTGGAACGCGGTGTTGCGCTTAAAATAGTCGTTGGGAATCGTCCCTTGTAACATCACCTTGAGCTCCCTAATACTCAATATTTGACACTCTCAATTTGGTAAAATAATTTGAAAATAATTTGCCCTATGGACATTCAGAAGCCTTCGAAAGCTTGCTATGAAATATTAAATTAATAAACATTTTTCTAGAACAATTTTCAAACTTTTCAGTAAAATTTTCCTCTGAGTGCGATTTTAAATTATTTCAAACTCGTTACAATCTTTCACGCTTTTTTGTCTCCACTTTTTCTCTAGGAGGGCTCGACAATGCGTGATGTCATTCTGGTCATTCGAGCTGATGAGGCCCATCATCGAGTCGTTAATCATACACTTAGTTCCCTGCCACTGTGTGCACAAAACCCTTTCCTTCCGGGCGAGAAAAAGCTGTAAACAGATTCCAAGTAACTTTTTGGCGGTGCAGTGTGAGCGATTATCTAGACTGAGAAAACAGCCGGCATTTCGCGACTTCAGCACTGGTTTCCCCACGAAATGACGTCTGAGGAACGTGCGCAGAAATTCCATACTGATGACGTGTCACTACACAGAACTGGGTACTGCTTTTGATTGGCTGAAGCAAGTTTCCGTCGCGGCACGACCAATCAGAAGCACCAACCTAATATGGGTAGTGGCGGATACGTCATCAGAATGGAATTTCTGCGCTCGTTCCTCAGACGTCATTTCGCGGGGAAACCAGTGGTGGCATCGTAAGATTTCATCGTTTTTCTCAGGCTAGCGATTTTCGTGATCGCTTGTACTCCATGCTAAACAGAATAAGTTTCTAAAAAAGTCAGTTATACGGTAGCATTAGTGTTGTTCTTATCCTTTTTTGAGGAGTGTTGTATGACGAAAACTGAGAAACGATCTGGCCATCCGTACCAATCAGAGCTCAAAGAAAAGATACGAGAAAAGATTAAGCAGGAAAACATCAGTGCACTTATCAAGCGCGGGAAAATTAAATACATCACGTGTTTGCCATGATTTGCTGGTAAAGTACACCTCACTAAGTCAAGAAAAGTCAATGAAAGGGTAACTTGTAGTATATTTTTGTAAATATCATTTCACTTTATTTCCCGAACAGTTCGGGGAAGAAATTCGCTGTATGTAAGAAAAACTTACGGATCAAATTTAGGTTTCTACGGAAACTACCCAACTACCCCTCTCCTAACTCAACGTTAACATTTGCGTCTCACTTAGGACAAAATGTTGGGTTAGGGGAGGGGTGGGCGGTAGTTTCCGAGAAAACCAAATTCATCCAAACTTTCTATCACATATGGGTGTAGAAAGATGCTACCAAGATTAAGTAATTGAAAACCGACAGTTGTGCTGGTAAATAGAGCTATGTCTAGCAGTCCATTTTTTGTTAAGCTCGACAAAACTTGTAATAAAGTTCTGTTTTTTTAGTAGTCTGCATTTTGTTGCAAAGTGGATTTACAAGACGGGGATGACGGGAAAAGGATTCACTTTCTTATAAAATACTTCTAACATCATAGTAATATGCGACTGGGCGGAATAAGAAGCAAGAATATGTTAGCTGAACGAAAATCGTTCGTCGATTCACCTTGGTTACCCCACTTAGCGACCCATCCCTCACATTCAGTACTGTGTGTTATACCCCACTCGCTTGATACGAAAATCTCCAAGTGCAAAATTTAAGATTGATGTTTTTGTTAACAGTTCCAGTGACGACCGTTCTACAACAGCAAGACAAATCTTTCACATAAAAAGAAACAACATAGGAATCAATAAACACTTTAACTGAAATATCTTACCACCAATAACATTTATTTCGTATGTCTTGCCTGTTTCGTAAAGCAAAGTTTAAATGACAAAAATTTATCCGTGAGCCTGACAAGATTTCTATTAAACAGCAAGGTTCGCGTTAAAATATTTTACAAGAGTCAACAAATCTTTGGCCTAGCTAACAATAAATAAGCTGGACATTATTGATTAAAATGCTTTGATCCAAATGTTTTCCATAAATATCATTTTTTGTTACTTTCAGTTATAATCTCCCATATTAAACTGGCAACATGCTGTTTCTGGACAGTTAAGCATGCGAGGAGTTTTCTGGGAAGGAAGCTAATTTCTTGTTTACTTCTACTGCTCACTCACAAACCTTGCTCCCTTGTTTGTTCAAGCGTGAACTTGCCACCTTCACTGTTCCAAGTAGAGAGTTATAATTCAATTTTCTTCTCTGATTATGTTTGTCAGGTTGTTCAGAGGAGCTCGTTTTTTCTGCAAAACCAATTTAGGGAAATATAAGGATTCGCAAATATTGGTCAAATGTGATGTCTACCTTACCCAACCATGACCTCACCAAACCTCTTCACACTCTGTTGCCCATATTTGTCTGACTTTTTTACAGGGGATGGGGCATTAACGCTTTAAGTCCCAATAGTGCTCAAAATCAATTTTCTCCTAATGATATCCATAGACTATCATGAGCAAAGTCTATGAGAGTTAACAAAATGATCACAAAGAGAAAAATATTTGATCTTTTACCAAATTCTCTCAACTAATTCTTCAAGGAAATGTATGGAGATCAGTTTGGAGAACTTCTATGTGGATATATTATTGGGACTTAAAGAGTTAAGCCATTACCCAACTGAGGGGGGGGGGGCAGGCATTGCAATTTGTCAGGCATTCCATCCAAAAGAACCTGCTCAGGACAGTTGGACCGACCAGGAACTGAGGTTTCAACTGGTCTTGACTTATAGGATCACCTAGAGACATAACCTTGCCTCCAATAATTATTAAGGTGCAACACTTAAGGAAAGGGAACAGCAGCCTATTATTCAATAACTATTATTTACAAGTATTGATTTGCTACAGCTTTTCTGACTTCACATTTTTTTAAACTTCAGTGCATTTATCCCACTTGGCCTACTTTGTCAAAATGTAAGCAAACTCTCCTGGAGTTGAATTCGTAAGAAAAAAATCCAAGTCCAAAAAGAGAGAGAGAAATTTGTCGTCGTTTGTTTACATGTAACATTAGGCATTTCAAGTTGCAGCCATGCAGTGATGGCAGAGAAATAAACAAAAAAGTAAGTGCACAACTGCCATTAAGAGGCGGGGGCCGGGGATTTCTCCCACCTACTATGAACATGGCCCCCCGCTTCTTTCAAAGGAAAATAAACGAAAAATAGAACCAAAAAAAATCCGTAGCTGTTTGATTCCCCTCCTAGCTACTTGTTGTATTTACCCTGCAACTTGAAATCTTAGTGACAACACTATAAGTGTACTGCACATGCAAAGTTGTTGTTTTGCTAATATAAATATTTTGCTTTAGCTTTATTGACATTTTCATTGCCATCGCCCTTATCATTAGGCTCGATTTCCGCCATCTCCCGGGTCCGGTCTTGATCCGGTCTTGGGGGGATGAGTGCGGGCTCATTTTCCCGAACAGCGGCTGGTAATCGAGCCTACCTTATCATTATTCGTAGTATTAGTGCACTTACATTGCTACTCATCCCTGGTAAGGAAGCAGATCTCTTTAAATTTTTCTTTTCTGTAAAAAAAATATTGGAAAAAATTTTCATCACTTTCACCAATATACACACTATATATACCAAAAGACTGTGTTCAAATGATGTCACAGCGACCATATTGGTGTCCCAAAACAATGAAATGGCAGCCATGCTGGTGTCCCAAACCAATCCTGTGGGAGTTGAACTCTTTTACTATGTTCCAATAAATTTGCATAGATGCTGGCCATATGAGTGAAAAAGCTCTATACAAGGTTGGATTGAGATATGGGTAGCTAAAATCTTTCTCAAACTCAGAAATGAAAAATGCAGCCTAGTATTTCACTGGAAATTTTTAGGTTGGGGTGTGCCACTGAAAGCATGTGACCCTTGGATCACTTTCAGCTGCATTTTGCAACCCCTCTTCTACAGTAGGCATCAAAAATCCCAACCTACTCCCAGACTAGGCTACGAACCAAAATTATAAAAAATAACATTGTTCAATGAACAATGTTATTATTTTTCAAAGAATTAATGATAGCCTTTTCTAGAACAAAACAGTCCCTGATTTCTACATGCTATCTCAGACAGCTTCAATACCTACCTTTCACAGAGGTACATCCCCATATAGCCAAAATTGGCAGCCCCATTCCCCTCAGTCTACAACTTTTTTGTAGTTGGCATGGTCTAGTCTGAAAAGTCATCTGTCTCCATCCCCTAACCACAGGGGTGGGGGGGGGAGGGTGAAGGGAAAGTCTCTCTCTGTTGTGCCCACCGCAGGCTGCAGCATAGGCAGTGGAGATGGATGACATTTCAGATTAGGTATAGTCTCAAAATAAGGTTTAGTTGGAGTTCACAGTGAAATTCTTTTAGAACTCATTAATACATTGTACAGTACATGTATAGATCTCTAAATTAGCCTGGTTCTTTACCCTGATGCTAGTATGTGAGTAATCAAGTGGACTTACTTTTCCTAGTGTCTTTCACCAATTCTACTCCAAATAACTTGGTGTCTGTAAATGGGTCACCTCTGCGCAGTTTGCTATTTAACAATGACACAGACAACAGTGATAAATAACATTACCAAATTAACAACAATTTCCCATGGTTTTCTAGTTTCTTATCAAGCACAGAAACAATGTCAAAATGTTCAAAACTCAAGTGGAACCATAAGTCCCAGGGGTAGTTTCACTGCAAAGTTTAGTTTGTAATAACTGCTGCCATGTTTTAAGTGCACGAACATGTATTGTAAAGCATACAATGTACGTACTATGGAAATCGTAGTGAAATAATTATACAAAATGAAAGTAAAAACTAACAGTAAAAATTCCTCACTTGCGAAGACCCGGTTCAGTATAACTGACACCCGTACAACTTTTCCTCTTTGAACGTCTTGTGGCAAGTTCTTGTGTTATAATGTCTAATGACATTCCATCATCATCAACATCTGGTTGTTTTGACTGAATTAGTGGATCTAAAAAGGAACAATCATTTTTAAAATGACACAATGTATTCATGTTCTTGAGGACAACTACTACCAAAAAGGCAAATTTAACAAACCTCCAGTCATGGCTGGGTCAAAAGTTTCAATAACAACAGACTGCGATGCTGTAAATTCCATCTCTGTCGGCTCATCAGGAGGAGGAGTGGTGCATGCAATTTTTGCTTCCGGTGGCTCCATATATTGCTCACTATTGTCCATTACATCTACCTTGGACAGACTAGAACTGACAAGATTTACAGCATCTGACAGACTGTTGGTTCCTTGGACATAAAATGCGGAGGACTGACTAAGCAGGTTGTAAACCTTACTGAAGACAACCTATAACAATATGAAATATTGATTATTACAATAATAAAATATTGTTAAGGGCCCATGTTCCCCCAAGCAGCTTTGCACCCCTTGTACTCCAGGAAAATGATTTCGCGTAGTTGAAAATTGCCATCTTCAGTGTGTGTTGGGTCACGCCTCAGCCAAGCATGAAAAAAGGCGAACACTCTGCCAATCAAAACACTGAATTTGACAAAAGATTGAAAAAAAGGATTTCAAAACAAAACCACAATGCGTGCAAAGCTGCTTGGGTAAACATGGGCCCTTAAAAGGATAGTTTAGACTAAAGTTCATAACCATCTTGGACATAGAGACCAACTATGCATGTAAAACTAACTCAGCAGCATTCAGAGAAAATCACGTCAGATAGCTAGGGGCCAGTGGTTTTTGCTATTGACCTAGTGAATTCTATTCTTTATAACTTGCCCGAAAGGGGAAAGTGAATTTTTTTCGGGGGAATTCAAGTTACAGGAGATTTGTAACCAATCTGGTCAAGAATTATTTTTGGCTAGTAGTTAAAATGACTTTTGGGCTAGTAAATGTTAGCTACATTCTTTCCCCCCTGCTCAGTGAAGAAGACACTGTTCTCCTGTTCTGCAATGCAAGTATAGCCAAAGTTTAAAAAACAATAATAACAATTTTATTATAAAAGTGAGAGAAGAAAGAGGATATACTTAACTTATTTAAGAAAGTGAAGACAAGGGAGGGAGGGCACTTACCGGTATTCGCAATTTTTGCTGTGGGGGATGGGGTTCTAAATTTGGGGAGCATCAGCACCAGTGTACTCTTAGCACAGTAACACCTTCAAGCAAAATAGAAAAGCCGACTCTCCAACCAACTTTCCAGCGTTCCCTACTCAACCTAATGCCTCCATCTAATGTTATTCTAAAAAATGGTGAAAACCTGAGCAGGAGGCTTATTACAGCAAGGGTACCTGTACTTGCCCAAGGAAAACACAGCAGACCTTAAACCTACCTGAGCTTCTTTTGAGAGGTATTCAACAGACTTCACTTGTTTCTCTAGTTTGCTGCTTTTCTCAACAAAATTAAGATGGTTGTCACAAATTTGCTTTTTCAGACTGATGTTTTCTTGGTGCAGGGATCTTACTTGTTGCTGTGCCTCCGCTGAAAAAGATTGACATTTACAGCCGTATTTACCAAAAAAAAAGTACTAACAATTGACTGAATACCTTAACCTGCTATCCATATTCTCAAAAGATGGTATAATTCCTCCGAAATTTACTACAAAATGCAACTAGCAAACAAATGGAACAATAACAATAATAATAATAATAATAATAATATAATAATAATAATAATAATTGGGCACTGGGGTAGGACAGGTTGGACCTCAGCCTACCACGGGGAAATGGACAACCCCGCCCACCAGAGTCTGGGGTGACACCTTTGGCAAGTGTTCGCAACCCCACAGCCACCCCTGCTAGGGTTACAGCACAGGGTAGATAGGGCTCTGTAAAACATTGGTAGGTATTCTATCTAGTGGTGGCACCACGAATAATAATAATCTCTCACCAATGTGATGATAAGTATGTCTATTGTGGATATGAGTAACGGCGTGAATAGGACTGGAGTCTTTGACGAAGGTGCCTTGCCCGGCAGGGTTACTGGGGGACAGCAGCCAGCACCCGGTCGTTATCCTGCTACTGCGGCTCAAGAGAGTGGTTCGAGAAAGGGAAGAAGGAAATGGCCAATCGAGGAGAATAGGGTTTTGATGGAATGCTATTTTAAGAGCATCCCGGAGAAAAGAGGGTACCGCCAGAGAATGCTTAGGTTGTGGGATGAGAAAGGAATGGTAAAAGTGACTGAACAGAAGCTTGCAGACCAGGCCCGTACTATCTTGAAAAGTAAATGGTTCACAGCTGTGGAGCTAGAAGAGATCAAGAGGAACAAGCATGGAAACTGTGATGAACAAAATGGGACAGTTGTTGTAGAGGAAGCTAACGATGGTAACGAGCATGAATTACCTACCGAGAATGTAAAGGAGATGGACCCACAGATGGCGCAAGAAGCCCAGGTACAGAGTGAAGGGTGTGATGAAGCACCTCGGCAATTGTCTGAAGACCAACTGGTAATTTGGAAAAGACTGAATGAAATCAGATTGAGTCAGGACCAAGACAAAGTACCAGCTTTGAAGAAAATTGCAAAGCGAAGGATAAGAGAGGAACTCCAGGTTGTAGAAGAAGTAGCGGCCCAAATACAAACAAAAGACATCTCGGAAACCAACAGGCTACTGCATGCCACTGCAGTAGTAGTAACTGAAAGACTGGGTCTCAAACCTGGCAAGAAGAAAGCAACCAAAGAACCATGGTGGAAAAGACGGTTACAAGGACAGGTGGATCAGCTGCGAAAAGACCTTAGCCGATTAGAGCATGTCTATAGAAAAGAGTGCAGTAGGCCGAGAATCAGGAATCAGTTGTGGAGAAAGTACAAAATAGAGACCAAGGGGGTCGCAGTTGTGATTGAAGAACTGAAACAGCGTATCAGTGCAAAAGCTCATAAAATCAAGCGATACAATGACCGAATTTTGCAATACCAGCAGAACCGGTTATTTGAGGTTAATCGGAGGCAGTTTTACAAAGAACTTGATGACTCACAGGGAAGTGAACAACCGACTCCTGATGCTAATGAAGCCAGAGAGTTTTGGAGTAATATTTGGGACCGGCCAGTGGAACACAGAAGAGATGCTGGTTGGTTAAATGACCTAAAGGGAAAGACCCAGGTAGAACAACAACATGATCTGACCATTGATATTGATAAGCTACAAGCAATAAGGAAGATCCCAAACTGGAAGGCTCCCGGCCCCGATAACGTACAAGGATTCTGGTTGAAGAGCATGAAGAAACTACATGAACGGATGGCGTTGCAGCTGCAAGAATGCATTGATGGCAGGGGCATTCCTGAATGGATGACAAAGGGACGAACTGTTCTGCTGATCAAAGACAAGGTGAAAGGGAATGCTGTGGGAAACTATAGGCCAATAACATGTTTACCCATAATGTGGAAAGTACTAACGGGGATCATAGCAGAGGATTTGTACCAACATCTCCACCAGAGCTCATTGTTACCAGATGAGCAGAAAGGTTGCCGAAAGGAGAGCAGAGGAACAAAGGACCAACTGGTTATAGATATGGCAATACTTCGAGACTGCAAGCACAGGAAAACCAACTTAGCAATAGCTTGGATCGATTATAAGAGGGCGTATGATTCTGTTCCCCATTCCTGGATATTAGAATCACTTGATCTTGTAGGGGCTGCAGATAATATCAAGCAGCTAATGAGGGAAAGCATGGAGTCCTGGAAAACACAACTAACAGCATGTGGTAAGGACCTTGGTGAAGTGTCCATCAGGAGAGGAATATTCCAGGGGGATTCCTTATCCCCCTTGTTATTTGTGATTGCAATGCTGCCTCTCAGCAGTGTACTGAACGATTCAGGAGCAGGCTACCAACTCAGTAAGGAAGAGGGCAAGATAACCCATTTATTGTTGATGGAAGACCTGAAATTATATGGAAGAAATGAGAAGGAAATTAACTCACTTGTACATACTGTCCGGGTGTTCAGCAGTGACATTGGTATGGATTTTGGAATCGAGAAGTGCGCAACGATGGTAATGAAAAGAGGCAAGCTGGATAAGTCAGAGGGCATAAGATTGCCTGATGGAAGAATTATCCGAGGTGTATTGGAGATGATGTTGAAGGTTATAAATATCTGAGGGTGTTGGAGACCGATGACATTATGCACGACGAAGTGAAGAGAAGTATGAAGAAGGAGTACATTAGGAGAGTGAAGAAAACTTTGTCCTCAAAGCTAAATGCTGGTAATGTCATAAAGGCTATTAACAGCTGGGCTGTATCTCTACTCCGATACAGTGGGGGGATTGTAAATTTGACAAAGAGTGAGCTTGCTTAATTGGATCGTAAGACCAGGAAACTATCAACCATCCATGGCGCTCTTCACCCCAGGTCCAATGTAAGCTGCTTGTACCTACCAAGAAGAGAAGGAGGGCATGGACTAATTAGTGTTGAGGATGCCATTAATATTGAAGAAAGAAATATCAATGTCTATGTCTGTCAGAGCCAGGAACGGTTGTTGATAGCTGCATGGAAGAGGAAGAATGTCAATGAAATTGAAACGCCAAAGGAATATAAGGAAAAGATGAAAAGGAAAAGAACTGAGGACTGGTCTGGAAAGCAGCTGCATGGGCAGTTCAAGAGAGAGACAGATGACCTATCTGGTGTGTCTTGGGAGCGGATAAGAACTGGTGAACTGAAGAAGGAGACAGAAGGGCTTATTTTTGCCGCGCAAGATCAGGCACAAAGAACAAACGCCGTAAAAGCCAGAATCGAAAACCAAAATGTATCATCCAAATGCAGAATGTGTGGTAGCCACCATGAAACTGTGCAGCATATTTTGTGTAGTTGCCCCAAGCTTGCGCAGACAGAATATAAAAAGAGGCATGATGTTGTTGGGCGGGTCATTCATTGGGAGGTGTGCAAGGAATATGGAGTTGAGTGCAGTGACAAATGGTATGAGCTTTCCCCCAAAAGTGTAGAAGAGAATGAGGAGGTTAAACTGTTGTGGGACTTTACCATCCAAACAGACCGTGAAATCCATCACAAGAGGGCCTGACATTGTAATTCAGAAAAAGAAGGCAAAGGAAACAATCATTGTGGACATAGCTGTTCCCGGAGATAGTAATATTCTGCAGAAAGAAACTGAAAAGTGTGAAAAGTACCAAGACCTGGCAAGAGAGATTCAAAGGATCCGGAAATCAAGGACAAAAGTGGTGCCAGTGGTTGTAGGTGCATTGGGTTCAGAATCAAAGAAGCTGGAAGGCCACTTGGAGCAACTAGGAATTAAAAACCGAACAAGAACGATGCAAAAGTCGGCACTCCTCGGACATATCCTCAGAAAGGTGCTGGAAGTCTGAGGTATCGGGATGAGACTTGACTGGATATTTCTCCCCAGGGAAAATCCCTATGCTAAATTTTACATAATAATAATAATAATAATAATTGAATACCGTAAAATTCTGAAAATAAGCCCCGGGGCTTATATTTTTCAAAGGCCCTTTTTGACGGGTTTATTTTTGGAGGAGCTTATATTCGAAGGGGCTTATCTACGGAGCGTAATTTGCGTTTCACAATCAATTGGGCTAGCCTTATAGTTGGAAGGAAATTTACCATTTTTGCTTTGTTTTACTTTGTACGTATTTGAGGGCAATTTCCAAGTACAAGCCCCTGGGGGGGCTTATATTTGGAGGGGCAATTTAATGGAGGGTTTTTTGCATTACGAGTTTGGGGGGCTTATATTTGGAGAGGCTTACACATGGAGGGGCTTATTTTCGGAATTTTAGAGTACTTTAATAATCTCTCCCCTCATGTAGGCTCAATTACCAGCCGCTGTTCAGGAAATGAGAGAGCGGCGGAAATTGAGCCTACCCTCATGGGGCTTTTCAGGGATTATAAAACACATAATGAAACATAACATGGTAAAAAAAATCCCAACTGGTAGGAGGCAAACCAGTTGGCTACTTTACAAGTGTGGCCAAGGATGTGATTTTAGGACTACCAAGAAAAAAATCCAGCCTGTGGTAAGGACGGCTCTTGAATTGGGGGCTCAAAAATTTCAAGCCCAGCGCTCCAACTATTTGGCCACTCTGTCTTCTCCTCCTAACATAAGTAATTGTACCTAATGCTGCTGCCAGAGCTCTATTGTTTGCCATGAGGGTGACAGAGGCAGATGTCTCAGATCCATCTGTAAAGAAACATTATAGTCCTTGTGTTAAGGGGCTGCAATCATGAAGTAACAACAACAACAACAAATGTATTTAGTTATGCTAGCCACATACGCAAACAAATATTACAAAAAATTGAAGCAATATGGTGTTCTTTATCAGAATACAAAATGTTACAAAATTTAATAGAGAATAATTAATTATGTAACAATTTACACAATGCAGCTAATTTTATAATCATTATTATATATGTTGGTGAGCCAGAATTTTTGGAGAATGATGCAATCCAGCAGAAGGCAAAGAGGCACGTTTGCTTTTAAATTTGGAAAGTGATTGTGCTGTTTTTGCCTCGTAAGAATGATTGTTCCAGAGCATTGCACCACTATACTTAAAAATATGTTTGAGGAAATTAGTTTTTGTCCTTGGAAGTGCTAGATCAGTTTCAAGATTCCTAAGATTATAGTTGATGTTTCAATAATAGGATTTTTTACAAGAGGCTCTCAGATGGGGGGCTGATTGGTCATTGAGGATTTTGTACATTAGGGTACAACCTTAATATGTGAGCACCTGGTTACTGTTGGTACTGTTATGGGTGCCATGCACTGTAAAAATAAATTTGTTAAGGGAGCAGTTATCTATGATTCACCATCCCTGGAGTGGTGAAGAAAAGAATATTTCACGACACTTATCCAAAAGTCCAAAATCTTTCCCTTCAAAGCACTCTTGAGTCACTATAGTTGACACATCTTGCAAGGGAATGCAACTAATTATTATTGGGCGTGATTTTTTCACAACGTCCCCCTTTTATACATAACACTATCCAACCCTAGTTAGAAAAGAGAGTTTCCTGAGGATTTATGAGACAGTGACGTATTCTAGTTATGAAGCTTCAAGAGGGTTCACAAGTTATGAAGTCCTATGTGAGTTGTTTGAACTACATGTCTGACCTCAGTGTGCAAAGAAAGTAGTGTCCGAGAGCCCAGGGCTAGTGGATTTTGCTTTCGGGCTAGTGAATTCTGTTTTTAACTTGCCCGGCAGGCAAGTGATGTTTTTTGAGGAATTTGAATAACAGAAGAACTGTGAAATCAATTTTGCTCGTCAAAAAGCTTTTGGGGCTAGTTGGAATGACAACTGGGCTAGTAAATGCTAATTCAGCTTGCACCCTGGACCTGCTTCTGGTAGACAGCCCCTATAACACAAATGTTTTATTATCCTTCAAAGCCCCAAGAGTGACCAACATCAGTTCTCTCACAAATACATAGCCTGTGTACAGATGCCCCTTTCTCTAAAAAAAATTGGGATAGAAAAATTTGTGAATCCCTGTTGTTCATCTTGCCTGCGGGCAGACGTCTCCTATTTCCTTTGTTGCACGCGGAAAAGGTACGCCTGCGTAACGCCGTCGCTAATCCTGTTCCAGCGTCCCGCTGGCACGGTATTCTATTTCACATAAATTGTGAAATAATATCCGGTTAGAAGTAAGAGTTGACAGGCCAAACAAAACATCATAAGCTCGTATACGGGTGAAACGTGACCTTGAGAGTCTGCTTGAACAGATGTTTTTCTTCTTTTCTCTCTCGCGCGAAGATTACTAGCACTACACAGTGCATGTAGCATTCTAACCTTTGACTGAGTAAATCTCATTTTTGCCGCGCTAAGTCTTCCATTTAGAAGTCATGAAGCAGGTTTGTTACATGCATACTGAGTAATCATTTCCTGTGGTTTATGCTTCTGTGGGTGTTCCCGATAGGATTTGATTTCAGATGCAGTTGTAAAGTGTTTAAATTTTCTTGACCTCTGTTTGTTACGGCTAAATAAAGATTTTAGTTTCTTTGGCTGGCTTTCTCCGAAATGCCTTCCTAGTGCGAAGTCCACGCCGCTTTTGTAGTTTTCTCAGACACTGTTTACAAATATGATGTGATGTGTCACGCACAGTAAATTGTAAAGAAATAATTTCCTCGTACACGTTAAATTTTCCGCGTCCCCGCACAAGATTTCGATCGCTCTGCTTTTCAATCGACGAAAAACACAGCACACAATCGCACATGTTTTGATTTGTTTTGGTTAGAAAACCCCGCTTACATAAATCACGCATACATTATCAGACCACATTCGATAACAACCCATCAGCGTTAAGTCAAACAATGCGCACTGTGTGTCAGCCTATCACAGCGTGTTCCCAAGATCTTGGGAACCCAGCAGGATGCTGGAACACGATTAGCGACGGCATTACGCAGACGTCCCTTTTCCGCGTGTAACAAAGGAAATAGGAGACGTCTGCACGCAGGCAATTGTTCATCATGTTCCAGTATACATTTAAATAAATTATTGTTTGTTTTTGCTTTTCCTCTGACAGTGGATTCCTGTGAAGCACGTACGCAGTTACTATCTCAGCTATTCTCAACTTTTATAACTAGGCGAGGCTCTAACTAGAGTATATGATGCTTTGGAAGATTCTAACATACATGTTCTTCCATCTTTTTTAGCTCATAAACTGTGGTTTTTGTTTTGACAGAATTTTGATCTCGGAAGCACCTTTTACATTTTCAATTAAGCATTTTACGCAGGAGTTCATCCATTTCAAGATTTTGAGTAGAAGGGTCATGACTGGTACATACAGGCTGAAAAACAGCCTGTGTACAGATGCCCCCTAACGTCTGCACACAGGCCAGCCAAAAAACTTCCACTTAATGTCCACGCTCAATATCCAGATTTAAGATCTCTGATTAACCGTTGAATTCTGTACGTCCTTCTCTTTTATTTACAATACCTACCAGAAGAGAACAGATGCACCTGCAACTGGTGCTGCAAAAATCGCTGGTCTTTCATGCCTATTCCAGAGAGCTGTGGAATCTTTTCTGAGATTCATTCACCAATCACAAGACTGGAAATTACTTACGTCATGGCATTAACATTACAACCAATCAGATGCTTTCTCTCATGTTCCGAGGAAACGGGAACACGATTAACGACGGCGATTCACAGACGTCTCTCTCCCCGATTTTTTCTGAGGGGAGTGGGGCGTCTGTACACAGGCTAATTAAGACATCATCACGAGTAAAGATTATGAAAGCTAAATGAAAGGAATCACAACAGGGAACATAACTTACTAGAGTTCCCATTCTGGTCCCCACAGGATTCCACCTCCATATTCTCTTGTTCCCGCTGATCATCCTTTAGATTGGGGCAACATCTCCTAACCTAGTGCATTGAATAAAGTCTATGCAGGTAACGACAACATGAAAACAGTCAATAGTTTATGAACAACGGGACGAAATCAATGACAAATCATGTAAGAAATACCATAGATTTTCTCCATCGTTTCTTTTTCTGCTGAGTATTTTTCGTTTCACCCATCGTTGACCGAGAAAACAAAAGAAAGACCAAGGGAAAATAAACCAACTGTTGATTCCTTTAAAATCGCGCCATTTAATGCTTAGTAGCCTCGCCACTAATCTCGTTCCCAGTCCCCATCATTCTTTTGGCCCATTGTTCCTTTTTGCCGATGCGGTTTGTTTAAGGGTTTTATTTCGGATTTCGTTTTCACCGAAGCTTTGTTCGGAAGGGAAAAGTGGTTCTCCCGAAATTTCTGCAACGTTTTATGAAAGTAAGTTCTTTTCAAAACTGTCGCCTGGTTAAGAGAAACCCAATAACGCAAATGATTTAACAGGTCTAGCTTGCCATTCTGTCGGCGCAGGGAGAAAGCTACCTGTCATAGTGCAACATAGCCTGTTTTCATGTGTTTTTTAACGTTAGGTACTCACAGTCATCGACTCCTAGTATCAAGATATGTCAAGTGCGGCGCCCCCTTCCCACCCCCCCCCCCATCCCTGAAAGGGCTTCAACACACCCCAAATAAGCGATGAGTGTCTCACGGAAAATCAATATAAATTCAATTATAGCCTGCGCCAGAACGAAACTAAATTTCGATACGTCTGCAACGCAGGCTAAAAAACAGGGGCACCCAGCGAGAATATAGTTCAAAACCGCTTAAACATAGCATTGTTAAACGTATTTTAGCATTTAAACAGTAGATATAGCATATTTTTACCCCCTAAAAATTTTTCATCTGTTCGGATTTCCTAGCTGAAAGTCTAGGATATGGAATCTATAGTTTTTATACAACGAGTGATCCGAAAATTATAGGGATCAAAACTTACCTTTACGAAAAAAAAAAGGCTCCCAGAAAAAAGGCTCCCAAAAATTCTAGGTGACCTTTTTAGGGTAAAAATCCCTTTAAAATGGGCAATTATACCATATCTTGGATGTTCGAAAATCCTAGGAGAGGCAGACAAACAAGAAATTTTACAACAAATGTTCCGAAAATTCTAGATCTCAAATCGTCTTCCGAACAGATATTTCCCGAAATTTTGATCAATTTTGTCATTTCAACCTGTCTCCTTCCTTCTTTACAACCACAAAACAAAGTAGACAAATTACACAAATATCGTCTGGAAGACTTCGGAATCCAGGGAAAATAAAATCATTCTCCTAGGAAACAATTTGACCTTACACCCCTTTCAAGCTCTTTTACGTCAGTCATACCCCATTGCGCAAGTGACAATATGGACTGGTATGAACAACAACAGCCGACGGACACAATGCCGCCGTGTATGTTATGAGCCTATTGTGTTGCAGTCTTTACTATGCGCGGAGGTCAGCAACGCTGATAGACGGCGGAATAAGCTGCCAAGCAAGAGAAATTAAGATATCAGTTCTCGCTTGGAACTTTGATGGATTTAATCAGCTGCTGGCGGTCATTGGTTGACGATCAACTGGTTTAAGTCAATGCGATTTGTTCCGATGACCACCCCGCGCCGCTTCTCGGGTTAAAATCTTTGGAGCACTCAGCTGGAAAATCTAGTTCGCGCTACCGAAAGCCTCCTTTCCAAATAAGGGGAGAGATTTAACATTACAGGATCTTAGCTACTCGCGATCTTCTCGCAGTGGCCGGGAAATGGATGACCCGTTCAGTAGGAGAGAAGATATTGAGGTACGTATTATGAAATATCTCTTTGTTTCCATAAGGTTATTTGTTATGTTTTGACTAAATACGTAATGTCCGTCCACGCTCTTACAACGTCCCATGGCCCAGATCGTAAAGGTCACTAGCATCATGTTGTACGATACGTTTAGTAATTGAAGCTATCCTGTAGTTATGCTTTGTTCAAGAGAAAAGAAGTCAGAATATCCTAGCTATCTTATAGTTATGCTTTGTTTAAGGGAAAAGAGACGAGAATATGTTATTGGGTCCGTATCATCGATAAGATGCAACCCAGTTTAACCCAGCGCCAGAATAACTTCCCCAACTTCTCCTACTCGCTTTTGGTCGTTCGCTGTCTTCAAGGGTTGGCTAAGAATCTCTACTGGTTTCTCAGAGGCCTCTCAAAGAAAGGCTTTTTAAGCCAGGCTAACTCGTGGTCGTTGCTGTCGTAGTCTCCTTATAAAACACGTCACACACGATGCGTATTTTATTCAAGTCATACCTAACCAGGATACGATATGCTCAATTTTGGACTGCATAGTTAACAGCGGTGTCATTCCAAAGCCTTCGAGCGATCTCTGTCGACTTAATAATAGGCCAGAGGTTTCAGTGATGTTTGAAACCAATCAATGAAAATATGCATCTGCATGCACTACTAGTGAATGCCACATAAAATACGGCGTCTGCTCTTCGTTTTCGTCCCTTACCCCTCTTGCGCAAACGTAGGTCGTGCTGATCTTATAACTTCTCTTTGTAATTTCTAAAAAAATAATTTTATGTCTCCGTCCACTGGGAGAGTTTATTAAACGAATAAATGACGTAAATTGCGGCGTTAAGTCCAAAGAACATTGAATTAGTTATTTCATAATAAACTGTGTTTAATGTTCCCAGATTTTCCTAGCCGAAAGGATCCGGAAATATACCGACTGATTGTTCCTTTTCCCTGGTATTCGGCGAACGAGAGGAAAAAAGGCCTCTGCTCGCAGCGAAACCGACTGATTTAGTTACTCTTTTTATTTCATTTCATTCGTTAAGTCCAGTGTGATGTTTGATAATGCTGCAGGGCATGAACGAGGTCAAAATTGTCCTCATAACCGTTCGTACGTGATGAAAACAAATAATTCGAAACCTGAGTGGACGGCTCAAGCTGAGATATACTTGACCTGAACCTAGCGACATAGCTGCGGTGTGGCACGACATTTTCGCGGGAGTTTCATGTATCGGATCGGCGATTTTTTGTCACGGTATTTTGCGAGAACTAATTTTTCTTGCTTGGAATTTTATTTTTGCTATGCCCACGGAATGTTAAGTAATTAGAACACTTTCGTTCTTTTGATCAACCTACATGCACTCGAAGTACAAGAGAAACAACATGCAGTGATGTCTACAAGAGCTTACGTGTAATAGGCTCCTGTGTATAAAAACACGTAAATCGGTGTCACTCTCTTACGATTACATCTATTGGGGCTTAAGCTATATTGAAAAGATCAGCAACAACTACTAACTACTGTCCAACATCTGGTCTTATTGCCTTAGCAATTTCCTTTCACGCCAATATTACTGCTCTACACCTCAGCTGAGTAAATTTGGAGGTTGATTTTTTTTCGCGGGAGATTTTTTGGAGGATCGTGAGCGAAACCTTGAATTAGAACCCACAATTAGGTACTTAAATACCAGGGCTAATACAATGTACCTTCTGTGTGCAATAGATCATTTCATGTACTTATATGGATGCAGGAATGGCAAAGTAAAGAATTTGACGATATATAAAGTGAATTTTCCATTCTTTTTCGTCAGCATTTTAATTAACTAGACATGTGAGCAAAATACAAATTTGGTCTCCAGACACGTGGAGCGGTGCGCGAGCATGCGTGATTTTGTAAATTGCGCAAGTCACGTCAAAAGCGTGATTCGCGATGATTAAAAAAGCGCGCGTGGAGATGAAACTGATGAGAGACATTTCTCTTCCTGAATGAATACTGTACCAATAGTCGTTTGAACCCATCGAGAAGGTTAGACACCTTAACGGCATGCCTTTGCAAAGAAATAGAAGTACATTGGTAAGCCTTTTTTTTTTAGAGACATGCAGATTACCATGTTTGCGGTGTTTATAAATGTGTATCCTAAAGCATGTATTGTCATAGTTCTCAGTTCCTAACATTAGACTGCGACTCTTCTTTTGCAGTTTATTTCTATCCATGTGCGTAATCCCCGAACTCATTTGGTTCACGGATGGCCAGTGTATTCTGACTATGAGATAGTAGTTCTGGTGAGTTCACTTTTATTTCAGTTGATATGCCACCTTTCCCTGCAGTCTGGAGCTATCATTTGGAAGCTGGATGAAATCTCGAGTTGTATGAAAGCTACAAGTAGTGATAATTATTTTGCCCGCAAACAAACAGTGAACAAAGCGATTTGGCAACTGAATCTGACGACGAAATCGTTCGAGTTTATTTTATTAAGTGTAATTCAGTATTCGAATGAAGACTCTACATGTTTCAGCGCAACTGGGTGCTAGTTTCTTTGGTACTGCCTCGATCTTGAACTAACCTCCGAAAAAATCTTCCGTATAAGTCTGACAAAGCGATTTGCAAGGCGAACTTGATTGCTTAAAGGTGCGAATGATTTATTTTTTCATTTCATTTCGGTTCCTGGCTGAAAGGATCATTTTTCCGTATTTTCATACTATTTTTTTTATTGCGAATCAGGGAAAGCGGAAGATTTACTATTTTGGCTTTCACTTTCTTTTCCCGAAGGTAGGGAGGGAAAGAGGGGGTAACTACCAAGTTAGAAGTGAAACAGATTGTTCGTCGAAAATTTCGAAATCACCCTTAAAATGTGCATAAATCTCGTTTTGTGCGTAGCTCAAATTTATTTTATATTTCTTAAGAGGTCATGAGAGGGAGAAATTGCAAAACAATAAATTGGCTGTCATCATTGGCAATTTATTTTAAGAGTGAAAAAGACTACCATTTCAATAGCCTGCGAGCAGGCTCGCTTATGCGAATTCGGGGAAAATTATGTTCGCGGCAGAGTCGCCATCCAGCGAGCCCTTGTGGGAGCCGCCAAAAATGTTCCCCGAACTCAGAGATGTGAGCCTGTTCAATTGAGTAACGGAAAAGTTACCGTCACGCCTTGATACACTCGAAAAGGTCCCATTTATTTGTCTAGTTAAAGACGTATTGCTGACCTACGGCGTTCATTTCTGTTGGCCAGAACGTCTTCAGAACCTCTCAGTTTGATAGGTTTTTGTTGGCCCGAAGCTCTATTGTTTCAGAGTTGTGGTTCATTTAGGGTTTCAGCAGTGTCTAAGCGACATCAATCATCAGATTTTTTCTGGAAGTTACGAGGAGTGGAGGAGCAACTCTTTCATTATTTTAGGGGTTTTCCCCCAACCCCAACCAACTACCAGAACAATTTTATTACAAAAATACAATACACCACTGTGAAGGTTTTCAGTTGTTGGTTTGCCTGTATTTTGACCCATATTAATGTTCAATTGATCGTCCAAGTTTTAAATTCCCAACGGGAAAAATAAAGTGGATCCGTCGCAAACTGAATGACAATTATTAGTCCCCGCAAAAAACAAAACAAAACACAAAAAACAAAACAAAAAAAAGTCGCTAATCCGCCAAAAAAAGTGCCGCGTGCATGAGGGATTTCGGATTGTGTTAAAGAACAGAATAGTCGCCATAAACCCATGTAAATTATATGGCTTCGTTCTACGGGCAAGTAGTAGACGTGCGGAGGCAAAGCTGGACAAACATTTGTTCATTAAGTGGTATGCTGTAGACAGCACTGTAAATAGTCCAGAAGAGCCAAAATAAAAGCGAAAGCGAAAAAAAGGTTAACAACAAAAGGGAAAAAATAAGAGAGAAAAACAAAACGGGCAAGGACTGGGGAGACCTACCGCGTTCTGCCGTTTGCCCCCGCGCGTTTCAACACATTTTTCTATGCTTGATCGTGTCTAACTTTTTATATTCTATTATTGCAGACTAACAGCACGATCTTCGCTAAAGAGAGGTCACAAGTTAGAAGACGTTTCTCGGAGTTTGTGTGGCTGTGGAAACAGTTGTCTAGAAACAGCTCCCTTGGACTGTAAGTAGCATTTTGTAGTATGTCAGTACGTGCAGTTCTAGGGTTTTGGCCAGTTCCAACAGCTGGGGTATAGACCGAGCCATCACCGGATCATGCCTCAAAAGAGCGGTTACTAAATCGTCCTTTGTTCGCGCCTATGTTAGTCAACTCCGCACTAAACTAAGCGCTAATCTCACACTAATCTCACTACATTAATCTCGCTTCAGCGCGCGATCGTGTCCTCAAAACCTTACTAGCGGATAAAACTTAAAACCACGTTTTTAAGAAAAAAAAACTTAATACAAGAAATTTGTTGCTGGCTAACCTCTAGAATGTCTGTCCCGGGGAAGATACTACCACATACTTCAGTCCGGTGAATGTTTGTTGTATACGTAATTCAAAAAAACTTTCACTGAAAAAAATTCTGTTCACGAATGCTAGGCTATTTTATAAGCTTGATTTTAAGTTTGGACTAAATAGTTTCCGTACGGGATGTCTTTATGAGCAACCTTGGAAAGAAGTCAACTTTATCTTGAAAAATCTTGGCACGCGAACATTGCGAGTGTTCTGCGCAGACAAGCGGAGTTTCTTTTAAATTCTTTCTCTCCCAGTTGTTTTACGAATCGGAATTGAAGGAAAACTGGTCATTATTTCAGTTTGCAAATACTGAAAAACAAATTATAGCGCCATGTAAAAGTACTGCTGAAGAGGTTTTATTTGAATCGTCACACCACAAAATTTTATACACAGACTTAGCCTGCGTAGCAAGCGTTTCCGCGTGGTTTCGGAGCAAAAAAAGACCGAGGAACGGGATTTGCCTCTCGTTATTCTTTGCTCCGAAACCGCACGGAAACGCTGGCTACGCAGGCTACCACAGACTCGAAAGTTAGAACCACATATAGTACCATGCGAAACTACTGCCTAACAGGTTTCATTTGAATGGTCACATAGCAGGATTTAGTTCACATACCGAAAAGTTAGAATAACATTGTATGTTTCCGTAATTTACTGTGGGATTGTGAAAAAGTTATAAATGATCATCAAGTGTTCCGGAAGTCGCAAAAGTTATTGCGCGGAAATTCTACCCCAGAAAAGCAACCATCGGTGTGGGATGCGTGCTCTCCTGTTTTGTTTTATTGTTTTGTTTTTGGGTATTGCTATATAGATCCTCTTACGTATTCTTGTGACGTCATCATCTTGCCCCCAAGAAAATTTCCCCTCAACTTCAACAACAGGAAGTACTTCTTGAAACTTTCATTCCCAAAATGGCACCAGGGGGCTTTTTCTTTAGAAGTGTTTACGCACTCTTGTGTCATAATTCTCCAAGTTCTTTTGCAAATACAATACCTAACCCCTTCGAGTACTGTGGTTTAGCTCAAACGTCCTTATCTGCGACACGCCTTATAACAAAAGCGAACAAAATATTTTGAGCGGATGCGGTTAGAACTAGGCAGAACTTGTTGTCTAACTTGAAGGATGGGGTCACGAAGTCTATGGAGCGTTTTAGGACCTGTTAAGATACGTTCGCCGCCAAGACAGTAAAAAACGTCAACTTTTCGGTGATTTCCATTGAGTGGTAACAATAGTTGCCTTATAGATTTTTTAGTCGGTCAACTGGCTCCTCTGCAGTAGCAAGATTTCGAGATATTAGAAGAAACAATCAATCGCTGCTGAACAAACTGGTTCCGCTCACTTCCTGTTGAAGTTTTATTTAACGACCACTTTCTGTTTTAGTTGTGGCTCTTGCTCGCCTCTATTTTCTTCTGTAAAAATCATCCTCGCTCCACAAAAGACTGGCTAATCCTGCTTTCATGAGTAAGCAAAAAACAGCTGATGTATCAGCTGATGATCAAATACAGGAGTCAAATGAAAGTGTGTAACAAATCCTTTTCTTAATCCTTTTTCTAAACAGTATCGGAACCTTTCATATACTGTACAATACGCTTTCAGATCATTTTCGGCCCAACCAAGATCTGAAACATTATTTTTTAGCTATAAATAAAAGATAAAACGCAAACGCAGGCTTCAAGGTTTTGTTATCATGAAATGAATTTCAGATTTAAGGCCTTTCAACAATGTCTGGTTTTCTGTATTGGACTTGTGGGAAAGTTATTTTGCAACAACGCAAACAGCACTTAAGAATTTGTAAAATTGCCAAGTTTATGTCCTCTCTTTTATTTTTGGAGAAAAAAAAAAGTTACGTTGACTCAGGGATTTTTCCCCAAAGTTAGAAAAAATATGACTGATGCATTCGATTACTTGATTGCTGAGGAAAGATTGATCGTCGAATAGGAGCCATCCCTTAAAACACGTCTGTGCGTGAGGGGAAGGGGGCTGACTAGACTTCATTAGTTGCTTAGCAACACTGCCAGCTGTCAATTTGAATTTACATAGCAGCCTCTACTGATCCTTTGTTTTTACGGTTCATTAAGATAAAGTTGAGAGTTAAAATTGTGCTGTAGCACGCGTATTGTTACAAAACAGAAAATGTTGGTTGCCCTTGTACAGTGCAAGATTAACCCGGTTAGACAAGTCAGATAAAATGCAAAGTCAAAGCCAGCAAATGTGAATTTCCTTATTCACAGTTGCTATATAAAAATCTTCCGCGTTCATTAACGCATGTGGGTCGCTTTTCGCTTGCAGTAAGCTGCCCTCCTTACCTACCCAGAACAGAATTTTTGGGCGATTTAGTCAGAGGTTTATAGAAGAACGACGAAACGGCCTGCAAGAAGCATTAGCTGGGTAAGTTAATTAGTTAACTTTTTAAAGGTATTCTGAAAAGAATTTCAATTAATTTCATTGTTGTTGTATGTGATCGAAGTGGCTGAATTTGTAAGTGATTTTAAAACGCCTTTGTCTCGCAGTGTTCACGTTGACATCGACAAAGTTGGCGAATAGTTTGTATCCGCTATAATGAGCATACACTTTTAAACTATATTCTTTTGTATAGGAAATCTTGTTGATCATCGATCTCTCACTTTACACTCAGGTTTTCCAGCTCGAATTTTATAGAGATGTTCTTCTCTATGCAGTACTTTGTAATCTGTAATTTAGCCTCGAGGATTGAACCACCGCCTTCGAACCACCCTAGAAAAGCCCCCTTCGCCATTTCCTTAACACAGATCTCCAATCCAGCCCTGTTGACAAGAATCCATGAAACACTGATCACCGGAAACAAACAACAGTTTAGAATTTAAATTTTTTGTTCAATTAAACAAAACGTGTACAAGCTCACGGTACATGTCCCAGAATTAAATCTGCCTAGGGATCAGTTTTCACTGAAATGAACTGAACTTGAACGCTGAACATACTAAAAAAGGCTCGCGGCGTTAAAAGTTACGTCAATGTTAAAGAAGTGTTCGAAACGAGGGGTTTTGTGAAATTATTTACTTTGAAATACAGGACAAAATAACACCGGAACAACGACATCCTTTATTTGCTTGGCCCATTTGAACACGATGGATAAAATCTTTTTATCATTGATGATACTTGTTTTGTTCTGCTAAAGAATAGTAATTCAAGCAGTAAGTTGTTAGAGACTTTCGCGTTAAACAAGTTGATGCCGAGGAAACACATGATCGCTTTTTAAGCCCCTTGTTACGGAAAAGTCAGTTCCTAAAGCCTGTCACGTTAAATTCATTTGTAAATTCCAAATTTATGTAAAAAGTCTAATTGTTTGAGTAGCCCATATTTGGATGTATTACTAAATGATGCAATAAGGCAAGGTTTTTACAATTCATTGGTTATTCATTTACCACGTGAACAACTTTCACTGAATCTAGTCTGAATATAAACAGTCCAAAGATCGCTTCACAAACTTAAAATGTCTATAATCTTGTCTTTGTCTTTTTATCACATATGCAATATCGGTGACTGGTGCCAAAGGGGCTATTTTTAACAGAGAAAAACGTGACCCACGTTTTAAAGGCGATATCACGCTAATAAAGCTTCCGAGATCGTTTTGCCCTATGCACTTTTACCTGGCTGCCCGCACGATTGATGGATTCTACAAAGGGGGCCCCTCGAAGCGCTTAAAACGCGTTTTTAGCGTACAATTAAGAATAGATGAATGACAATGTCTAGCCCTAAGAACAATGTTTATATGCGAAGATGCAAAACGTCCGTCTAGGTACACGTACAATTATGATCTAGCGCTAAGCCAATCAAAATTAAACTCTTGAAAATTGCTATCCACTGATTTGGTAAATACTAAACTCAAATAGTTACCTTCATTTCCGATAATATCTTAATTGGTTGTCTCATTTTTGTTTTGGCTGTTTGTAGTATTTATTACCTGGGTGTCTCAGGTTCTGTGCGCAAACGTTTTGCCTCGTGAATTTTAGCGTTTAATTTTTGCATGCATCTAATCTGTTTGCAGCCTCTTCCAGGCGTTCAGTTTGTGGGGACGGCGCAGAGAGGTGTGAGCAGGAAAAAAACGAAGCTCTGGCTCTCTGCCTTCGCGTCGCACTACCCTATTAGCCCCCTAGGGGAGGGAGGGTCTGTACACAGGCTATCCACTATCTGAACGCCTGAAACAGGCAAACCATTTTGCGATTTTTCGAGTAATGTTCTTGTTTTGCTTTTCTTATCTAGTCTTACAAGAATCACAGCGATCCTAGCGGATGCAGTGTTCCATCTGTTCATTCAAAGCGACCTCACAGTGAAAGAAATGGAAAACTTCATTTCTGGAAAGGACAGTCGCGATCTGCATGATATTATCGCTCCACTCGCTGCTGAACAGCAGTACCGTGATAGCAAGGGCAGAAGATGCACATGTCATTCTACAGGGGACAGCGGTTTTTCTGGAAGTATACAACCTGATGATATCGATCAAGACGGAAGGGGATTGCTTGATGGTACGCTTGACATTTGCTACTCTCTTCTTTTTGAAAACTATGAAACTTCGTTCCAGGGGTCCTCTCGCTCCGGCCGGGGGGCGAGCAGAAGACCTGGGAACAAGATATTCATGTGAAACTTCATATGACTGGCTCAAATCTCGTTGAAGTCCTGAATTTTTTACAGGCTTCTTACGCAATTGCATAAATTGCGTTCACAACTGCTAAGATCATTCTTCATTTAATTAAATGATTTTCTTGCACAATTGATATAATGAATAATAGTTATAGTAAAATTATGATGTAATAAGATGCATATGAAAAAATAATCCACTTGCGGAAAGGCGCACATTTTGCCTTCATCGCGTGCATCACTGTGTTATAATAGAGAGGTTTAGATTCATTTTTACTGCAAAAGTGAAACGGGATGTTTTGCCATGTCAGATAAAAACTGTCCAAAATATGGATCTCGTATGGATTAACTTGACATGAAACTACGTATTTTTGAATGGATGTATTAAAAAGTAGACAACAAGTTAAAGGAAAAGTGGTCACGTGGTACAAACTGATTGCCATTACCTTAAGCTTGATTCTGAATCCTTCTACAGAGTTGAACCTCCACTAACGACCACCTCTCCACGATTGCTACCCCGTCTTTTTTTGGCTGACAGTCCATGTATTGACTCTTGTTTAAACCTCTCTACAACGGGCACTTTCTTCTGTCCCCATAAGTCACAGCTAAGGGGAAGAGTGGCTGATATGACAATGCGCATGCCTTACTGCTGAGTTTGGTAATGTGAGCTTCTTAACAGTGGTAACATAACAGCAGTGAAACTTGTAGTGGTGTTCTAGCCTGGGAGCAAGCTCTCCATGTCGAGTAGCGATTCGCGTCTCCTTTCGTGTTCCATTCACGCGTGAATTCTCACGAAATCCCGCCCAAAATGGATCGCTCGCTCGCAGGCTATGGTTTTCGAGCTAATTTTCTTATCCAAGGAGCGTATGAAATGTGTAGTAAACCTAAATAGCTCCTGGAGATTCGGGGTTTTTGTGGCAACAGAGAAATTGGGAAAGGTCAATGTTAAAATTAACGCCCGACCATCCAAGGTTGAACCATCTCTTTTGATTTCAAAAGTCAGGTAAATCTTAGATTCGCAAATCTCACTGCACGGCTTGTTTTTCTTTTCAGATGTGTCTAACTGGGTAGCTTCGCAACAGAACTATGTCAGCGTTATGGGAAATGGCTGGAGTTCTGGCTACACTTGTCAAACATTTGCGCGAAGAGCGCGTTCAAGCTGTCACCTTCCCACATGTCCTGAATCCTCGCATGAACACTCAACAACGATAAAGAGACGAACAAGTTTAACCCATACGGTTGCGTCAGTTTTACCCGGGGGGCAACTAATGGTTGCTCCAACGGAAAGAACGTTTCTCGCAGATTCTCCTAAAAGTGGGAAGAAAAATGGAGAGCCTATGGACGATTCCAAACCTTACGAGGGCGATGACGAAACAGAGATAGACCTGTCAGATTTTGATATCATAAAGGACGAACCTTTTGTTCGCGTACGGGAATGGCTGAATTCTCAAAATGAAGACTCCCCCGGAGAGGACAGTAGCGATGAGGAAGGGAACTCTGCGAGTAAATCCCCGAGGGATATCCGCATGAGAGACTATGATGTTATTAGTGTACCGTGTTCTGTTAAACCTCAAAATAGCGTTTCGTCTAGGAGTATCGGTTACCATAGTGAATGCGAAGGTGACGTAAGCAAAGAGCAAGATGAAGATAAAAATTCTGACTTTACTGTGCTTCATTCATCGATTGGTGGACTTGATTGGAAAGATCGTGATGATCTGTCGTCCTCTTGTGACAGTCTGCATTCAGCGGCTCTCTTCTTGACATATGATGTCGTGGAAATGATAGAGCTGCGTTACAACAATGTTGTGTGACCACCTGCGATCAAGTGTTACGTGACACTATCACAAGGACGGCGTCCACGTGTCGTGATTTGGCATTACGTTGCGTTACTTTAGCCTCAAGTTTGCGTGACCAAGCTGAATGGTACATGATGTTATTGTCAGAAAAGTACTCCATATACGATAATATCAATTCAAAATGCAGGGATTGAATTGTGATAAAAAAAATACAAGCACGACAGAAAAAAAAAACATAATTCTAGTTTATCTAAAAACTGATGCTGACACCATGTGGTTGTCGATGAGTCAAGTCAATGATACGTATGATATTCATACCAGTTGCTGTAGTATCAGTTTTAAACATCCAAAATTATTCCATGTTTTTTTACTTTTGTCGAGCTGCCGTTAACAATCTTTTCGAATTAATTGGTGAGAAATATTTTTGTACTCCGTTATAATTTTTTTCACACTATGATCTACAAGAAGCCAAGAGTTATTGTACTAAAGTCACATGAAATCAAATTCTGGATGACCAGCTAGTGTAAAAATTTTCTAATTTGCTGGGAAAAACGCTTTAACAACTATATATGGACACAATAATATATTCCTTAAATGTACAATGGAAACATCAGTTTGTGGTATTTTTCACTTTTCGAATATAAACAAATAAATATAAAAACCCATGAAATTTAACTTTGTCCTTTGTTAGTAAGTGCTTGTGAGTAAAAAAATAGAACTGCAATAGGGAAATCGGACTAAAGCAAATCAGTGGTTGGCCATCAACATTATTGCTCTTTGTGTTGCCATGCAGTGCTAGCTCAGTGCTGCTCCCTAGAAGGAGCTAGAAGGAGAATTGCGTGACGCCGTTGTCTCATTCAAGTTCAGTTCTTAACGTCAGTATCGTCGCCTGCGTCACAGACGTAAAACAAACCCCGCTTTAGTTTCGTCTGCAGCGCAGGCTACAGAATTGTCGCACAAGTCTTTGCTACAAACAGCAACAGCGGCCTCTGAGTGTGCTCACTGTAATCCCCCAGCGTGATGTTCGCTTTCGTTTCTAGTCGATCCAACCAGGGGCAACCGATCAGCAATTTGCCACTTTCGCATTCCCCATAACTTACCTCCAAAATTGCGTAGTAAGGTATTTCCTCGAATAAGCGCCCGCGTTCTAATAAGCGCCCTCCCCCGAGTTAGCGCCCACCCCCTTGAGCCAACATATCAAACAGGCGCTGAAATTGCTCTATATGAAATTTTTCTCGAAAGTCAAAAATTTTGAACAAAGAGAAACCACCACCTTATTTCTTACTTGTCCCTTAATCCCCCCCTCCCCCCCACCTTCCCACACCAGACTCCTAATTATTTGCTCCTCTTTATCTATGGCCATACCCTGGCGCGTCTTGTATGTTTCTCCTGCTTGGCCGGCTGAAAAGGAGACGGAAACGACCGGCCATTAACCTGCGTCCCCAGGCCCCAATTCCCAAGGTGGCTATCAACTCCAGTGATACTTTTATACTGCACGTATATTATACATAGGTTATGCGTTGTATTATACGCGAACATGCAACTTGGTGGCGATCTACCCAACCACTATTTGGGAACACAGAATGACGGCACCCAGTGGGCTCCTGCTGTACCCCTTCAAATCATCACCCCAAATAAAGGGCGGTCATTCGGAGATTTCAGGCTACGCATGCAATGTGACACACTTGGTTTCCCATATTGTCGGTGTTTGCCAGCCTTGGGGTTTTTAAGCGGTTCTGTGCGACGTTCGCTCGACACAAAGAGTAGAATATATGGATGGGAAATTTGGCCTACTTCAGCTCTTACTTGACTATCTTTTACAAGGTAAGCGAATAACGTGAAATAGTTGAGATACACGCATTTGAAAATAATTTTATGTGTTTCCGGTGTTCTAGCTTTTGTTTACAACAGATCAGAGAGACCACGGTGCAATTTTTACGATTAAGAATCGAAAGCAAGATGAATAGCTAGTTTAGATTTATAGCTTCTATGAACATTCCAGGAGTTGTGCGATGAGTCTTTTATAAAAACAAATGTATGAGACAAAAAAGTAAATTTACATCGCAGGTATTCAATATCATTGCGTGTCGTGGGCGTCTTTGGGGGAGCGGTTGATCCGGGGGGCCAACAACACTGCAACTTGGGCCATGACGACTTGAACGGCACAAACCAATATATCCAAATTTCCCAACTTGAAAGTAAAAGTATTCCGAAGCAGGTTTTATCATGCTGTTTGAATAATCTAAAGGAGAGAAACATACACTTTGTCTTCAACATAAAGTGTTTGGTTTAGAGAAACGTCACTTGGAGTTATAGCTTGACCCCCTCCTTCTTACGAAAAATAATTGTTTTTATTATAATGGCGTTGTTAAAAAGATCGAAAAAGCTATGACTAAAATCATAGCGATTTTGCCCAATATACTGGCCTCGTAATGTCCCTTTCGTTATAAAAGGAAGCCTAGCATATAAAAGACGGTCATGTCAAAGGTTGATCGGTAAAAGGTAAAAGGCAATCATATGATCAGAGAATGTTGGTTTATAACCCGGGGGGTACTCATGGGAATTCTTGTTGGGGGTGTGCCGCCCAGTTCTCCAAATCCTAAGTCTATTTCAGACTAAAACCTTGTTATTTTCCACACCAGTTTTCAGACTTAGCGTAAGCAGAATTATGTTATCATTACTTAGATTAGAATACCAACAAAGAGATATCTTAAAATCCATTTCGAATTCGCATATTTCTCTTTCTTTCTTACTCATTTGGAATTGAAACAACAAATACGTTCAAGCATTCCCTCGAAAACCATACCCGAATTCAGACCTAAAAAGGCAAAGTCTATACCCGTTTTCAGACCAAAATGGCGCAAAAACCGTATCCTTTAGGGTGGCAATTACCTATAAAGCAGTTATAAGGGAGTACCTCCCCCCCCCCTCCTGTGGTCTACACCAATTGTTCTGTAGCCTTAGGTTTATATTGCGGTTCTGTGCTACATACCGATTAGTTCACTCGACTCAAAGAGTAAAATGCGTAGATGGGAAATTTGGCCTACTGCAGTTCCTACACAACTATCTTATGGACGGTAAGAGAATACAGTAGTGACAAGTGAACCCTACATGATTGTTTTCGGTATCTTAACTTCTGTTTTTAGCAGATCGCAGATTGGAAAACAGTGCATGATCTTGTAAAAATCCAAAGCAAGATAAATTACATGAGTTGAGTTGAGATTTATTTCCGCGACAATAACAGGAGTTAAGGGTGATACTACGCTGATAAAGTTAGGTGAATGAGACTAATTAACAAGAGTAAATTTCCATCGCAGACGCGGAAAAGTAATTTTATGAGTTGCGTGGGCGTACCCGGGGGAGCGGTTAGTCTTGGGGGTGGGGGGTATAATAACACTGCAACTTGGGCTATGACGACTTAAAAGGCACCGCTCCTGAAGGCACATACTGATAATTATAAATAAGTTCAAATTTCCCAACTTAAAAGTGAAAGTATCCCGGAGCATGCAGTATGAATAATCTAGCGGAAACATACAATTTGTCGTCAACACAAAGCGTTCTAGTCGCTCGGAGTTAAAACCGCCCCCTCCTTCTTTCCATGAATAATTGTTTTGCCTTGATGTCGTTGCTAATAATCAATCCCTGACTAAAATCATAGTGGTGATACTTTAAATACCGATCCTAATATTTACTTTTCGTTATTTGTAAAAGGTATATGGCTAGCATTTAAGACTGCCGAAGGTTAATCGGTCATAGGTAACAAATATCCGTTACTCCACAATAACCTTTTGAATGCTGCAATGTTTAGTGGTACGTGAAAATAATATCCTATAGTATATAAAGAGGTGTTCTCTCTTAGTCCAGAAGAAAGAAAGTCGATGTACTTTTCTTAGTCTTCTCTAAAACAGCAACTTAGACTGCGATCAGTCTTCCTTTTTCTTCAGATTTAATAAGGGAAGTGCACGCGAGCGCGTTCAGTCACGCGCCTTCAGTCACGCACGTGGTCATTTGCGTGTCTCGCGCGTTTTGCTCGACGGACCGAGAAAAAAGAGAGACTGCTCGTAGTCTAAGAGGAACACGACGGAAGATGACTTGTTGGTTTCTCCGGGGGTACTTCCCTATAAAAATGACAGGGGTGCTCCTGGTATTTGTTCCCCGGCGAGCAGTGGTTTTTCCAGGCCGAAGGGAGCGAGAGAATCTTTAGAGTGACACAACTCGCCTGCGGTTCGTGGTTCCACGTAAGTTTTAAACATTTTGGCGTCACTTCAATGGTCCATAAAAGAACAGACCATGGAAAATTGTTGTTGATTTGTTAAATGGAGAAGCCAGGGGGACGAGGTTACTTTGAAGGGCGAAAATGACTCCGAGTCTTCCAACAAAACGTGAGCTGAATAAACGAAGAAAGATCGTTTTTATTGGGGTATTTTCGAGAATTTCCAACAAAAATTCCCTTTATTTATGCATCAGTCAATGCCAGCTGTGCCCAGCCTCCCCCGGGCTACTGCGGGGCGATTTGTCCGCATTGTCAGTCCCGGGGGTGGGGCATTAGCAAAGTTGCGCTGCCCGGGGGTTGGGCATTTGTCAACCCCGGGGCCACCCTCTAACATTTGACACGCACGTGGCTTCCTATCCGAACATAACTACACAGTGGATTTTTCTGGAAAAAAAAAGCAGATCGGCTCATCTCTCAAGGATGTGAGAAAATTGTAGAGGGTAGTAAAGACATGTTCTCGATTTTATGCATGCATTTCTTCATTGCTTATCAATCCGGAATTACATAGCGAAATCGGGAGCTATCGACGTGAATCAGCGTTGTTTTGGTTATGGAATGAAGTTATGTGAAGAGCATCCTTTCAAATATTTATAAAACTATTAAGAACAGAAAACTTTACAGCACACTATTAATGTTAATGACAATAATTTTATAACAATCCTAAAACCATAAGCTGGTGTCTTCGCGGCGTGATGTCTTAATTAGAAAGGCAGACGTTAAATGAAACAAAAAATAGCACATTAAAATGTTTAAAATGTTAAAAATAGCGCTACTTGACTGTGTTGATGAAGGATGGGGCATTTGCCCTCTTTTTGCGTCCCCAACCCGGGGGATTTGACAGCTCAACAGTCCCAGCCCTTGGGAATTTGCCATCCAAGGCAAAAAATGCTAATGCCTGCGGGTAAACTCCGAGGGGGAGTGGAGGGGGAGGTTGGGCGCAGCTGGGATTGACTGATGCATTATACTGGGGAATTATTCCCCGCGGCTTGGTAGCCCGCGAACAGCCGCCCCGCCCCTCCCCTCAAGCAAAACCGGGGAGATGTTTTTTAGGGGCGGGAGGCGACTGTACACGGCTTGGTTATTCTAATATAGAGTGTTAGTCAGGGCTAAAAGCGAAGCTCTCTTTAATACTTCTAGAGTCTTTATAGTTTCCTCAAAGAAAATTTAAAATCGAATAAAACTAAAGACCAAGCAACGAGAACGGTAAAAAAACAACAATTAACAAAAACAACAACTTTGCACGTGCCGCACAGGCTTTTTTGTACATTTCCATGCCGTTGTTTTGCACGACTAAAACGTGAAACTTCTTTTAAATTCCTATTTACACGTTTTATGGAGGAAATGTTTGTGTTCCTGTTCGCTCTGTTTTTTCCCTGCCGCTCATTTTCACTTTGGTAGCCGCTAGCATTTCTCACGTTCTTACCGCCACTATATAATTTTTATGATTTTCTTCCAACGAAATTGGTCTCCGTTGTTATTTATTTCTCGTTCTAGCTCCTTCCCTGTTATCTAGGTTAATGTAGACATTAAAATTTAGTGGAAAGAAAGACTCGGTTTTTTTTTGTTTTGTTTTCTCTCTCTCTCTAGAAGTCCGGGCGGCCATGTGTGATTTATTGCCGAAACGAGCGAGGTGCTTGAATTACAAACTTTCACCTAAGCTATAGCATACTCCTCCCTCGACGGGCTGACGTCTGACTCCCTTCCCCTCCCCCAGCGTCTGTACGGACGGGAGGTCGTACGCTGACGTCATAACCAAATTTTCTCGGATGGATAGATTACCAAATTTTCTTAGCTATGGGGCTTCGCTCCGAGGAGCTCCGCTATTAGTGAATTCAAGGCTCTGGAGGGCAGTTAACTGAAAATTGAATTCGTTAGTCGTTGCTACAATGGAGGTAAAAAGTGAAGTTGAGTTTTGAGCACCGTGGGTGGAAATGATTGCTTTTTTGGCCATAACATTGGATGAACCATTGCTGGGGGACTAGGGGGATGACAGGATGAACCCTTGCTGGGGCAGTGGAGGGACGACAGGATGAACCATTACTGGGGGGAGTGGGGAACAACAGGATGAACGATTGTCGGAGGGGTGTTTGGGGACGACAGGATGAACCATTGCTGGGGGAGCGAGGGAAATACCCGAAAATTGTCATTGGGAGTAGAGCGCTATCTAACAGGCTTCTCCACACAGTCCCAAGTTCCTTTGTCCCCCATCGTAGTCTCCCAAGTGGTCGTTTTTGTCTCGTCACGTTACGCTCCAGGGCCCAGTTGTTCGAACGCTGGTTAGCGTTAACCCGGGGTTAAATTTAACCACGCTTTCTTTTTCTTTTTATCAAGAGCACTCTCTCGGATAATCTCTACTCTTTTTAAAGTATCCAATCATCAATTTGTAGGCAAAGAGGATTAAACTGAATTTGCTTTTTAAGCTTTCATATTTGAGTTCAAATTTCGCACTAACTTGGGTTATCTTAACCTGGTTTCGAACAACCCGGCCCAGAAAATAGGACGCGGCTGTAGCTCTGATTAACTAAAATCTAGAAAGGAATGTGGTTGGAACGTGAGCAGCCTTTTTTTATTTGGATCAACGCTGTGTGACTAGACAAAAATGGCTGCGTGTGTGTGGGAGATTATACATGACTATAGATTAAAACAAATTTTGAATGCAAGGATGGCAATACGGCAAAGGGCTCATTTAGTGACGTCTGGCATTAGCATCTCTACATTAGAGATCCGGCAAGAAAGAACCAGTCGGTTTTATCTACGCGTTGAGTGGACCTCCGCATTCAAAGGTTTTGACTATAGATGTTGCCGGATGCGTCTCTTCCGGCATTGTTGCATGAGCTCATGCACTCGCGAGGTAGTTAAAGTTTTGTCAGCTCGATTTCTTTTTCACCTCGATATAAACGTCTTCATAACTTTATCCATTTAGAGTGAAAAAGATTTTTCAATGCGATCGAAACTGTGAGAGGTCAAAGTTATTGTCTAAAATGTTTCTCTTCATTATGCATGCAAGAATTCTGATTTGATTTTGATACCAGTTGCGACAGCGACTGATTAAACGGATTCAAGAAGGTCAGGTCGCTAGACCTGGCTTGAGTTCCACTCAGAAACTCAAACAAAAACATACAACAAGGTACCGCAAAGTTTATCTATGTATGGTACAAGGGGAACGTCTTTCTCAAGGCCAGCAGGCCAGCCCTATGGAATACTGGTAAGCAAGAGAGAATCATTTACTTGACATATTGCATAGAATCAGCTATCATCATCATCATCATCATCATCATCATCATCATCATTGTTCGACTGCCGCTTATGGCTACCGTAACTTTTATTGCGTTAAAGATACTGCATAAAAAAGATTGGTCTCTTTGTTATTAGCAGTATTATTCCTTTCTGCAATTTGCCACAATTCCAGAGATTATGAACGGTGATTTTGACACAGATCTTTGGTTTAGCCTCAATGGCATGCTTTCGAAACGGGGAGGATAGAAATCGTGATAGCAGATATAGTACTTGTAGAGCTGATCAAGTTCCCCTTTCCCCTACCTCTTAAGCACGCTATGTCGTGTATATACAAACAAAAAAACAAACAAACAAACAAAAACCTTGATTTTCAAAACTTCCTCACATCACCTACTGCTAAAAGATTTCTGCTTAGCTAATAAACTAGTAACATAATAGGGTCATCGTGCGTGATGTGCTTTTGACATTCTAGCTATTTACCTTGAACCCGCTCCACGTGCACACCTAATGGGTCAAATATTTATCTTCTCTCTCAATTCTCTCGTAACTTCTCTCTTTCCAAATGTAAAATTGGAGCGGGGAACGCCAGATTAGCTTGTGCCGCGATTTACCGCTGGAACGATTCATACCACTAATATAACCCAGGGTAAGGTAGTGATTTTGTTTTCTCCCTCAGTATTGCATCCTATTCCGGGAGAATTTTGTTCATCGCTTGCCGGAACTGCTGATTATCTTTCTTCTCACGAATGCAAAGAAAACATCACCTGAAATTAATGTATATTAGCGCAAGAAAAGTCAATTCTTCTTTCCTCCGCAATAACATCGCTTATACATGTATTTCATTTGGCCAAACCAATGTGACTGAAGAGTTTTTACCACACATCCTTCAGTTTTTGGCGATACTGTCTCTTTTTGAACGAAGGTCAACCAAATTTACTTACATGCCATAATTCATGCCACATTTTAAGGGCGGGTTGCGGTGCTGTGCTTTGTTGGGTTCTGTAGGAATTTTTACTGTTTTTACATCTTTCCCGTGACTTAGAAATGGTGAGCGCAACTTGTTCCCGTCTCAAAAAACTGCAACCATCGAGTAAATTAGTAAATTAGTTTGAGTTTTAGAGTCACGCCAATATTGTCTGATACATGCAACGCACTCAAGCGTAACTTGGCAAACATAAACCACGAGCTCTACACGAGCCCGTTAAGCCTACACTGAGCATCTTTCACGGGGCATAGGAAGATGGCTCCAGAAAGAAAATATTTTGAAAATGAGGTCGATCGAAGGGACAGGCTATATTGGTTTTGTTTTCACAATTCAACCAATGTATATATCTTATTTAACATCTTAGCTCATCTTATACATAAATGTAAAAAAATAGAGCCCCCTTGAGAAGTGTAGCTTCCTAATGTTGAAAATCATGAGGGGATGTTCCGCTAGACATCACCTGACTGGAGACCACCAATCAAGATTGCGCACGGAAAAAAAGATGTAGTTCCCTCCCGGGGGGACTCCCATATGAAAGGGGCGGGGGTGCTCGTCGGAAATTTTGAATTAAACCCCTAAAGGAGACCAATCTGAGCGTGGCCCAGCCTTTTCTTTTACCGCTAAAAGCGACCATTTTAAACTTTGATTACATGAATCGAGTAAATAAAACGAGTTGAAAATATAGAACTTTTTAATATTTCTTCGAGTGTAACCCTAAAAGAGACCTTTACTATACGGCTAAATATAATGGTGTTTTGCCCAGAACACTCTAAGCGAGGCCAAAATTAGCCTGCGTAGCATGGCGGTTTTGGTTGTAATAAAGGCGGGCGCGCAGCTTCGCCGCTCGTACGCCCGGCTTGACAAAACCGCCATGCTACGCAGGCTAGGCCAAAATCTGAAATTTACACCCCTTAGCAAGACGACCAGCATCCCCGCCCTTTTCATATGGGAGCCCCTCCCTGGGACAAAATTGTCAAATTTATACAATTAGAGAGGTTCGCTATGAACAAAAAGAATATTTTCTAACTCACTTGTGATGAAATTTACACCCCTTAGCAAGACGACCAGCATCCCCGCCCTTTTCATAAGGGAGCCCCCCCCTGGGACAAAATTGTCAAATTGTACAATTAGAGAGGTTCGCTATGAACAAAAAGAATATTTTCTAACTCACTTGTGATGCCATTTCAATAAGATTATTGCTTTCATCCACAAACAACCTTTAACACCAATAAAACAAGAGTTACGTAATCGCAGTTGTCGCAGTTGAAGAGCACAAAAGAGAAGGACTGGATCGACAGTGACATACGATCCAAAATGGCTGGGTATGCAACTTATCACATCTTCGCAAATTACCTATGTCTGGTGTGACTGGAGAGACGATAATCGTTTGATGTTGTTTTTTCAGGCTCCTGTGCCACCTATGAGTAAATCACAAGCAGGGTACAGGCTTTTCAAGCCAAGATATGAGTGGAGTATGATTAGAGACCAAGTGGGAGACTCCGCGTACAACGGGGTCAGTGAGCAGAATATTTATAAACGAATTACAGCTCATATATTGTCGGCCGGCGTTTGGCCTTAATTTTTGTAGCTTAGAACTGAAGTTCTGCTTTAATTTTTTTTTGTAGTATTTGGAGATCGAAGTGAAGAATCCTCGAACGCACATCGAAAAGGAAAAGGCGCTGTACACCGACTATGAAATCGAATTAAAAGTAAGCTTAATTTTACTTCTGTTTTGGCTGTTGATAAACACGAGGTCACGGTTTATGGGTCAACTCGTTGTTTTTGTGAGGGATGACTTTGAGTGTTTATAAGTTAAAGACGAGCTCTTCTCTAAATACACAAGAAGTGCAAGATCGTCTAAACGTGCGCGCAGTGGAGCGGGATGAAATGAAAAGTTCTCACCACAACTCGCATAATATATTTAGAGAATTTAGCTTCAATGTTACATTCTCGCCGCTTAAAAAGCATTTTACGAGGGTAAAAGGAAACTTGAAACGGATGCGGTTATGTGTCAGGGAATACATGCCTAATTGTTGGTAGTATTTTGAAAACGATCTAAGCTTAAGTTAATTTAAAGTTTATGTTTTCAGATCATAGCGTGTTGTATTAATGTAAATGTACATCTATTTGTACAATTTTTTTTTTGAATAATTGCCCAAGGGCCATGTATGGTTACTTGTGGCATTTTATTTGACATGCTCAAGTTTTAAATCAACAACTAGGCTTAAACACTTTTTAATTTTTTAAATATTTTACTCTTTTGCAAGGTAATGTCCTCAAATTCAATAGTTAATCATAACTATAACAAAATTCTCAAATCTGATTGACTAACAACTGACCTGATTTCAGCACTAATAAGACAGTGCTATAGGACAGCACGTGTCAAGCTTAAGTAATTAGACAGTGTGTGCCATTGCATGCACACACTTAAATGGCTTCTTTCCCTGCTAACCAAAAAACACATGGAATTTCTTGTGTTTTAATTTTAAAATAGCCTAAAATATTACAAATTTTGTTGTAGTTAAGATTAATTGGTTACAGAACTTTGTGTCTTCCAATTCAGTCTGTAATCATACAAATTGGACTCCCGCCACGTGGTTGTCTGATTTTGTTAATCACTCATATGATTACAAACCAAACTTCACTCAGTCCTATTAACCATGATTTATTCAGGGACAGCTGTAAACTTGCATAATAAATTCACTCTAAAAGTAATATTTATACATTTTGATTTGGATATGTATATATATAAAGTGTTCTAAGCTTTGTGTCATTTAACGGCAACCTGTCTTTGTCTTTGTGGGCATTCATTTCAATACACACCACTATATTAATTTTCAAATACCCCATATTACATTTAATGTAACATGGGTTATCTGAAAGGTTGCTAATATACAAAGTAGGTGGGGATATAGGAGAAAAGAGGTAAGTTTCCAGGGGGGGGAAGGGGGAGTACTCCACGCCATTTCGCTATGGGGTGTTAAAAGACTGATCAGGTTCAAGTTGTAATCTGATCACTTGTTCCGCTCAGTCAGTCAAGTTGCTGTTTTCATTCCCTCCCTCCCACCTGGGGACTTCTCTCCAGTCCTCAGGGCCTTGACTTGGTTTGTGAAGTATGTGGGGGACATCCGGTTTATTACATTCATTTACTTGTTGTTATATTTTCACAGACTAATAACCCCACATTTCCATTGTTACACTCGCGCATACGGAGAAGATATTCGGAATTTGTTTGGCTCAAAAACAAGCTTGGACTGGAGGATGTTGTATTCAAGTACGTAATGAATCGGAAATAAAACTATTAGATTTCTTGGCACGGAGGCAATACATTATCTGTCATCAATGTTACAGTTATTTAAATTTTTGCAAGCAAAGTTTTGGCAGTTTTCGGACGTGCAATGAGTCAAAATATTACATATAATTATGTGTTTTTCCGTTCTGTAGTGATGCTCCAAAACTTCCTAAGAAGCGGGTTATTGGACGATTCAAAGAGAATTTTTTGTGGCGACGCCAGGAGGGATTACAGAAATTTTTAAATAGGTTTGTTTCTATGTTAACTGTCAAGTTTCAGGGCTGATATTAAGAGGCGTGGCCAGGGGGTTTCTCTTCCGGCTACTAAGAACGTGGCCCCGGCTAATTTCATAGGAAAATAAAAGAAATATAGAACCAAAAGAAATCCCTAGCTATTTGATTCCCCGCCTACTTGTTGTATTTAGCCAGCAACTTGAAATCTTAGTGACAGCCCTGCAAGCCTTGTTTTCTTTGTGCATTTATACATCTGTTAAACCATAAGTTTGTAAATTCAGCACCGTGAAACATCCGTAGTGGCAAGAGGAGGGAGGAAAGATGGCTGTACTACCTAACAACAGTTAGAGTGTCCAATCTTCTGAGTATATAAAATCAGGATTCTCTGTAATCATCAAAGAATCAATCAATCACGTGAGTGCCAAAGGGGAGAGGGTTCAAGAGTCCTGCTCCCCCAGAAAGTTTTGAGGTCTTGATACTCTGAAACACCATTTCTAATGTTCTGAGAGGACAATTTCTGTCTAAAGTGTTCGCTAAATCAATGGTAATTTTCATGCTCATTTTTATTTTCATGTCTTCGCGTACAAGTACTTGATTTTATTTTATATTTTCTGCAGTTTTTTAAGTTTTCTTGATATCAGTTTCAGTTAAGTCATATGGTTAAGTTTCTCTGTTAGGTGTTCTTGTATAAGTATCATAAGAATTCATCAGAAAATATCATAAAAGATGTCAACATTGGGATTTTTCCTATCCTGATCGCATATCGGTTGGGATTTGGGATTTTCAAGCAATATTGATTGGGAGAAATCCCAATGGGATTGGGGCCGTTTGGACAGTCTGAGCAGTTAGCTTAGGTTTCAAAACACAGATTTTTGTGATAGTTTTGTTAAGCATGAATGCCTTTTTTTCACAGACTTGCAAACATTACTGTGTTTGTCAACCATCCAGCCTTCCTGATATTTGTCCAGACGACACTGACAGCAAAACAAATGGACTACTACCTCAAAACCCGTACCCCTGGTGGAATCCGGTCACTTATATTAAGGCTGCATGACAAAAAACTAAAAGAAGAGGAAAAACAACACAGACCAAGAACAAAATCTATAAGCGCTGAATATCCACCCACTGAAAAGTAAGGAGAGCTTTTTAAAATCATTGTCATTGTTATATAGTATAGTTTGTTGCCCACCATTGGGATACTCAACAAATTTTTATATGGGAAGGCTCCGCCTGAGGTCCAACCCCTTACCTTTCATATACCTGTTTGACAGAAAGGGTGCCCCTTTTGCGTACCTTCTATTATTTTATTGACGAATGGTACCCCTTTCACTTACCTATCTTAGAACTTGGCATCCCTTTTAACTCCTGCAAATGTACTGTTTTAAAAGTATGAACAAATCAAAAACCCAGAACTTGTTCTTGACCTTTTCACAGCCATAAAATGCATCTGTAAGCCCTTTTGGGCCTTTTTACAAACCGAAATGACAGATTTCCCTACCCTTTCATGTACCTGAAGCCTAAAAAAGGTACCCCTTTTGGGCGGGGCCTCCCCACATAGGCCATTATAGGGAGTACCCCCCCCCCCCACCCTTTAGGGGTGTAATCAATAATAGTTTTCTTCTTTGATTCTGTAAAGGACATCTTTCATTTTATCATTAATTTAAGGTCACAGTCAAGAAAGAGCACTTCCTATGGCAAGGGCTGGTCTAGTTATCATGGTGATTGTTTGTTTACATTTGATGAAGATTTTGCAGATGTTGATGATCCGGGTATGTTTCAGTCACTCTCAGTGGAGTCCATTTTTTTAACAGAGTTAAATGAGTCTTACACACCACTGTTGAAAATATTGCAATTTTCTGTAACTAGCAAAAGGGCTCCATGAAAAAATATCCGCTTAATATTTTTCAAATTGTTGAAAGCATATGAAAGCTACAATAATTGTCCATGGCTTCTCTTGCCATAAGGAAACATACTGTTGTTGGGGGTATGTAGACCTCTCCCTTAGTTAAACCCATCATTTTGAGGATAGAGAAGAAAGCCCTTATTTTACCATTTTATTTGCACTTGTCTTGGTCACTTTTGCAATTTCAACCATTCAAGCCATCTTTGTGTCCTTTGTCATCATACCATCTGTCTTGCATTGCTGTTTCAAGGCCATGTCTCTTGTCAGAATGTTGCCCTAACAGGACCTCATCCCCAAAAGCGTGAATCTTTCTAACAAGATAAACCTCAAGCAAATCAAATATCACAAGGCTGACCAAAGTGATTTTTATTGTAAGAGCCCAAAAGCACTAAGCTATAAAGTGAAGGTTAGGCTGTGGTCCAGCAGCACCTGGTGACCCCTGTCGCCTTAGCTCCTTATGTTCATGCTTATGCTTACCGGTATGTCTGTGTTGCTAATGAGTAGGAGGCTTACTGATTTACCTTTCCTTTACCACAGAGCGTGGAGACTTCAAAAAAGTTAGGAGCATTAGTTGTGTCGCATATCCCACTGGCCTCTTGACCCTTCCTACAATTCCTGGCAGTAGTGAAGATGGCCTGGACAGCATGGACGGCAGTATGTCAAACACTGATCCCGAAGAGGTAAAGGAACATCCCCTCAGCCATAGCTGGCATGGAACCACTAGGGATGAAATTGACCTTGTTTTAGAAGAATATGAAATCATTCCACTTGATTCCATTTCCCAAGTGGTAATTGGTGATGATGAAGACAGTGAGACATTTTCTGACATGGACGCAGACTATGTGGATGTTTTTAATCCTGACCTCAGATGTGGCAGCGACCATCGGTTTGATTACTGATTTGATAAATAATGTTAAAAGCTGTGTACTTACATGGTGATGAGAACTAAATGTAAGGCGTCTGCTGTTCGGGAGGACTGCAGGCTCATTTCCTGAATGGCGGCTGGTAATTGGATCATTATACTTTTCTGGGAAACTGCCCAGCTACCCCTCCCCTAAGCCATCATTAACACTTACTTCATGTTGGCTTAGGGGAGGGGTAGGTGGGCAGTTTCCCAGAAAAATATCATGATCCTTGTTTTGCTCATTAGCATACAAGATATTCCATAGAGGATGTCGTCCTATATACAAATTAGGTTCAAAAGTTGAAAGCTGGTCAGTGTGAGCAGTTTGTGCAAGTTTCGAATTCAGCCCTTTGCAATCAATAACAAACGAAATAGCAGCAATCAAAAACTGCAAAATTGCTGGGTGGAAAAACCATTAATGAGCTTATACATTCTTCTCAAATCTTGGCATTTTTCAAAGAGAATTTCCCCGGGCTCAAATTTACAGAGATGACTAAAGTTGTCTTTCTCTCAATATTCAGAGGTGTTATTTTATTGGCTTCATCAGATGATGAAAGGCGTATGTTAATGAGGCAAAAAGTGTAAACAAGGATTCGCCTATATACATGAGTAGCAATTTTGTGGGTACCTATCAAGACAATAGTGAACTTACGCAACAGGGCGGAAGAGGAAAGAAGACGGCAAACCTTGTGTGACAAGCGTGACACTAATTTTGTTTGAAATAACCTTTCGCCAAACTTCACTCTCCTTTAAACAGATCTTTTTGTAAAGACCAGAAAACATTATTGTTAGGTGAAGATCACGACAAAACACGCACGTAATAGCCCTGTCACGTTTATCACGCACAAGCGTTTTGCTGTCCTTGTCTTCCTGCCGTCCTGTTACGTAAACTCACTAATAATTCTCTAAGACTGTGGAGAACTACTAACTAAAGAAAAATGACGGCAAGCAATATAGAGTTTGACAAAAGTTTTGTAATAGAAAACTGTTAAGAAGAGTGTTTGCCAACAAGTAAACAAGACCAAAGTATTCCACGTGTAATAACATACTTTTAGAACCTGAGACACAAAGAGGACAGTGTCTCATATAAAGTTAACCTGCGATCAGGCGCTTTTTTTTCACGAAGCAGTGAAAACTTAGAACTTCATTTCTTTTTGAGAGGCCAATCGTAGAATGGTTATCCGGCAGACCCTGTAGAAAGACATAGAGATTTCAAGTCAGCCTGCAAGTGGTTGTACTTTTTGATTCTGGAGTGCGGGATAATTTTGAGTGAGAAAAAGAGTTAACTCTTTGTGTTATTCATATACGGAACTGACTTAAAACAATTACGTAAAATTTTGGCTCTTTACGGGCTGGGTAGTTATAATGAGAAGGCTTTACGGTCAAAATGCCGGAAAATCATCACGCTTGAAGCTCTTGCCAAACTATTTCCGGTTTTAAGAACGATGACCACACATATTTAAAAGTGCTCTTTCAATGCTACGTGGGTTTACATAACTCTGAGATTCCAGCGACATAACTTTGAGCCGAAAGACATGTTCCCTGGGCGTCTTGACCGATTGCATAGAAAGGCCATGATTTTACTAGGGAATGCCGCAAAATATGTAATTAAATTAAACGGAGCTCTCTTTGATTTTGGGTTTGTAAATTTTACAGTCTTTACTCCCAATTTATTGTACAGTGTACACACTGTAAAAAAAAACTGAAGTTCGTAAAACTGCAAAACAGCTAGGGCATTCAAGATTCACGAACTTTGAAATTCTTTGTTTCAATTTGCTAAAAGAAGATTGAAACGGGTTGTTATATGATCGAACTATATTTATTAGAAACAAATGTACATAAAATCGATGTGATAAGATCTATGAAGTATTTTTGCTTTATTGCTATTAAGCACTTTGATAGAATCAATTTCCGTTGTGCTTGTTAATTTGGTCGTTCCTGTATTGAACTAGAATAAATTAATTAACGTTACTCTGCGAAAATTTTAGGCTAAAATTCTTTTCGTTAAATAAGTTGTGACCTGTCCAATAAGTCTTTAAAGAAATTTATGATTAAGGCCGGGTTATTGACACTGCGTAGAGAAATTATGTAGCTGTCTGAATAGTATGTTGATACGGGGCATCTGTAGGACATTCACAGACAAGAAAAATAAAACTATAATTTGACAAAGTAAGAAGTAAAAAAGTCCAAGGGTTATTTAAAGGGCTAGGTTGTGCTGAAGAAATTACTTTCCTGCAAATTCAATTTTAAAATCTTCCAATATTTCAGATGTCGTTTTCTGATTTTTCAGATTAAACTCAATGGCAACCCTATGACTTATCCATCTAGCGGTGGCAGTGCGCCTTTTTTTGAGACAGCATTGTCATGGTTATGGATATTTAGTTTTTAATAATAGTAGACTGTTCAAGGTATATAGTCTGTCAGTTTCTCAATGCAACAGAAAGAATTCGAGAAAGGGCTTTCCGCCCCTCCCTTGCCTAGCCTTAACCGCATTTTTGTGTCCAGTAGTTCTATAGCGAAGTTTTAAAAGCGTTAAACGAACAGTTGTGAACAGTCTAACGATAAAGGTATCTTGTCATGAATTTAGTTAAAAATAAAGTATTAAGAAACTAGTTTTAATTTATTAAGGTGTGTAAATGTGAGGGTGTAAATTAGAATTTCGAGGAATAAAGTTGCCTTTCAAATTGTGTACAGTTATTTTCATGCACTGCGATTTACTATCAGCATTGAAGACAACAACAACACCAAGTGCATGTCAAATCGCCGCCTAGACTTTCAAAACAGTCCTTCGTCGGATTTCGTCGCTCGCGGTCGACCGCTTGGCGGCCAAACAAGGCTCGCTCCGCTCACCAAGAGGTCGACTTGTAGCAAGTCTACTCGCCGCCAAAAGCCGCCCTCTGAGGCGCGGTTAATGCTAGAGAGAAAGCATCGCGTTTCAACGAAGGTTAAGGCTATGAGATCATACTGGATACGACTTCTGTTCACACTTAAGAACGATGATTTCGGCGCGATTTCCGAGACGGAGCGAAGCTGCGCCGTGCCGATCTCGAAAGTGGACCGTCACGTATCGGATTAGTTCTGTGCCACACTTTGGTGCAATGTGGACCGGTATTCGCACCGTAACGGAAGTGAATGAGTAGGAGCGAGGGCTGGAATCCACTGAAACGGAAGTAAATATTTAGGAGCGAGTGAGGACTGCAATAGACCTTTTCGGGTAACTCAGTGTTGTACCCAATTTAAATCTCCCGGGGTTAAGATTCTTTGTGTACTGTATTTGCATTATAATGTGGCATTCACATTTGAATGATATAGAAATTCCTGAAACAAAACGTTTTATTCCCAAAGGGTTTGAATTGGGTATAACATTGAGTTAGCCGAATAGGTCTGTAGGCCATTTCCGAGTTCCCCCGGACCTCTGTATCAAAACGAGGTTAAGTGCTCAGCCTTTGATATGGAAACGATTTTTCATTCTCATGCAAATGAAACTCATTTTATCCAGTAAGGTTGTGCACTTGGCCTCATTTTGAAAGTGAGGGTTTTTGAAACTCGGAGGTGGCCTATTAAGTTAAACCAAGTCCTCTTGGCCAACACTACGGCGCCATGTTCGATGTGTGTGAACGACTTGTTCCACTCCATCCCTGGGCTTTTCGTGTCTGCTCGAAAGCTATCCGGAATAGTGTGAATATTGCCTAAAGATGACCAAAGCGCACGAAATCATGAAAATATGCTTTTAGTGACAAGCTCGTCACAGTATTCCAGAATTAGGACAAACTGTATACTGTAAACGCACAAAGAACATATCATCGCGACCTCGTATACTCGGCTCTGATGAATAAATGATGACGCATGCTTATTTCGGCTATAATTCATTTCAACTCGTGACGTCAGTGGTAAATTAGACGCTTCTAACAATGTCTAATTGATAAATTAGAAGAAAAAATATTTGAAGTCAATGGTTTGAACTTTAGTTTTCCAAATAATTCCTCTAAGATTCTTTGGTAACTTGAACTGGTTACATATTCTCCTCACTGCAAAACATAACAAAGTTAACTCATGAAGCAATGGAAATCTTGAGGTTAAAGCACTTACTGTAGCTTGGGAAAATGCGATCGAACAGTGCACCGCTGCCTTACGTGCTCAAGAACAATATTTGGGGGCCTGCACCTGTTAATCAAATATGCTCGGTAGGTACTGTTACTTGAATGTTTTAACCAACTTCACTGACTCTTTTCTCTCTGTACATGCGCCAGCTGTGCATGTGGTAATAAACTGATTTAGTTGAAGATGCCCAAAAGTTCCGAAAAAGTTGCTATTTAAATCCTTGCGATTTTCTGTTGTTCTAGTAGAGATTGATATCACAATGTCATCAGAATTTCGCCCTTAGCCGAACCAAACCTTGTCTTCGAGATATTAAATTTGTTCTTTATTTTCAACTGGTGATAGGGGAAAGTGAATTGAAATAGTTTTACATTAGAAAGACGGACAGTTTTGAAAAAGGATTTCGTTACAATAACTAATCTTCGCTAATGATGATCCTAGTTCTTCTTGTGTTAGCGGTATGAAAGCATATCTTTTTCAAATGTTTTGAATCCAAACAATAATTTCAGTTTTTTAGCTAGCTTAGCGTTGTATGCCTGGCCACTCATTGACTGGTTTCACTTAAAATTACGCAAGCGAAGGTGATGAAGTACTTTAATAATGAAGACAATTTCTACACGATACATCTCGATTTTTAAAAAGCAGCTTTGATTTAAATTGGTATTTGCCTAAAGCCTTCTGGAAGAGTTACCCTCCCTCTATGTAAACAGGAAATTAGTGTTTCCAGGTAATCTGCTCCGTTTTAGTCGAGCACCATAGCTAAGAAAATTTGGTAAAAATGTGGTTATGACGTCAGCGTACGACCTCCCGTCCGTACAGACGCTGGGGAAGGGGGAAAGGGGAAGGGGGAAGGAGGAAGGGAGTCAGGGAGCAGCCCGTCGGGGAAGGAATATGTTATAGCTGAGGTGAAATTTGCATTTCAATCACCCCGGTCGTTTCGGCTGTTAATCACATGGCCGCCCGGACTTTTACAGAGAGAAGAGAGAGAGAGAAAAAAACGATTTTTTCCACTAAATTTTAATATCTACATTTACTTGGATAACAGGACGAGCAAAGTTTTCTTGCTAATTAGTAAAAAAAGTGTGCTGCTCGTGCAAAGTTGTTGTTGTTGTTTTTTTTTGCTAATTAGTAAAAAAAAGGTGTGCTGCAGGTGCAAAGTTGTTTTTTTGCTAATTAGATCTATTGTTGTTGCTTTTTACCGTTCTTGTTGTTTTCATCTTGTCTTTAGTTATTTTCTTTAAGGAAACCATTAATATTAAAGAGAGCTTCGCTTTTAGCCCTGGCTAAATCTATACATTAAAAGAGTAGACAACGCCCGGTTTTAGATTGCTCGATTTGTCGCCCAATTCGATTTTCAGCTCGCGCGTTCGCGCTCTAAGATGATTGGTTGCTCTCGTATGGCATTGTTACATCATGGGTCTCATCAGTTCTATGATGCGAAAAGCCAACTCAACTTCTCAATGCTTTAAAAAGGGAGACCCAATATTTCACTAATTTATTTTTTCTACAGGGAGAGTCCTTCCGCTCCTCTGTGTTTTGCCCTGTGTCAACTCATGCTCTAAAGCCTTGGAAATACAGAGATCCTTGGTGCTTAAATCAGGACAGAAAATCGTTATTCCACGTCAACTCCGTTCATGGTATTCTTTGTTTTATTCTGAATTTGATTGCCTTATACTAGAGAAGGGTAAAGGTGTGGCTGCTTATCTAGGATTGTCCATGGATTCTGGGCCAGCCTTTATTTTTATGCAGCCTTTTTACCTGTGTTTTTACAGCCTTTTTGAAGGTTTGGCAACATTGTTGAGGACCCGGAATACAAAGTGATCAGTCCGGGAAATGTAATCTTTCGGACGGTAACTAGTTTGCTTCCTAGCTAGCTGAACGCAAGAAAATGTTGTGAAATCCAGCCAACATCTTGTGCATGAAGGTTTTTGGTTTCTGGATCCATGATGCAGAAAGTGTCACTTTATTTCTGCGGAGAGAAATTTGTTTTTCGCTACTCAAAATTAGTTTTGTTTATCAGATGAAAATTTTACTTCCAAAACGAATTAGTAGAGACAATGCCAATTCGCAACTTAGTGTGTGTGAACCGTTAGCCAGAAGACGGGTAACCTGCCCGGTGATCCGTCAGAGAAGAGAAGCTGTATAGACTGTCTTAAGGGAGGACAGAAGAAGAAGAAGAAGAAGAAGAAGAAGAAGAAGAAGAAGAAGAAGAAGAAGAAGAAGAAGAAGAAGAAGAAGAAGAAGAAGAAGAAGAAGAAGAAGAAGAAGAAGAAGAAGAAGAAGAAGAAGAAGAAGAAGAAGAAGAAGAAGAAGAAGAAGAAGAAGAAGAAGAAGAAGAAGAAGAAGAAGAAGAAGAAGAAGAAGAAGAAGAAGAAGAAGAAGAAGAAGAAGAAGAAGAAGAAGAAGAAGAAGAAGAAGAAGAAGAAGAAGAAGAAGAAGAAGAAGAAGAAGAAGAAGAAGAAGAAGAAGAAGAAGAAGAAGAAGAAGAAGAAGAAGAAGAAGAAGAAGAAGAAGAAGAAGAAGAAGAAGAAGAAGAAGAAGAAGAAGAAGAAGAAGAAGAAGAAGAAGATGATGATGATGATGATGATGATGAAGATGGGGGTTTAAAGAGACACAGCAGTCTTGACTTTTACTTTTCGCTTTCTCTCCTCCCCTCCTTTTTCGCTTTTCTTGCCTCATTTTTTTCACTTGCGGGGCATTCAGTAGGCTTCATTTTGGTGGGAAAAGTTTTTAGGAAAGCTTTTAGGATCTTAGCATTTATAGATGAAAGCAGAGGTAGGTGGGCATTAGAACAACATTTTCAAGGAAATTTTTCAGGTCAATGTTACCTGGATTTCTGCCTTTTTCTCCGGTGTCCTTGACTGAATTGTGCTCATTCTGGTATGGTTTGAAAGATCCCTTCACTCTGCTCGAGTTAGCGGACAACGTTATCCTTGACTATTAAAACTGATGACGTAACAAGCGGTAGAAAGGACGTGGATTCGCACGGGCGGTTACAGGCGGCTCAAGGGCGTGAGTAGCCTGAAATTCATCCGATTGCTTCGGCGTGAGCTAATTGGCGCAGGCTAATGCACAATCCCTGGACCCAATATAGTACATTGTTAACAGAGTAAAGGAAGCTAAAAGGAGCGTCAACGCTTCATTTGTTTCTTTTCACTGAGTTTGATAAATCCATTCATCCGGTAATATAAAGAGAAAATTCGCACAAATTGTAAATTTTATAGATATTCTTAGCAATGTTGCAGCTATGAAATAGATCAGCTTATTAATGCAACAAAAACCCATTATCCTTTTTTCCCTTGTCAGACCCAGATCTATAACTGAAGGAAATGTTAAACCGCGAACAAGATAGTTTACATATTTTCTGCATTTCTTGTTTTCGCTTGTTGTGCCGCGGGGCTTATCCTTTTCACCTGTTGCTATAGCAACACATGAGTCGATGAAGTAAGATGGTCTCGTTCTACGCGATCGTGTAAGGAAAAGCATCAAAGAATTTCATCAATTTACTTTTCAGCATCAAATGTAAGTGAGAATTCTCTTATCTGATTTACTTAACGAACTTCAAAGGGCATTTTTGTTTCTTCTTACAAGTCATTTAAAAAAATCTGCGATTTAGGCGCGTAAAATGTGTAGTCTCCCCCGACAACACGAATTCGACTGGCCATCGTAGATCTTTTGTGATTATTTGTTCGTTTCTGTGTAAACATGACTTTAGAATTGCTTACATTTGTTACATTAATAATATATTGGACTGAAGTTCCTTAGGAGCCTCAGCGATCGCTGGGAGTACTTTAATCTTTAATGCAAAGAATGTAAGCTTGTGTAAAGAAAACCGCGTATGCCATTATACTCTCCTCTCACAACAGTACACGCGGTGAACAGTCGTTTTAAGGCATTGCTTTGTTTATAGCTGTTTGATTGGAAGGGAATTTCTGATGTAGTCTTCTTTTACAATAATCGTTGCCATGTAATTAAACGAGAAGTGACCCGGGCTGCTCATGTATGATTAAAAACTCATGTTGACGAAGATCTGTTCGGAGACGACTTTGATTTAGTACACGCTTTGATTTAAGACTTCTAAGGAAGTGGTTGATCAAGAGGTTCAAGTGGTGGTGTCAGGGTTTTAACCTGTTTTATGCATGTTCATAGAGTGCATAGAATAACACTTATGTCCAAGTAAAGAACAACAGTTCTGATCAGCTGTTCTAAAAATACTTAGAGCATTGTCTTCACACCATATTTGTGGAATTTTAAAAGGCTAGATCTACAGCCACAATCTGGGACAAAATAAATGGAAAACTTAGACCCCCCTCACAACAAATCAAAAATTGGAAAATGGCGTGTTTTGGTTGTCACGAAGCTTCACCTTGATTTTCGAGTGTTGGGTTTTTGCTGTTCCATTTTATTGTGTCCATGATTGCAGTCTTGGACAAAATAAAGTAAAATTTAGACCCCCACCCTCCCCCCAAATCAAAAATGGGAAAATGGTGGGTTTTGGCCTTTGCACAGGTTCATCCTTGATTGCTGGGGGATTGGGAGTTTGCATGCTGTTCCATTTTATTGTGTCAAAGATTGTAGCTTAAAGAAATTTGTGGGCGGTGATGAAACAGGAACTGAACGTATACCTCCCCAGCTCAAGAGAAAAGAGTTTGTGTTTTGTTACATTACCTCAAAACTGAAAAAAGTGTTGTTTTGCGGACCGTTACACTGTATAAGATGTTGACAAACTCTTGCCAACCATATACTTTAGCACATTGATGTTAAATTTATAAAATTGGTGTATGTGAGAAAATAGTCAGGGAGTTTTACCTGTTTTGCCAATGTTCTCGTTGAGATTATCCATGATTTGTTGAGAGGAAAAACTTGACACAACAAGTTTTGATATTGAAATGGAAAAATTAAAACAGCCTGTGGGTGATCGACCCCTTACAGGGATGCTGCAAACCCGGTCAAGTTTCAGCAAGGCTATCATCATCACAAAACTCAGTGGTTCGATAGTGGCAAAGTCACCGGTGGTGCAGGTGGAAACGGGCTTGTTTATGGTTCAGACCCAAGCAATAAAAGCACTGGTAAGATGACTGTTTAGAAGTCTGCACCACATGTCACGTTCTCCTGTTCTGTTGCTCGACTGGGCAAGCTGAAGCCTCTCACTTTCTGCACTACAGCGATAAGAGTACTAGCTGCTTTAATTATTGTGTTCTTATAAATTTAATGTAATTGCACCTCTAGTAATGCTGGTGATATTTTAATAAGTGTGATAAAAGGAGATGTAAAAAGTGGAGTTTCAGGCTCTGTATGCATGTAACTGCTTGATATATAGCATATAAGAATAAAGCGAAATGGTAAATAAAATAAGATGAAATGCTGTGTGTGATGATAGATATAGATTTAGACTAGTGCTGTCATACTCTGAAGTTGAAGACAGTATTTGATGTCAACATCATCATTCTTTTTTTCCTTTTTAGTGTGATCTCTCTTAGGGGTCAAATACATTAAACATTAAAAACCCGTGCCACACCCAGGCTGCTCTTATCTAGGGTTTGATTCAAATTTTCAGACTAGCATCCCTGTCCATTTCCTAAAGGGGTGACCGTCACTCATATTGTAAACTGCCACTTACACTGTATAAGCCCCCCATTATAGGCCCATTTACTTGTAAACAAAGTAAGCCTTTCCCCCCACCCCCCGGATATAAGCTTCCTTTCAAATGTATTGAAATGAATTCAATTTATTATGACATTTTAATGCTCAGTTGAAAATCAGAAAGTACAAACATATTTTGGTCAGCATTATTCTATTACGGTTCTAAACCTCATTGGATATAAGCCCCTCCATTTTTAAGCACTACCAGAACCCCTTACGAAGATGTATAAGCCCTGCAGGGCTTGTTTAGTGGCAGTTTATGGTATGGTCTGATGTGAGTAAACAAGCAACCCAAGCTCAAAAGTCAACATTCTTGTAAGCTGGTCTATTTATACTTACAGTGTTCCCAAAGGAGCCGCAAAGAGCAGTCCCTTTCTCCATGCAGGACACTTACCGGCCATTAAGCAAGAATTATCATTTACAAAATACACACAGTAAAGGGTTTGAGTTAGCAGTGTCTTCCTCAAGTGATTCAAGACCACTGAATGATAGATTCACTAAGAAGCAACATTTTGTACAAGGAAGGGTATGTAAGACCACTTTCTTCTAACTCCCCAAGCAGTGTTTACAAAAAACTCCAGTGATTGGTTACCACTGGCTTTAATTTTGAAGAGAGTTTGTTCCTGGCATCCCTGTACAGAAGAAATTTATTTCATAATATTTCGAACCCCCTAAAATAATACACAATGGTTTTTCAGAGTAATCCAGTGATCTGTACTAACAAATTTTACCTTGGTTGTTTTAAATCCTGAATCATGCTTCCGAAATATTCCTTTTTCTTGACTGTGGCTATTAAAAAGATACTGATCCCAAATCTTGAATAAAAGTTTTTGTGGACCCTCTTATAACCTTGCCTGTTGCACCCTCCTACATCTCACATTTTCACTGGACAAACGATTTTTTTGGAGGTGGGGGCGGGGGTTAGTGGGCTGGCTGAGGTATTTCAAAAGATGCTTACAGCCTCTCCCCTTCTCCATTCCTGTAGTTTTTTGCTTGCTTTAATTGTTTCACTCTCAAAAATGGACAGCAGTTGCTTATTTTGGGGCATATGATAATACTAAATACAAGTTAAAAATCTCCTTTTTTAGATTCCAGGTGGTTCAGCAAGCAATAGAATGATTTATGGTACAGATGAGGTCCTTCGTCAAGCGCAACTCAAAGAAGAGGCAAATAGACCCTCGGGGTTTCTTTATGGAACAGATGCTGCTACAAAGGTCGGAAGACCTGCTCCTGCACCACGCCCAAATAACTCACTATGGCTGGAAGAGAGAACGTGAGTCTCATGTTTTTTGTCACTAAGTAAAAACCATATTCTTTAAAGAAGAATGTCCTAAACTGGGCTGACCCACCTTTAATGTCTGATGAAATCTCTCTGATTTCTAGAATTTCCCACCTCTGGGAAGGGCACTTCCGTATGGTGCACTGGACAGGGTCTGGCCAATGGCCTCTTTTTGTCCCGCAAAGTGTATTCAATTACGTGAGCTTGTCCTAGACCTAAACAAGGCCATGATTTTTGGTAAAGGAACAACTGACTGGGTTCAAAAACATGGGTTATGGTTCTATTTACAGGGAAGGTATATATATCGTAGGATTCTTTTGAAATAAACCTTTGACTGGCGACAACCCTAACATTGGACAATAATAATTATTCAAGTTTCCCCCTCCCTGGGCCACTCCCTTCAGTGGTGGATCCAAGGGAGAGGTCCGGGGGGCCTTCCGCTCCCCCCCCCCCCACCCCTTATTTTTAGACCAAACTGAGGCCCGAAGGACTGAAAAAAGTATTTTTTGAGACCCGGCCCCCCACTTATCTCAGGATCTGGATCCGCCACTGCCCTTGACAACAATGAACCCAATTGACAACATGACTGAGTTATTATGGGTGAGATGATTTGTCATTCTAACTTTTAAATCTGGACAAAATCTTGTGGTGTTACCATTCAGATGAAACCTCTTTGGCAGACCTTTTGCTCTGTAAAACTTAAATCTTAAGATTGCACAAAATTAAGCAAATTTGGAATATTTTTTGGAAATTTTTTTATTAAGGGTTATACCCTTACAAGCAGTACATTAATGATGTAATTACGTGTACTACAGCTGTACTCATATAACTTATCTAAGTGGAGGTAATGCCTCACATAGTAAAGTCACTGTATGAATGTAAGGATCTTACAATAATTATTATTATCTTACAGTCTTATTATTAAGGGGATAAAATAAAATTATTGTAATTAACCAGTCAAACTTTAATTTGCAATTTCAGTGAAAAAGATGCCCTCAAGAACCAAACTTTAGCACAAACACAAGGTAATAATATTTGACTCAAAGTTGGATTTATTTTTTGTTAAAAAATTAACGCATACTAAAATTTATTCTTTCAGATGAGTTTTTAGCAAGACATCATGAAGAGAAAGCAAGGCAGAGGCAAGCAATACAGGAGGAAAAGAGAAAGGTATATAAAATCATTGATTATATTATTGACAAACAACCACAGATGGTCTTGGCCTGCGCTAATATTGCTGGCATGTTTCATTTGTCACTAAACAGAACAAAAGAATCACAAGGATCTAGTTTAATGTTGGATTCTCTTGAAAAAGTGCACCCTTTACATTCACTTTTGTTTTAATCGCATTTGTCAGAATGCATCCTAATCTTGGTGGTCCTGTGGTACAAAACCACAAATTTTCGAGGTATCAGGGGCGACTGTCGATTAGCCGCCACACTGATTTTATCAGGGGCATCTCAGCCAGGAAACTGGACTCCTTTCAACTCAATTTCCTTTATGAAAGTGACGAACGTGGGTCCATAATCAATGATTATTGCTTTTAGTCTCATTAATAATATTGGCATTATTTTGGTCTCTCAAAAACTTTCAGGATCTTGAAGCACTAAGAAGCTATCATCCTTGGGGGAGGCCTGGTGGTGGTGCACCTCTGAATGTGAGTGTGTATAATAAACGGTAATATTAGTTTTGTTTTTTGCAGGGTGGGTGGGAAGGGGGCAAACGGAAAGGGTCAGAGTGCTGTTTAATAGTTTTTTGCCCTAAATAAAATATTGCACCGCTGTCAATAAGATTTCAAGTTTCTGGGTAACTGTAGTAATAAGGTGTCTAGCAGCGAATGGCGGCACATGATATCCGTGATGTTAAAAATACGAACTAACTCAGTGTTTTATCATACATGAGGTAAATGACTTACAAGCGGCAGCCAGCGGCACATACCCAGCAAGTTAACCCAAGTCCCCCCCACCCCCGAGCCTATTATAAGGTTAATAAGCTATAAATTCAGTAACGTATGAACATTGTTGACTAGTTTAAAAGAGTATGAAGTGTCGAAATTTTCTGAGTGACCTTAAAGAGTTACAACATGAAAATTATAAGTGAGTTAAGGACAATAACTTGTTAACGTAACATTATAATGCATTCATTTTTTTGATCTATATTGTCACAGTCTGGTATGGATGAAAAACCCGAGACAAAAAGAAGTAAGAACATCCAGTCTCTTGTTCAGGAGGTAGGGATGCTCTTTGATTTACAGTAATAAATAATAAAATAATAAAATATCATTTAATTAATAAAATTAATTATTCTCCAGGATCTAGTTTTTCAATTAATGGTGGATACTGCTATCCATTGGATAAATCTCTATGCACGGGATAACGCAGCTGGTTTCCCTAATACTTATCCACTGGATAGTAATTTATTGGGCTATCCAACGTTGGAACAACTGGGGCCAGTTAAATTTCAGAAAGCCTTACTAGCAACTTTCTCAGCTTGTTTAGTTTTTGCTGTTCTAGGTAGCTTTCTGCCTGCATGATGACAGTGACCAGAAAACCACTTGACTAGCTTCAAAACCCGGTTTTCAGCAAAAATTTTCAGGGGCAAATGTGTTAAACAACAGTATGTACTACCTAAACTCATATTTCCAGAAGTTGAGTGGGGGGGATTCAAACCAAAAAACCCTTTGTTGGGGGAGTATGTATGGGTATTAATAAGACGAACACATTCCTTAATGAAAGATACAACTGTAGTTGTGGTTTGACCTAATTTTAGGGTAATCAACTGCCCTTTGGAGGTCAGCAAGTTGGAGGAGGGGCCCCAAACAGAACGGAATCAGGAAGAGTTGCCGCAGGTTTCCGTGCCGATCCTGAGCTAAGATTTCCAAAGCATGCAGCTAAAACTGATGTTGAACCTGGTTTGGTGAGTGAAGCAGTGTGTAATATTAATAAATTATAATAGTAATAATAATGGTAATGATGACGATGATAAAGCTTCACTGTATTATTCTTTACAAACTTGTGCTAAGTAAAAAATATTATTGTCTGAAGTACTTTAAATGTCTATCAAGGGTTGAATAATCTGTAATCTTTCCCCACAATCATGTATTAAATCATCATGTAAGAAGTCATGCATCATGACACAATAATTATTTAGACATTTCTATATTTGCAGAGGTATGGTGGACGAGATAAAAAATACAGACATGAATTAGGTTAGTATATGATGAATTTTGATTCTCCTTTACCATTACTTAAAACATTCACATTAGGTACAGCATGTGAATTAAAAGTACTTAATGAAAAATGATTATGTGAAAGAAAAAAAAAGAAAAACTGTGTTGCTCAACAAAGAGAATGTGTGATTAAGAAAGAAGGAACTTATAATGTCTTTTGCCAAACAACCACAGGAAAAACTAATGGATTCCCATTTTTGGATATTTTAGGGTATTTAAAGAATACCCATAAAAATCCCAAATTTGGCAAAGTGAGACAAGTCCCAACCAGGGAATTCCTAACCAAGTTCCCTGATTGGGACTTTTCTCACTCTTCCAAATTTGGGATTTTTGTGGGTATTCTTTAACCCATTCGCCCCTGAACCGCCCGTAACCCCCGTGCGGATCCAGGTCCTTTCTACCCATCGTGACGTCATCAGTTTTAACGGTCAAGGACAACTTTCTTTGCTAACTTGTGCAGAGTGAAGAGATCTTTCAAACCATACCAGAATGAGCACAATTCAGTCAAGGACACCGGAGAAACAAGTAAAAAACCACGTGACATTGACCTGAAAATCTCCATGAAAATCTTGTTCCATTACCCACCTACCTTTCCTTTCACCTAATCCTAAGATCCTAAAAGCTTTCCTAAAAACTCTTGCCACCAAAATCAAGCCTACTAAATGCCCAGCAAGAGAAAAAAAAATGAGGCAAGAAAAGCGAAAAAAGAAGGGAGGAGAGAAAGCGAAAAGTAAAACTCAAGACTGCTGTGTCACTTTTAAACCCAAAAACTATCTGGAAATTTGGCTTTCTGCGCATGCCCGAACTTCGCAAGCTGATATTTTGCATCTGGATCAGAAGGTCGCGAAGTGTTCGACCTGTAAACCAGTTTGTGGTAAGTTTTAGCTCTTTATAGAACGACAGTGACCAGAAAACCACTCGACTAGCTTCAAAACGCGTTTTTCGGCAAAATCTCCAGGAGCGAATGGGTTAAATACCCTAAAATATCCAAAAATGGGAATGTGTTATTTTTTCCTGTGAACCCTCCCCCCGCCCCCCCGATACTTCCACTGTTTTTAATTTCAGGACTTAGCGACATGCAGCATATGGTAATGAGGCAAAAAATGTATAGATTTTCTCATTTCCTGATGAGGAAATTGTTTGTTTGCAGACTCCATGATTGAAACCTCAAGAACAAGGAAAATGCTTCAAAGAAGAAAGAGCATTGAAGATGAACTGCAACATGTAAGTTAATCAGTAATATTCTCACAACAGACTCTAAACAATGAACAAAGGAATTTGAAACTTCTGTACTTACAGAAATTTCAGTACTAGAAATAACAAATTTTTGTTGCAATATGATGGGTCACCTGGAAGCTCTTGGATCTAATCAACAGGATCAAGGAGAAAACAACAAACAAACAACAGAAATAGAGTACCCTTGTATGAATTTAGAGGTTTTGGAGAATTTCATGACAGTAGCATACTTACTTTTAGTATACTACTAGACTTTACAATGCAGTAACTACTACTCAGGTGAATTAAAGAATGGTTCACAGGAGGTTTTTAGGGGTGGGGCAGGGTTTTCTGGTTTAAAGAGGATTAAACCTCTACACTTAAAACTTTGTAGGCCTGACTCCATCTTTTTAAAAAAGGATATGAGTTTCATTTTGAATGATGGATTTTCCTGGTCACGTGACTTGTCATGCCCATTTTTTTCTATCTATTTTGATCCAAAATTACACCACTTTTAAAAGATTGAATTTAATTGAACTTGTGTTTTATTTATGACTATGAGTACAAGGTGGGGTTTTTCGAAATTAATTATTGTTTTAAGTAAACTATGACGTTTTCATTTTCGAGGGAGACTGGGGTGAGTAGAAAACATTGAATTATTACTTAGTAATAAAATATTTTGAAATTTCCTGATTAATTTGCTGTGACTTTAACATTAAACTAAAATTTTGCATAATTATGGGCGTGGCTAGTCATGTGACTTCAAAAATTGCAATATCAGCAGCAAAATGTTCCTTTCATCTGGGCACAGACATAATCAGAGATAAAGGGAGTGCGCAACAAAATGAGAATAATAAGGATAAAAGCCAGGTATCAGTGAGAAGCCATCCTTAAGACTTTACAACATTTTGAAGAATTACCCTCAAAACCCCAATCATTTTATTTTTTTGTAGATGAGCACAGACCAGTTTGGAAAAGAAGGTGCTGGGGCTCCGCGGAAAACGGGATCTGGTGAATGGAAATTTATTTAATGCAGCTTCTAACTTTTGTGAAGCCTAGTTTCCTTATATTTGTCTCAAAATGTGTTCACGTGGTTGAGAGAACCACATGGAAACAACATTGATGTGATAATCTCATAGAAACACCTCATGCAAAAACAACAAATTTCCCTCTCAGACCCCTCACCTATCTCTGACGTTAGACCTAAAGAAATTCAAATAAATTTATACTTTAATAAAACCCTTTTGGAAGGTGATAGATGTAAAAATATTGACGACAGACTGAAGTGCGAAGCCCTTTACAAACCAGTTTAAAAGCTGATACTTTGTGACAAAAAGTTCATTACATAAAGAAAGAGAGAAAAATATACACAAACACTGCTAAGATTATCTAATCTACAAATGGATTAAACAATTTTTCAATAATGATGATTTTCTACTTACATGTACCATCTAAATACCACCCAGGCAGGTAAATTTAGGCCTTCCCTCTCGTGGTTTTAACTGCTGAGTTGTCTGTGAGTTAGCAAGTAACAGTCTTCATTTTGTCTTTGTAAAGGAACTGTGAAAGCAGGCTTTCCCACAACCCTGTCCAAGGACATAGAAGAACTCCGGCATGTTAGCCGAAGGAATCCACAGACCTTCAGTCAAGATAGAGATTCATTTGAGGTGTGAATGAGAGCATTTCTTTTGAATAGTTTTTTTATGCCTTGGTTTGGGTATGGATTCCTCCAGTCTCTCAACTTGTAACAGTAAATGAGTTCAGTACTATTTGGTGCTTATTGGAATTAAGTTAACCAAGCTGCTGAGGTCTTTAGCCGGTATCATAACTCAAATTTTTAGTGCTTCTTGCTGACATTGCTAAACAGAGATAAGGATGCTAGGGTAAGGGTTGTGAGGAGGGAGAGGGTAAGGGTAAGAGATCATTATACATCTCTGGGGAAACTCCCCACCTACCCTTCCCCTAAGCCAACATTAACACTTACTTCTCACTTAGGGCAAAATGTTGGCTTAGGGGAGGGGTAGGTGGGCAGTTCCCCAGAAACGTGTAATGGTCCAGGGTAAGTGTGAGGCTGAGGGTAAGGATAATAGCAAGGGTCATGGTGTGGGTGTGGGTAAGGGCAAGGTTAGGGTTCAAGAGGGTAAGAGTAAGGGTCAGTATAAAGGTGAGGTGGGGGGGGTAGTAGTAAGAAGAAGGCTGAAGGATAAGAGTGAGGGTAAGGGTAAGGGTAAGGCAGAGGCTTAGGGCATGGAGATTCCACATCAGCTTGTTTGCAGTTGTTAAGTCACGTAACTGTGTAGTGGCATTTCTTTCTGGAGCAAAATACCACAGTGTGCCCATGCCCTGGGTTTTAAAGAAATGATATGAGCACTAAACGAGTGTACTGAGCATGTGATGAGTTATTTTTAGAGTAAAAACGGTAAGGGTTAGGGTTAGGGTGGGTGTGAGGGAAAGGGTGAGGATGAAGCCAGCAAGTTCTCAGAAGGTAAATGTTTATCTGTTGCAGTATAATCCCTGGGGAAGAGGTTACGGAAACCCACCAACATTTGATCAACAAGGAAGAATTGTCAAACCACTACGAGCAAGGGATGAAAATGACATGGTAAAATAAAAAATTATTGTTTCAAAGTGACCTGCAATATTATTATTAAAATTACCTTAAATGTGCAATCAATAAGAAACTATATAATCATAGACACCTGTTAATAATTCAACAGGCAGGAATTGGTATTGAAGTCAATCGTCCAGGTGCTGGAGCTCCCAATGTTGATGAACATGGAAACTTGAAAGTAAAGAAGGCACAAACATTGACCAAAAGTTATACTGGAGGTAACAATAAGAACAATTAATGATTTACTCATACTGTGGGTACTTAATATTCAAGGGTGACACTTAATCGGGGGTGGGGCTTCTTTGAGAACTACAGTATTACTTCAGCAATAAAAAATTTCCTTTTATCCTCTAGACACAGTCCAGCGTGATTTCAGCCCCAAAAATAAGCGCAATGTTTATGACCCGTGGGGAAGATCAGGGGCAGGTGCTCCAATAAAGGATGCTGAAGGGCAAATCCAGACTCGGACAGCTGGCAAAGTATTACATGATTCAAGTGTAAGTAGACGTTAACACCACTTTATTTTAATTGCTTCCAAAAGTTATTAATAGCTGATTCTAAAGAGCTGTGATTTCAGTGAACCCAAGGTCCTCTTACATTTTTCATGCACAAGTGATCACAACTCAACCAGGTTGAGGGTAGCAGCACTTAATATTATTAGCAGTATGAAGTTTTAGGGTGCAGAAAATTGGGCTGGATCTCTGATCTGGAGGGTTCCTTGGTTACCTATGGACCCCCCCCCACCAGCATTCCAGATACTGCTTCATATTCTAACCCCTTTTTGATATAATAATTAAACCTCAGCTCAGAATACAATCATTATTAGGTTTCAATCAAAATCTTAGATCCTCCCTAGCAGGGGATACAAATTTATTGGAAGATGTTATTGAGGTTGTGTCCATTACATTTATTTATATTTCTGAAGTGAAAAAGAATCTGTTTATTATCCTTAAAAATTGATGTTGTTTTATTATAAAGGGGAGAGCCTTGGGGGGGGGTACTTTAGGAATTTCAGGTGGGGATGTGCCACTGGGACCCTTGGACCCTGGAACCCTTAACCTATACCAGAGCTAGTTCAGCTGAATTTTGCTACCCCATACTAGAGTAAACTCCCCAAATCCCCCCTATCCTAGAGTAGCTGTTTTCCAGAAGCTACTGAGGTCACTAGCACAGTAGTCTAGCCAAAACAAATCCTTATACCACAATCCCTAGTTTAGATGAAATCTTCAACCAACTGATCAGTTTCCTGAAAATGATACACTATTCTAGACTCAAACGCTCTGATTTATATACCCTATCCTAGAGTAAACTGCTTGAAAACCATACCCTTCACAGCGGTACATACCTATTCTGCCCATATACATGTATGGTATGTACATGTATGGCAGTAACCCCCCCGCTAGGCTAATGAAAAGACAGGGTGCCAATTGTGTGCCACTCTGGTTATCTTTTAGGGCAAAACCTGTGGGTTTACACGTGCGATAACTAGCACTTTTTTCATTACTTTGTAGGATTATTCTCCAGCTGGAAAAATGGACACACAAGCAAAACAGCATTTACTTTCAACTTTGTGTGAGTTGGGTTTTTGTATTGGATTAGACAAAAGTTTATTCATGATATTTCCTAATTTTGCCAATTTTTGGCTGGGTCACCACCCAGGGGGGGTACTCGGGATTTCAAGTGACAGGGACGATCGAATGGAGCCAAAGGTCAAGACCCAAAAAAATCCCTAGGGCTTCCAGCAAAACCCAAAAAATCTCTGGACCAAAAATGCAGACTATTGTATAAAACGTGTGATGTAAAGCGACACCATAGTTAACTACTAAATAACAGCAAAACACGCTTGTTTGTACTTTACTCGCAGAACTACGCAGCCAGGGCACTACCCATTCTTTTTAATACCCCCAAAAGATCCCTACTCAAATCAAGCTACCCAAAAAAATACTTGCCAAATTTTTGTACCCAAAAAAATCGCGGAGTCAAAAATTTCAACCCCCAAAAAATCCTTTGATCATCCCCGTCACTTGAAATCCCGAGTACCACCCCCTGGGGGTCACCACAACAGTGCATGTTACACCAATTACTGCGTGCCCACACCAGACCCACATCCTTCCGCTTGGAACCAAAGTATTGCTTCAGTCACTCAAAAGTTCAATACACTGACTTTTCTTTAAATTTATCTACAGTGACTCAGACTGAAGAAAGCAAAAGTCGTAGAAAAGCTGAACATGAAGACCTGTTAAATGTAAGAAATGTACCATTTAAATTGACGAGTGTGTTTTCTTTATGCACTATGATATTGTTTGGAGTTTAAGAGGGTTGTTCTCTTGTCATTTTAGAATGAAACGGATGCTGCTTCATGGGTACGGTCTGGAATAGTTGGACAACCCAGTTATGATCCAACTACTAAAGAAATTATTGCACCTAAGAAAAACACGTCAGATGTGACATCACAGGTACAATAATAACCTTAGATGCTATTTTCCAGGGAAATTTGCTTGATGACTTAAGGCAAAAACTGTGGACCTAGCCTTAATGTCTACTATTGTTTTGACCATAGGTATTGAATATAAGGAGACCAAAGAACGAGAAAAGCTACGACTATCACACTGACCTTGAAGTTCAAGCTCACTGGAGAGATCTACAGCGGAAAAAGAGTGCAGAGGAGCAGCGAATCAAGTCTGTTGAGGTAGCAACTTAATGTAATACATTTATAAATGCATAATAAATTAATAGCATATCCTACTGACATTGGGTTTGAACCTTTTTTTGACTTGGTGGGTGGGGTGGAAATTTACTCAAGTCTGGGCATAGGGGTGCCGATAAGGGATGGAAACCTGACCTTGTTTAGGGTTAGCATGCATGAAATTTTTATAACTTATTCAGGACAGGGACACTGAAAACCACGTTTCCAGCAACATATATATATTTTTAGCCTGTGCTAGGCTCTAAGATAGTAGGGACAGAACAAGTAACAAGGTCAAGGAAAAATTGGGAGTTCGCATAACTTTTAAAGATCTCTTCACATTACTATCTTCAAGCTTGGAACAGGCAAGTATTGAGAAGTGCTACCTGAACATTGTGTGAAAGTCTGCTCCATACAAAATTAATGTATGTTTGTATTAATTAGACATATGATTATGATTTATGATTTTTAATGTGTTACATTTTGCAGCATTTGAAAACCATGGACAAGATGTGGGGAAGACCTGGGGCAGGCGCACCACTCCGTAAAGAACAAAAGGATTTTGCAAGGAAACAGAAACGTAAGATATCCTGCCGTTAAAGCTTCGAAATAAGTCTCTCTCAAATTAAGGAAGCAGAGTGCTGGAGTTGCAATCCAGAGACCGTGAGTTCAGTCCCAGTGGTGGATCCAGGGGAGAGGCCCACCCTGCCCCCCTTATTTTTAGAACAAACTAAGGCCCAAAAGGCCGAAAAATTTTTTTTCGAGACCGCCCCCCCTTACCTCAGGGTTTGGATGACTGCCCCCCGCCCCCATTATCTAAAGGTCTGAATTTGCCACTGAATCCCCAACTAAACCACTAGCTGGGGCCAGGATTTGTTCTCGATTAGTCCAAAGTTCAACTCCTTGGTCACCCTTGTCAATAGCCAACAGGTTTTCCTCTGGCAAAGTGTTTGTTTCCATCCTCATTTATGGGCCACAATAAAAACCCAGTAAAATCTTTCTTTTCCTTATGGTGATCTTTTTATAATTTAAGAAAATGTTGTAGTTCACTCAAAAATTTGACACATTTTCACATTGATTTTTTTTTTATCTCAGTCACCCAGGCACAAGTCACTGGGTGGGGTTGTTCCCAGTGGCCCCAAGTTTGACTCCCAAGTCAGTCATGCTTGAAAAGAGTAGGGAAAAAAACAACAACAAGAATTTTTAAGTTAAAACTGTACCTGATGTAAATGATTTAATCATGCTATTTGTTGGAACTGTATGATGATTAATTTGTAATTTTTTGTTTCCACAGTTGGACTGGTACCTGCTGATACAGCGTACACTTACAGATAAAATTTTGCCACATCTTTGTGAAACTCAAATTGTATAAAGTATTTTTGTATTAAGTGGAGTTTTGTACTGTAAGAGGACAGGATAATCATGCCAAAACTTATGCACAAAGCCTACTTTGTACTAGTTTTTATAAGCAAAATATTTAATATATCTATAGGAGGTGTTGTCCTGGTAAATACACTTATTTTATTAATCATGTTTTAATAAAAAAAATGGTGTTTTTTTATGTTATGCAATGGAATTGGGGGGCAACTAAACCAGCTTTTAATTGAGCTGATATTTTTTCAATGTAGCTTACAGTTTCTCAGAGATGCAGCACAGTAAACTAAGGTAATAGTCCATTTTTGAGTTCGCTATGACCGCTGAATTGAAGAAGTGAAGACACATTTTTTACAGCCTTAGCCTCCATCTGAAGTAATATCTTCACAAATTCCAACGAGAAAAAGACCTGTTTATTACTCTGTTTATTGTGTATATTCAAATTTAAAACACTTACTGGCCAGAATGTCTGAATATTTTACTTTACGTCGAGGCTAACCCTGTATTAATGTGTCGTTAATGTTTGTATTCAGCGGCAATTTTTAATTCGAAACTGGACTATTGAAAACAACAGTAACTGTTTTGTTTTTGTAAACTAAGTTATTCAATAAGGCAGCTTCACAGAATGTGAAGGAAAATATTCTTTAAAAGATATGTATAGGTTTTACATTTTAGTTAGTGTAAAGCTTCCAACAGTTTCAGCTGATACTACACAAACCTGAGATGACTTTCTCCATCATCTGTATTATATTGAAATTTTATTGTGTATTAAACTACATATCCCTATAAATCTGTAATTAAATCTTTGTGAAATAAAGTCAGTTTTTTGTACTTTGGTTTTTCAAATTTCACTTTAATTTAGCATTTTTTTGGCTATTTTTTCTGATAACCATAGGACTAGGTGGCTAGGTAATTTTAAGTTAAGCACCTTGGTTACTATCAGACTGTGTATGCTCCACCCCATTATTTTATAAATTTGAGGAGAATTTTTTTTACCAATGAGGAGAATTTGTTTCATCTGTAGCTGTTGTACTGTTACTTAGTGATTGTTTCTCTGTATGAAACCCTCTCCAGCCATTTTCAGGGGGGAGGGGTAGAGGGCTTATATTAAACTGGTGAGGCAACCCTTAAAATATATTCATTTTATTCTACAAAAAAGGTATTATTGAAAACATACTTAATTGACTAGGTTATGTAGACACGTTACCAATGAAAGTTGCAAATGCTATTACTGAGTTGTTTAAAACTTTATTTTCCAAACTAGTTCTCTTGTACAGGATAAGTCTACACGCGCAAAAATATAAAAAGGTTTAAGCCATGCTGAGACTGTTATTGTTTCAGCAATGTACACTGTTCACTTTTGTGATATATTATTATGCCTATATGTTGTGTATAGCACTTATTGTTACTGGGTTTATTTTGTCTTGACATGTGTGGTTCCAGAATATATCCATACCACCACCAAGAGAGGAAGAAGGAGGTGGGAAGGGAGGGGTGTGGGTGGGGTGGGGTGTGGTGGCAGTGTTTCAATCATTAGCCTCCCCAACCCTCTGAATTGTCCTCAAACAGCCCTCTAAAATCCCCCTCCAGAGATTCCAAACTTCCTGGAAAATTCCTATCTTTTAGTTCAGTGAAAAATATGCTAGCATGTAGTGTATCGTCTGGATTTCAATTTTGCATTAGCCTTGGGTTTTTGTAACCCCTACTTTAAACAACCGGGACCTGAAAACTTTTCCCATGAATCACCCTCTCGCCCCTAGCACTTCCTTGGCCCCAGGTTCCCCAACCACCTGGAATTTCCAGTCTCTTTTATGAGGGAGGTATGGACATTTTCTGAAACCACAAAATGAAAGGTGTCCTTTCACTTTGATTAACTCTTAACAACCTCGTGTTTTCCATGGCATTCCACTGTTCACTGACAATGAAGCACAGCCTAATGATTTTCCTAATTCTTGTGCTGTGTCATCTAAATTGCGTTTGCACTGCAAAAGCGTCATGGAGAGATTTCCATTGGAGGTCAAAAGTTAATCAAACACTTCACAAAGGTGGGCTACATACGTTTCATGAAGGAATTCACAACCTTTTCCTGATTCTTGCTTCTTTTTATGACATGCATTCTAAAACAACAATCACATTTGCCTCTCCTGTTCGTACACAAAGTGTCCTCCATATTTCTGTGCATTGCTTGTTCATCCGTGATGAAGAGATAGGCGAAACATGTCATTTAGGACAAAGTAGCTGTTAGTATCTTTTTTAAAAAGCTGAAATGTTTGACTGAAGCTATGTGGAGGGTCATCATCCGTCTGTGGAAAAAAAAAAACAAACAAAACAAAAAACAGCAACAGGTTGATAAGCAACTCTGAGCCTTTTCATTTGTCCCAAGGGGGGTACTCTGAATTTCAAGTGACAGGGATGATCGAAATTTTTTGGGTGGGACAATTTGGCAGGTATTTTTGGGGTATTCAAAACAATCTGAAGATTTGTGGTAGTGCTCGGGCATATCCCGGCCAATAAAGTATAACCAAACCTGTTTTGCTTCCTGGAAATTTTTAAGTTTTGGAAATTTGGCATGGGATTTTTTGGGGGGTTAATTTTAGGTTCAGGGATTTTTTTTTTGGTTTTGATTTTTGCCCCCATTCGATCATCCTGGTCATTTGAAATCCGGAGTATCCCCCTGGTTTTTCAGAATAGTTCAAAATGGCTCAATAAAGAAACAGAAATATTGTTCACGCACAAAAAATATTTTTACCTTAGCTATGAGTTTTGCAGGTTCTTACACAGAGGAAGAGCAAAATTTTCCTAGGTAAAATAATCTAATTTTACAGCAAATGGGGTCTGGTGTAGACAAGATAGTGAATTTCAAAGACTTTTCAAGACCTAATAAAGAAATCAAGTACTTTTCAAGGACCTTAACCGAATTCAAGGACTTTTCAAGACGACTACCAAAATTCAAGACCTTTTCAAGATTGTATAATTAACCATGACTAAGTACTGGGCACTGACCAAGTAAGATTTAAAAGTTACTTGCCCAGCAAGAAAATCTATTTGTCCTGGACTACCGGAAGGGACTTGTTTCAAGCCCTCCTTAGTAGAGGTTAGTAACGTCATATGTTTGATCAAGTCAGAAACTGAAAATGATTCACATTTAGGCAAATGACATGACTGAAAATGATTCAAATTAAGGCAAATGACATGACTGATGACGTTTTATCAGGTAACTTAGCTAGGTGAAACAAATTTCTTGTTTGTGGTAACAATGCAACAGTGTAGCTGGAGGCAAAGGATTTTCATCCTGAGAGAGCCAGGAATTTTAGTAGAGGACTTGAAAAAAAATATATGGAGATATCAGAAGATGTCCTGAAGAGTTGCAAAGTTCTCAAGAAAATTATTTTGCCCCATAAGGAGTTTCTAAAATCTTAGATACTAGGAAAATTATGATCATTCATATAATTATACTTTTTTCTTGAATGAATTCATTTGTGTCATTTTCTTGTTAGATTAAAGTTTCAAAACTGATATATAGCACATCCTTGTGATTGCCCCAATGTTTTCTACCAAAGTGAGAAATCTCCATGCCAGCATGAGCTGGCATTAGTGGTCATGAGATTACAGTTTGGAGACTCACTCTTAAAGCATAATACTGGGTTCAACTTATGCTCTTTTGTCGTCTACCCAATGTCTTCTGTTCATTCCAAAAGGCAACTGCTGTACACTTGGGGATCATGCCTTTGCTCATGCTGCACCTGTTTTATGGAACTTTCTGCCACCAACTATTAAAACTAGTAGCAGCTTTGCCATTTTTAAGAAGCAAATTCACACATTTCTTTTTAGGAAAGCTTTCATTTTGATGGAATAGTTCTGAAAGTTTAGCACTTTTGAATATTTTAATTCTAATTTAAAGTAGAGAACTTTAGAATTGTTTTTTTTAGATTTAAGTATTTTTTAATTGTAACGTAATGTACAGTACTTTTGAATATTGTTTATACATGTAGTATTAGCGCTATACAAATTCATTAAATTATTATTATTATACTCTCTTGAGCTCTTGAAATTCCATGATTTTTTCACGACCTTTTATAGGTTTACCATACATTATCCTTGCTTTGACACCTGCGGTACTTAATATGCCACACATAACATTACTCTAATATTATTATAATCCATGATTTTTTCAGGATGGACAATTTAATTCCCGAACTATCCAGGCCTGGAAAAAGAAATTGCTAAATTTCATGACTTTCCAGGTTTTCAATGACTCCTACATGAATCCTGATAAGAATTGGCAGAAACTGAGCTACAGATCATATTTCTAAAACCATAAAACTAGGCAAGACTAATCATGTATCTTTACACCCCCTTAAAACAACAGGGGCTGTACACACATAACTGTTCAGTACCTTAAGTTGCCCAACCACAAAAACTAAAACACCATTTTCCCCACTTGGCTGGCAATCCACTGTGGTAATAATATGTTGAACCACTTTGAATGGTAATTCCTGGATATAAAAAAATAAAATGCAGCTGTATCATTGAGGCGGGGACAAAGGACTTAACAGCAAAAACATGTTTTGTTTGATGGTTAAGGGCTGTAACAACTGTGTAAAGTACCTTAAAAAAACTACCAGTAAGAAAAAACAAAAGATTGCAGCCTTAAAGGGGCTGTGTCACATCAGTCCAGTTCATTTTGTTTCATTTTGCCAATTACTCGCCCTCAGTTGCTATGGAACTTAAAGTAAGCAAAGAAATTACATGTAAATGACAAAATCAGAGATCCGAGACAAACAAAAAAATTATGTCTCCTGAGCAATTTTTGAAGTTGCAAGCAGCAGGGACCAACTTTGAAAAACTGTTAGGCTGAACAGTTTTCAAAAACCCTAATTTCAATCCGTTTCAATCTTCTTCAGTTTTGCCCATCCGTGGCATCTGTTGTTTCTGTTATGTTGTTTGAACCTTCCTTTAAAGTTTTAAGCGGTTATTTTTATGTTTCTATTAATTTAACGGGCATTTTGTAATTTCCTAATTTAGTTGAATTTCGTGACACAGCTCCTTTAATTCAGCTATTACACGCAATACACTTACATTAAACAATATTGCCATAAAGACAAATAATTATACTTACACACGTAATGCAAGCAGAGAGAGACAGCTTACAAGTTAGTAAGGAAAGTATGCATGACACCTTTACACAGTGAATACATGACACCTTACAATAACCAGTATGTCACTTACATACCGTATATAGAATTACACCAAAACTAACCCTAACCCAAACCTAACATAATAATTATTAATATGGAATCAATAATATTTTAAAAAATTCATGGGTTATGCAAATAAGTGAAAAATTAGAAGTTGGACATACATGAAGTGCATTTTTCCACTCTACTCGTGTCATGAACAAGGGAGACAAATTTGTTAAAGATGTTTAAAGCTTTACTCTTAAGAGCATTTACACCGTATATAAAGGAAATACTTTCCTATTATGACTAAATGATTGACCGCCAAACAGAACGTAGAATCTTGATCAATATATGCCAAACACAATTTCGTTTTTTGAGAGAGATATTCTTGAGTTCACCATGCACGAGGCCCAGTCTAGAAACTCTTTTCAGAACAAAGTGGCTTGCGTGCATTCAGTGAAAAGATGTGCAATGGTGTGATCTATTGGACAGGCAAAAGGGGCAGCATCTAAGTCTTCTTTTCTCATTTTAAATAATAAACTTTTAGTGCACAGGATACGGTGGATAGTCTTGTACTGAAACATTGATAGCTTCACCTCTCGAGTAATGCCTCAAAGGGCAATAAATACACCTTACTCATGTCCTCTTTTAGGTACCATGATTTACGATTCTTTTCTTACAAGTAGGCCGAGGCGTTGGCTGCAGAGATGGCAACATAGTGCAAATTTTTTGCAGGTTACTTCATCCATTATGATTTGTGATGTAGAGCTTTGTTGACAGATGCTATTAAGCAGAAGGTATGGGGTTGACAAGGCCAAAGTATTGTAAGAAGTTGCATCTTACACTGAATTTGTTATCAAAAGAATCAAACGACGCAAGGCATTTTTGCTGTGTGTCAAGAGGTCTTTAATTTTGAGGATTCCTGCATGGCCGCACAGTGGGTAGTATATTGATTTCTTATCAGATGTAATGGATTTATTATTCCAGACAATCTGTTCAAGGACGTTATTTTTACTCTTTGGGTTAGAAGCTATCAAGTCTTGCCAACACGTGATTATTTTGCAATAAAAAACAGGAAGGTGCTTGCTTAGATTTAGTTGGGCAAAATCGTGGTTATTGAAAAGCTCTTGTCCTCCAGCACTGGCAATGAGGGACTTTAGAATGTACAGTCAACTCTCTCTAAGACAGACACCCTTGGGACCGGCAGTAAGTGTCTGTCTTAGGGAGGTGTCTGTCATATAGAAAGTCAAATAAAGGGAGCAAAGAAAGGCAGGGACCAACTCTAAGTGTCTGTTTTACAGAGGTGTCTGTCTTAGAGAGGTGTCCGTTAAGAGAGAGTCGACTGTACTTCCACGCAGCGCTTGAGTTTGAGCAAAGTTGCTTGACCCAATTTAATTTTAAAGCCTGGTTAAATAGAGAAAAGTCTTTCATCTCTAAACCCTCCTCTTGCCTTGTTTTATTGAGCGTTCAGAATTTTATCTTAGGTGGTTTGTGGTTCCATATAAAAGCTAATACTATTTTGTTTACTTTGCAAACTGTGACGCAAAAATCCAACACCAGCATGGTAGAATATTTTCCCTGCTTTGGTGCTTACTATACTACAAGCAAAAGTGCTCGGCTGGGCAACTGGTAATTTTTCTCTGTCACCTGATAGCTCATTTCACTGTACTAAACATGACTCAAGATTCCAGACATCAGTCTTAGCCAGACTACGGTCTCAATTTTAAGGAGATTAAACAGGGCTTAACTCAAAGTAACTGTACAATAAATTTCACTCTTTCAGTTCCAAGTACCCTGGATGATAAGAGTGTTTTTACAAATTTAAATCAAATTAGTAAAACCTACAGACAGTTACCATTTCTCTGTCTATGTTGGATGCACTGAGAATAATGTTTATCATCCGCTGACAGTTGGTTGACAGCCTCCTGGCCAATCAGGAATGCCGTCTGCTCTATTCTAGTGGCAAACAAAGTTTCAAAAAACTCACACAGTTGAATGCCTGTGGTTGTTCCACTGCCTTCATCCTCTCACCCTGTAATCTCTCGTGTTTTTGTTTGACTTTGGTTTGCAGCCGTTTATCTTTTACTTCATGAACCACAAACAAAAAACACCTCCTTTACAGGCTACTTGAAATAGTGCCAAAACATGAAATAACTAAAATAAAACTCACTGTGATCTTTTTTATGATGGCCTGAGTTCCTTGGAACTGTTGACCCTCAAAAGTTAGCATGGACACATCCATCTTTAAAAGGAAGACAAACACATATGCATTATCATGGGAAAACAGCAGTGGTAGCCCAGCAACAGTAGCCCAAACTCCTCAATCAAATGAATTCCAGTCATATGAGAAGGATGTCTGGAGGATTTTTTATTGAGAAGCGCTAGACCCACGGGACTTTGTCTTGTAAACTATCAAACCCCTGGGGGAAATTGTCAACTGTGTTCTACCCATTTTACAATACCCCTGGTTGGCCCGGGGTTGCGGGGGATCCTACCCCCGTGGGAAGCTGATGACATGTGGGGGGGGGGGCACTCCCTTATTTGGCCTATATGGGTATGTGCTGCTGAACAGGGTCTTGAGTCTTTAACAGGGTATATAATATTTCACTATTGAGCATCTTAAAGAGGGTGTCTTTTTAGACCCAAAGCCTTAACCCTTTGACTCCTGAACGCACTATTAATGCGCTTCCAAATGAGGTGTACATTTTGTCCCAAAAAAGGCCCCGAAAGGCTCCATATTTAGTCAAATGACACTTTATGTGGCTTATATGAAGTGGTTTATTGTATGATTCAATGTCAGTCAGTTTTCTGCCCTTTTGGACTAACTTTTTGGCAATATTTCCTCGTTGTGCTAATGATAACCTTTAAAAATGGCATCAGACACAAATGGGGTTGATTGAACTATATTCGCAGCACTGGATTTTAGCGATGATTCAGGTTAGGTGAAGATTAGTCCTATTAAAGGTCAAATGAACCAAAAAATTGAAATATTTTCTTTTGTCGCTTTACCTTCACCAAACACTAAAAAGGAACATCCTAAGTGAGATTTGGGTAAAGATTTTTCTTCCCAAGCCTTATAGAAAGATAAAAGATCAAAATCTGAGCATTTCCGAAGACTTCACGAAAACGTTTCTGAAATGGCCGCGTGATAGACTGGAGACTATGTGACGTCAATGTTGGTCTTTCAGGGTGGAAAAACGTTCTGTGCAAGCTTCTGTGAATCCCTTATTACCTGCGTTTGTTTGTCTCGTTCTGTGAGAGTTCTGACTGAGACTGAATGAAATACACGAGGTGCAAACGTTTGCTCCTTGTAAAGGCTTTTTTTTTGTTTTTGTTGTTGTTGTTGTTTTATCGTCACTTCAAAATTACTTCGGATTCATAACTGTAATGCTAATTCTTGCGAGTGAACAAACTTGAGCGCTTAAAACTTCCTCGGAACTATGGAAGGCTAGCAAGCTTATTGGAGAAGAACAGACTATTTCGATCACTTTTCTGTTGCTCAAGTAATAATAGTCAGAATTTTTTTTCTTTTTTCATTTTTTATTATGTAGTTTTGTTTCCTTTCTGTTCACAAATATTCCTTTTCACTCGCTGTGAAGTAGCTGAGAACAACAACTGCCGGCATTGACTTCAAAACAATTGACTCTTTGCCCGTAAATAATTGCTGGAGCTGGATTTGACTGAAGCAAGCAAAACAAATCCTTACGTGCAGTTTTCTGTACTTTCTAATTATTCACTTTGCTGAGTTTAATTTGCTTGAATGAAGACCCTCGCATGGACCAGTTTTTAAACATAGCTAAATGATGAATCATGGCTTGGGTGCGAAGCTTGCAACTGATCTTTTGCTTTTAAGAGATCTTTAGGCAGGTTATTTCGCACAGAAAATTCACTTCTTCATTGTCAGCGGGTATAAGAGCCTTAAGCCTTATGTTTTTTAATGGAAATTTGTTGTTTTGCAACCTTCTTGAAGCTTTTTTTAGTTCACCTAAGCTGAATTTTATGCATGATGGAATTGTTCTTTGCTTGTCGCCTCTCTTTGCGAGCTTAAAGTGGCGTCTACAGTCCTTAAAGTGACCTCAGTCGGTAATTAAATCATATACATAACTGGAAAGAAGTTTTCGCAATAATGTAACTTCAACTTTGTTTGAAGGAAATCTTACTTGGTTTTTGACAAGTGTTATGCATGTTCAACTTGACAACACAAAGCAAACTTTATCTGTGTGAAACGATCAAGTTTAAAAACCTGTAC